GCAGCTGCTGAGCGGGTGATGGAGGGGGTGAGAAGAGGAAGTGGGAAGGGCATGCTGTGAACGATAGTGGAAGGGGTGGGAGTGGGGGTGGGCGTGAGGGAGGGGTAAGGGGAGGGAGGTACCGGTGGCATGCAGGGGCATGGTGGTGGTGACGGGTTGACATGACTGTGGGGGTGAGAAAGCTTGGACGGATAATGGGAGAGGATGATGGACGCAGGAGGGAATGCGTGAGGGGCGGACGTTTACTGAACGAATGAATGACCGTTACAATGGAATGTTCCCTTGATTTCAAAGTGCCAGGGCAGGAGGGGGATGAGCTAGCGTGGCGCATCCGATGCCAGGCTTAGGATTAGCGGAAGCCGGAATAAATAGCGCGGACATCATTAAGCATGTTGTTTTGTCTTGAAAGGAGCGATGGTAGGCAGGCAGGTGTACGGCAAGCAGGAGTGGTGTACGTGACGGTGTGTTGGACAAACGGTAGTTGGACAGGGGTGTACGATGAATTGGTATGAGCACTGTCAGCAGCAAGGGTAGGTGGTGTTGAGGATGAGTGGACGACACGCGCGGGTTGACTTGTCGGGTACGCAGATCCGGATTCAGGCCTAAAGACGGTGCAGGGGTACTTACGCTGTACGAAGGAATGCGCAGCCTGACACAATGAAGATTACCGCTAGCTGGCGGGAAATGATTGCAGTGCTCTATATGGCATCAGAACCGTGTTATGGGCGCAGCTCTCCTGGTCGACTAAAGACTCATCACGCTGCTAATGTCGAGTGTATTGCGGTCTTGCCTGGCATTGGTTAATATGCGACCCTACTTCACCTAAAAGAAAATTGTCTATTTTGCATCGAGTTGTAACTGGCGCCCACAACCAAGCCCGCCTAGTCGAACAGCACATCAGACGTACGCCCACCACAGAAACGTCAGACCCGTGTAATAGCTTCGTTGCAAGCCTGTCAGTTTGTAAAGCAAGCGGGAGGCCCTAGATTTTGAAAAGGTCAAATACCAAAGGAAGTTTGAAAGGTTGCTACCTTGTTGCATTCCTCATTGTGGCTCGTCCTGCAACCGAGCAAAAAGCAAGCAGCCAACTTATAAACATTTGCAAATATATAGGTGGAGTTCTTGCTAAGTATTTGGTATGGGACTCTCGGTTCGGAACTTTAGGCCTGCCCCACCCTGGAGCCATCGCAACCTTGGGTTGTTGCTGGCTGGGGTTGCTACTAGTGTATCGGTTACTGCAAACGGCTTGTTAGGTAGGGGCAGAATGATGCTTCGGTGAAGCTGGGGTTTGAGCGCCGTGCATACGGTATGATCGTGTGGGAAAGAGGGGGTTGACGAGGGCCTCATGAGGAACGCGGGAACGGTTCCTCATGCTATGCTCCTCCCATTACTCTCTGGCGCCTTTCACCGCCTCCCTACATTCTGTACACTTTACACTACGCTACCACTCTCAGCTTCTGGAGGCGCTGGGTGTGGCAAACACGCTGCAGCAAATGGGGGCACGACAATAACCCAGCCACGGTTAGAAATGCATATGTACATTACATTGTGTAACATCGGGAAACACCCCACATGGGTGTAGGCACCCGGGCCCTCCCGCCCTACCGAACAACTTCACGAACCGAACCGTTACTAGCACGAGGAGCAGCATGCGCAACAGCATAAGCGAATAGGAGCAGGGAGTGTGGCCTGCGCGCCAAAGGCTCCATCAGCGAAGCCAATCCAACCTATACACACGAATGGCGTGCAGAAGACTTGCTCACTTTGCCACGCAATTCCACATTTTACTGTTCATCAACGCCAGCCGCGTTGCAGCAGGAACACCAGATTAAGGCGAACCAATGTTGCAAGACAACATTGTTTGCGTTGCATATTGCAGTTAAATCCTCACGTGCCCTGCCGTACAGGTCACCCATTTACCTAACCTTTGTACAATGTTTATATTCCATGCAACTCAACAATTCCACTATACTACGTCATGCGTCATGTATCTCATCGCATTCCATCACCCGCCTCCGCAAGCCCTGAGCTCCAAAGGAGCGGCCGCAGCAACGGCCACAGCCCCGACATTTAGCCAGCCGCACGGACAACAAGGTGAGCGCCTACCCCTGATACCTGGAGGCCAATCCAACCACAGCAGCAACAGCCCCTGAATTTTCCGTACATAGCAGGGTTGAGGCCGAATACCATCCCCTACCTAGCATGGCCGCGCCAGAGCCCCAGCAGGAGGAAGTCATCTTGTCTTCCCTTGACGGGAAAGCAGCAGGATGCAACGTATCCGGATGCACCCTGCCACAACTCCCGAGCAGCATGTAAAAACTTGCCGGTCATTCCCCGCATGGCTCCTGAGCTCCTGCCCTCCTACAACACCTCACTACCGCACCCCAGCCGCCGGCGGTGGCGGCAGCAGCGTCAGGCTGCCGGTAATCTTCTCCTCGTGCAGGTACTGTCCCCAGGCTGCCAGCACCTGGTTACCACCCGCCTCCGAACCACCAACTGCTGCGGCACCACCACCGCCGCCGCCGCCGCCGCCACCTGCTTCCGCAGGCCCCCCCAGCTGCCTAAGCGGCAGTGCTGATGCCCTTCCCCATCCTCTCGTACCCAACAACAAACCCATGGAGAAATTGCACTGTGCTGAGCACACCCTGGCGCCGTTTCTCCAACGGTCAACGGCTAGTTGGCAGCACATGCTGACCACCATCGGCACAGGGCCGTTGAAGCGGCGGGGGTTTAGAGTAATGTAGGCGTAGGGCTTGCGCCAGCACAGGAACAGCCCAGCAGCGGGTGCACCGTGGCTCCACTCTATGGACACCCGCCACTCCAAGCCCTGCGCACTCACGACCGGTTGCAGATCCAAAGAGCCAGTTTTGCCCGGCTGCAGGGTCGCCAGCTTATCCTCTAGCTCCCGCTGGGTGATGTGCCCAGCAAAGCTGAGGCCGCCCGCCGGCACGCACTGCGGGCGGGGTGTGGTGTTGTAGGTCGCCGAGTGGATGTCGTAAGTGGAGGACGCCTCTGCCTCCACGAGCATCTGCTTCCTCTCCTTGTCAGAGGCGCCAGCAAAGTGGGATATGAAGGCGGCTTCGGGCACGGATACTGGGAACCAGCCGGCACGTGTACGTGGCGATGTCTCGTATTCCGCAGCAAGTGCCGGCAGCACAAAGGTAAGGTAGGGCTTGCTGAGCTGCACCAGCCGCACCAGCCGGCACAGCCGCTCGCGAGTCTCCGCGTCCGTCTTGCCGTAGTTTGCTGCCATCCACACCGCCAGCAGCAGCAGCAGGCTGGACTCGCTGTCGGTCCCAAAGCTGTTCGACTCGAGCAGCGCCTCCACCGCCACCGCCGGCAGATCCAGCAGCTGCTGGCGGAGGGAGGGCGTGTTGAGCACTCGCAGCGTGTTGCCAAAGTACGACACAAGCTGCAGCTTGGCGGCCGCGACGACGGCTTCAAAGCTGGAATCAGGCCACAACGCGGCACACGCGTAGAACTCCAACACAGCCGCCTGCTGCGCGCTTGGAGGGCCGTGCGCAGCCGCGCCACCATCGCCGCCCTGCGCTGCTGCTGCGGCGGCCATCATGCCGCGAAGGACTTCGTCACATGCCTCAGGGCAGCCCTCAATCTGCAGGTACGCCGCCTGCCGCCGCACCTCCAGCACCTCCCGCACGCTGCCCGCCTGCACCTCCCCCGTGTAGGCGAAGCGGATGGCCGCACGCGCGCTGTCCAGCTCCGCCTTGCTGCCCAGGGGAATGCGCAGCTCGGGGCGGGGGGTGGTGGGGGTTGAGGTGGAGGCGGAGGATGCCGGTGGGGCCTGCTCGCCGCTATCCCAGCGCTTAAACTGCAAGCATGAAAGGGAGCCAACATCTTAGCAGCTTCTTACACGGTAAACTGGCTGCATGGACGGAACAGGGAGTGCTTGCTGGGATTGCCCTAGCTAGGAGCACAGCATGCATGCTAGAAAGCAGGTTGGGGCGTTGGGTGCAGCCAGGTGTTCATGAACACATCACTGTATACGAGCCCAGCAGCCTCACCTGCGCAGAGAAGCGCTCCGAGCTGTGGCATAGAACCAAGCGGTGTGCGGGAAGCGGGCTGCCAATGTAAGCTCCACCTTCTGATCCAGCAGCAGGCTTGCTAGCCTTTTGCTTCTTCTTTTTGGGCCGTCCAAGGACGTCTGTCTCCTGACGGAATCGAATCACGCAGTCGGCGTCCTCCTCGCTGCCAAACAGCTTGGCAACGGCATCTAGGAAATGCCTATTTCCAGGCGGTGGCATTGTGAGTTGAGTTTGCGTGCTGTGGCGGATGACGACCCGTGGGTCAGTTGCTGCTTACGAGCGTGTGAGGCCTAGCAGTTGGAAAACGTTTTGGGGCCCGCTGCTTATGCAAGGTTCAAAGGCGTAGGGCTTAAGGTCACATCCATGGTCCAGGACGCTGTGCTTTAAGGTTTGTGAGACCAGCGGTATAGCTCAAGCAAAGGACTTCCCTCTACGGCAAAGTTAGGGAGATCCCAGGTCTCTACGGCCTTCTACGCTGGCTATGAAAAGACTCCTCGAAGTGCCGCTATGGTGCTGATGTATTAACGTAAACGTTTTGGACGCATGGAGTCCCTTCCGTGAAGCGGCATCGGGGCACGGAGCTGCCCAAGGACGTGCACTGTACGGCATCAGTCGCTCGGTCGCTTGGGTGCCGCAGACTTGCAAACAAGGTTCTATCCTGTTTTTGGTTCTACCGTATAAGACCTTCCGCATGCCTTCCGTCCTGTGTATGATGGTGGTGTTGCGGTTCAGGGTAAACGCATATTGTTGAGGAGCAGCAACAGTGCTTCAAGGAGGGCATGTAGGGGACCCAATCATTACGCATTCGTCTCATCCGGCCAGGAGGCCATCCAGTCAACGGCCTCCCTCGCAGCTAACATGCAGCATGGGTGGAAGCCGTTGGAACCGTCCCTACGATGCTAGGAGTTCAGGTGCCTTGCCGCGTGTGCAAGGAAGGGGCTATTTACTAGAAGAGTTGCCTTACATACCGTAGTTACATGCGTACAGTGCTACATCTCTCCCTGTTATCGGTCACATAACGGCACAATCTGTCTGAATGCTGCAGCCAGCAGCCTGCAGACTGCAACTAAACGTACTTGACTTCAACCGCCCAACATAAAGCAGGCAACTGTGTTTATGCATATACCTCTCAAGTGCAACGCATGTCGATGCATCTTATGTCAAATTGTGTTAAAGTATGAATAGAGCCGGTATCTCTCACAAACCTCATTCGTATCTTAGGTGGGCATGACATAGCCTTTAACAAACGCAAACACAGCAAAACACAGCCCTATCCTCGATATCCCCTCCAAACCCCTGCACGCAGCAGTCTCTTTAGTCTTCCCTCCTGCTACATCGTAACCGTTCGTGAGTCCGTCCTTGCAATCCATACCAAGCATTGGTGCGCAATGCTGGGTGACGAACATCCGCAGCAGCGAAAGAATGAAGAACGCAACCACCTGCGCAGAGCCCTTAAACAGATGCCTGTAGGGGACCCTGACTCAGACAAACTTTGGTTATCATAGTGTCCTTTGGCCCCCCCTGGCTCGTACGGACACACTATACACGCGTACAGACTGTAACTGTAAGTGGAACCACCACACGCACTGGGTAGATCACAACGGGCCATCAGGACTGAGCACACCTATGTAGCGACAACCCAACAACACAAGAGGACTGTACTTTGACCCGAAACAGGCAAACAGCGCATGCTGAGTCCCTTGTCGTCAGGTCTAACTGAGGTCACCAGCTGCGTTAAGCGCGGCCCTTCAATCACATGCGTAGAGCCCGTAAATCACATACCACGCAGCAACCGCCTTAATAGCTATCACATATGTGCCGCTTGGGCCCCAAGCCAGCCACATAACCGCCCTTCTGTGCCCCACATCCCTGCTACAACACATCTACCCATACCCCATTGTAGCAGCCTTTAAGGACACGTCACTCACCGCTCACCTCCTGATTCCAACAAACGAACGACACGCCACAAGCAAAAATAAATAGCCTTGCAGGCTGAGTCTGTTGTGGTCATGTTTTAAGACCAAGCGATGAATGCCCACGACGGGTGGTATAATGGGATGCTCTAGGAAATGGCAGTCAAGGTAATGGGCACATAATCCATGTTCTTTAACCTAGACAGGAAATGAAGGTCCTATAGATCTTAAAAAACGTTATTAGGGCATGGCGATACCTCGACCTTCTCGAGGTTCTTTCACTCCCCAAACATCATTACATTGCCAATCCAATACGCACACAGAACCACACCCACGGCTCAGCGTTTGACAAGCATCACGCACACGCATAATGTGTTTCGCAGCACCCCTCATCACCTACACAACCGCCACCTGCTGTGAAGTTCAGGTGAGAAGGCCAACTTAGCGTGTTCCCAAACAAACAGAATCGGTACGTACGCAAACAAACACCTTTGCTAGAGAACCACGGCCCTGAAAGCACCCGAGCACCACGTACAGTGCAACAGGACACCTTGGCAAGCAAGAGGAAACCCCAGCAGCAAACGAACGACCCATGGGTCGCGTCTGCATGGCCTGACACGGCCGCGGCCCTTTTGGAACATTAGCGACCATGCTGCAACACCGCAATAGAGGCAAAGCCTGCTAAATCCTTCATGAGCAATACAATCTAGTAGCACAACAGCAGCCGCAGCAACTGCACCGGTAAGAAGCAGAAGAAGCAGAAAAGCGAACCAATATCCCCCATCCTCTGCCTGCCTGCCGGGTGCTACCCCCTACCTGCCGTACGTACCCTACCAGAACCAGCCAGGGGCCAGATAGTGCGCGTTGCATGCCACATGCCGGTATCTCACATGCATCATGCATACATCTCTCATACATCATATCAATGCCGCTGTGTCATGCATCGTGCATCTCAACGCACCCACCCCACCCTGCGTGCTGCCTCTTCTAGCCCTTGGATCTCGCTAGGATACCTGCCTAGCATATCTGGTCTACTAACAGCAACCTCACGGGGCCTCTACTGCAAAGGCCAGACTTCTTAAGCAGCATTACCATCACTCTCCCCCTGCTGCTCCTTCCTCAAACCCCACCCGCGGAAGCAACCGTGGAAGCGGACGGGAACGTGCGCAGCCCCCTCACAGGTGCTGCAAGACGGTTAGTTGGACGCCGTTGGTTTGGTTGAGCGGCAGTTGCAGGACCTCGTGTTGCATTTCCTGGATGGCCGCCTTGACCAGCGCATACGTCTCCAGCTGTGATGGCGGAGGAGGCCAGGAGAAGGGAGGGAGGGAAAGAGGGAGGGCGAAGGGCGAAGGGCGAGGGGCATTAGGTCAGTTGAGATACGGAGGCAGTGGTGGCGAGGTGACGTAAGGACATACGAAATGTAACACCCCACCGAGCCGGCTTACCTTCCGTGGCTAAAGGTGCGGAGAAATCAATACGGGTCGGCGCGACTGTGAACACAGGCTGCGGACCTTCCACCTTCCCATTCTGTGCCCGCTGTATGGTACCCCACCTCAAGCCACCCTTCCGCGACGGGATACAACAACCGGATTCAGCACCCCTAGCCCCCCTGCACACTATGCCGTACACTCACCTCGGCTCTGCCGTACAGTACGACAGGCTCCACAAACACCACCCGGTCCAGTACGGGCAGGGCGGTCAACAGGCGGTCAAGCTCGAGGAACACGGCCACATCCGCTTCGCAGCTGCCTGCGTAGGTCTCAGCTAGGTCCTGCAGCGGCGGGAGGGGAGGGTACCGGGTAGGGGAGGGTAAGGGAGGCGCGAGAGCGAGGAACCTGGATAGGGAGGAGGCACTGCAGCAGCAGCGGAGTAGGAGCAGCAGCGAAGGAGAGGATAGCAGGAGGGATGGATTGGCTAGAAAGGAAGGATGGACAGTGAAAAAGTGTAAGACAGTGTAAGACGCCCAAGCGCATTGGAGATTATTGCTGTTGGGAAAGTGGGAAAAGTGCTGGGACACAGCGAGGGGTGCCAGGTCAGGATGACCCACGGGTCGGTTGCTCACCTGCACGAAGTCGTGTACGGGGTCCTTGCGAGCCCAGCCCCACTGCAACCGGTGGGGGCGGCGGGAGGTGGGAGGTGGGAAGGCAGCGGAGGGAGGCAGGGACCGGGGGTTAAGCCATGCATGTGCAACGCAGCGACACTGCCAGCAGCCACTTCCAACAGGGTAACTCCTTGAGAGAAATACCATTGCAGCACAGGACACACACAGGAACACGCAGGAACCCCACTCCGCCATCACCTCACACCCCCAACCATGCTGCGATGCAGCTTACCAAAGCTACAGCAACACATGCAACCCCCAAACACACGTATCGTACGTTTGAGTAGACGAGGCACACACGCGAAACATGTGTGTGCAGTAACAACAACAACAACAACAACATCCGCACAAACACCTGCTCTACCTGCAGGCCATGCAACGCGCTTATCGAGTCCAGGTGCAGAAACACCCCCACTAGCTCCCGGGATGAGGCCAGGAGCCGGCAACCCGAGCCTCCTGCTGCTGCCGCCGCCGCTGCCGCCGCAGCCTTGGGGTCCTCTACTGCCTTCATGGCCCCTGCCGCGGCTGCTAGCAGGGACGAGGAGGATGCTGCTGCTCCCGCTCCTGCTACTGAGGACGATGAAGACGACGAGGAGGAGGACGTTGTAGATTGGGGGGAGGCAGCATTCTGTTGTTGCTGCTGCTGCTGCAAGTGCGCACCGAGCCAGTTAACCAGCCCCAGTCCCTCTGCCCCGCCTCGCCAGGCTGCATGGAAGCTAGCAGCGATGAGGTCGGTGCTCGCCTGTACTGCGTTGCTGTCGTTGCTGTTGGCGGTGGCAAGGGCGGCCGGGTCAACCGTTGCTTGGAAGTACACGGGTTTGCCGTACGATCGAGCTGCTGCCACGTCAAGACGTATCCTGTGGAGGGGTGAGGGTCAGCGGGACATCAGGACGTGGGGAAGCAAGGCAGGATGAGGTTGAGAATGGCAGCGACAGTGGCGCCAGGGAGAGGGGTGGCTGTGTTTGTATTTATACTTATACAGCAGATATCACTGCAACAGATGTCAAGCTGGATCTGTTGAAGCGCCAATGGGTGGGTAAGGCACCTTTACGCGGCTTAGTTGCTTTAACGCACTCATCACCATCATCATCACCATCACCATCACACGCAGCAGGCCCCTAACCAGTGCTCCCGGTGTGGAGCCACTCACTTTGTCGCATCCATACGAGTTCCGTACGACGAACGGAAATTGGATCCAAGGACGATAAAGTCAAGATCCTGGCTAGCGGCGATGTGCTTAAACATGCCCACGCCGTACACAGCGTTTAGCGCGGAAAACAGATTTGGGATCAAATGGAAGCACTTGACGCCAGCTGATCGTACGGTAGCACATGCCCGGTTGAGCACCGATGCGCCGTAGAGCTCACGAAACTTGAGGAAGTCCCAATACCTGCGTTAACACAACAAAGAAAGCAGCTCATGAACAGCAAATTACACAGCACGTACGGCAGGAATGTGACAGTCCCCGGGGACAACATGACGGTGCTCTGTTCATAACATGTACTTCCCATCATGTTGTCACACCGGTATGAACGAAGCACCTCACAGCAGGCTACAACCCTATCCAAACCAAGCCTCCACATTTTGGCCGAACACAGCAGTACCGGTACCCTTCAAGACACGATAGTCGAGGAACCAATCGCCTTCCTACGATACGGCACCATATTCGAGGGGCCACTCAGGAGGAGCGGGGAGGACCCACCTGGGTGTCGCATCCACCCCCAGGAAGCTGCCCGCCTCAAGCGCCGGGGGCATCACCTGATCCCACGAGGCGAAGCTGCTGCCCCAGCGGGCGTTGAGATCCGGCAGCTGCTGCCGCCGCCCGCGCACCCACTCCCTGAACGCTGCAATCTGCGCATGTTGAGGGTGTGGAAGCATCGGCAGGGGATGTGGGCTTTGAGCTTAGCTCCGTTATCTGCTATCTCACAGCGGCAGGGATCCGAGCAAGGCGCCCGATAGAGCATGCTCGAGGCATCGTGGCGGTTGCCGTTCACCATGTGTCGAGGAGGAAAAGGTGTGATCCAAACTAATATTTGTTGGGGTAGAGGTACCGGTACGTACCGCGGGAGGGGAGTAGTCTTGGAAGCAGTCGTGCTCCTGTGTGTACTTGGCCTGTTGCCGTGCAAGGCGCGGGGAGGGAAGAGCCGGAACCCAGTGCAGCAATGTTGGATGCGTGCTGCGCTTAGAGTAACGGCTGGTAATGCCGTTGTGATTGCCGGATTTGTGCGGAGTGGTACAGCCCGGACAGTGCCAGCCCTCACTGAAAGGGCATGTCCGGGCCACAACGTAGGACAATATTACGGGAGGCATATTCCAAAACAATTGCAGCCTACCCTTACCTCGTACTCATTGTTGTACACGGGCTGTACGGACGTCACGCAGCCTGGTTGCGCTGCGACCAAGTGGCTCACCACATCTCCCAACACCTGTAATGCCACCTGGTTTGCCTCCACGTGAAACCAGGACAGCAGCGGGTATTGACGACCGTGGCTGCATGCATGCAGGAAACACGAACAGCCGCAGCGGGGCAGCAACAGGAAAAGCACAGGCAGGGATTTCAAGAGTTGGACAGGAGGCCACAAGTCGTGATGTGGCTCTCTGGTGTGCTGCATGCATGACAGCATGTCTGTGAATGCGCGACATGGCAAGTGCAAGCCAGGAGGAGGCTCAAGGGAAACGCGCAAAGGACTAGCATTGGTTCGGGGCGTTTAGAACAAAAAAGAGCACTGCACAAGCAAAAAGCCATACGCAGAGTCCGTTCGAGGGGCTAGATCTGGCTCAGCACGCAGCGAGTAGATTGCCAACGGCGCTTATTACCTGTCAACGGCCTTGGCATTTGGCCACTTGTCGAAGACCCAGGAAGGGGCACGTGCCATGTCTAGGATAAGTGCAACCTGTGACGTTGGACAATTGTGAGGGTAGGCCCGGGTTGGCAATGAAAGGACTGCATGGAACAAGCGAAAACAGCGACCGTCTGACGGGAGACACAGGGACGTATTTCCTAGGCCACCGACCTTCATTCTCGTGGTTTGACAGACCCTTCCAGTCATCCAGCTGAGGTAGTCGAAGCGAAGGCGCCCATGCTCAGGGTTGAACCAATCCCATGGCGTCGACAAGGCGACGGTTGTGATGCCCATGTCTTCTAAATCTTTTAAAGTCGCAAGTAGCTTATCTGCTGACGTAGCATTTGGCTTAAGCGTGGCCTTAAAGTACTCCGCCAATTCCGCATGGTACAGTGAAGCAATACGCTCCCCAGCGTCATGGTGACCGTTAAATGCACGCGAGTGCACATTTCGTTGAGGCAGCAGTGACAGGGCTTGAAGCCGACGAGACGGGCGCCAAGTCGACGCGTTCGACGAAGAGCTATGCAAAACAGCAATGAGTAAGCACGCAGTTGTAAGAACGCATAATACAGCAGCCCACGGCGCAAGTTTAATTGTACAACTATTAGAACTGCCGGCTGGACTACGCCTTCGGGTAGAGGGAAGACGCATCGTCGGTATGTGTTATCCTAAGGAAGCGGAAAGCTCAGTTGTCGATGTGTGTGAGACTAAAATAAATGAGGCGTATTGAGCGGTGTGCAAGCGTCGGCCTATATGGGAACTTGCTCGAGCTCTGCTACATGACGGACTCATAGCAAAGTCGAATCCATGTACTTCAACCTTGATTGTAGTCCGGCATGAATTGTTGCCCTAGGTATCTTGGATGTTTTGTGCAACATTGCTTGCATCGTTCCTACGCCGTAACGCGCATGATGCATCTTGAGTAGGCCAGAAGCGCGTACCCTGCCTCGCAAAACCTGCAGAAGAATTGGGTCACCATAATGTTTGAAAGTGCTCTTAATTAACTGGTAAATCCGAAAGGGTGGCGGTTATCCAGCTGACAGGTACATCCCGCCGACGATTCATCTGCTCAGGTAGACACTGTCAGTGAGGTACAGCAGGGCAGTACGAAAGTTTCAAGTGAAGGGGCTTAGCATTGTAGCGCATATGAGGAGCAACGACAGCCCCTTGGCGGGCGACGGGTCAATCCAAGATGCTTCTGTTATTACAGCTATAGCAGCAACCGTATGTTCAGCCGTGCAACCTGGCAACAACGTGGCGTGATCTGGAACATGTCGTGGGTGAGAGATACCCAAGCTTCGACCTCCTCTTATTGGCCCCTGAGGTCCAAAAGAACCTTGAATACGCCACCTGAACCCGTAATGCTCATCTCCCTGAAGCAATCCAACAAAAAACAGTTTTCCGCTGCTTCCTTGTGAAGGCCAAAGTATATACACTACCAATGTACCACAGCCGCAAAGTGTCGCATCCAAACACGCACAACCCATGTGTCACAACCAATCCACTTTCCCGCGAAAGACCCAGCCCAACGAACGTCGTATTCTGAGCTGCAGTGTCCACGATTGCGCACATCCCCAGTTCCGATTGGCACGTAAGACCCCGTATGCAAACTAATGAGCAATTAGCTTCGGCAGCGTAAAGAGATAAACCTCTCCTCCACCACACAGATGCTCCATAGCGGGCCCTAACGCAGGTTACGTAGGTAAGCAATCCCAACGGCACCGACACAACCTCCCTTCCCTCGCACACACAACAGCAACACCATCCGTCCATCGCCAGTTTCCTTTTCCTGCATTCAGCAAAGCAAAGGGGCTTGAACAATGAACGTTGCCCATATGAAGCCCAGGCCGGGTGGCATAGAAAGGTCTGATGCACTACGCCCGGTAAGCCTTAGGCGTTAACGATAGAAGCCTAGTAAGCAAAGCAGCCAGTGGAAAGCAAAGCGGCAGGTAACCATGCCTTCAGTGCGAGCAAAATGCCATGTACGATCAGCACTGGGCGGCGAGAGTGGCGCTTCCTGACAAACCATGAACGCACGGGGCGTTTCGCCTGCACGGTATCCGGTCCTTGATACCTTGCACGCACGACTGCACTACTTTCATCCACACTACCGATGTCTACCTCTTGATGAAGGTAGCGCCAATCGAAACGTACATCCATCCGAGTTCAAATCCAATAGACCTTCACACGCGCATCATCCGCCAACTTATTGGTGTCTAGTAGAGGGCCCAACCGCGGCCCCAACCGCATAAAAACGACTGATTGCAACATCATAACTCCCAGCCCGCGTCTTTCGCCCCATTCCGCATTGCCTACTAAAACCAAAGCAGAAGCAACACTGCATTGGAACTCCTGAATAGTCTCAGAACCAGCAAACAAAACAGTTCAGTCGGCGCACCGCAACGAAGCATGCTGCGGCTTCAGTAACTAGTTCCGAACAGCAAGCCAACCCACAATCCGCCCCGGCCGCGTAAAGCACGTGGTCAAGTTTTAGGCGTACAACCTCCTTCAACCCAGCCGTGACGGCCTTCCGGCGAAACGCTGCCCCCAACACACCGCCCAGTAGACCAGCAAAAACCCAACCGTAGGGGAGCATCCTCTCTGAAACCCCGCCCTCCTCCATCCACATACTTCCCCTCTCCTGGCATTACCCTAATCCCTGCCTAATCTGTCCCTCTCCGAGTGGTACCCAGTCCGACGCATCTTCCCACCTTCAACCGCCTTAAGCACCCTCATTCATTGCTGCATTCCTCCGTAGCCAGGAATCAGCTGCAACAACTGCCCGATACCCACGAGGCGACTCAAACCTGGGGTGGTAGCCCCGCCAGTGTCTACCCTGCTGCCCACAACTCCTCTTTCCGCCATGCACTGCTGCGCTCTCTCACATATCGAATTCTTTGCCATGTCTTGGACACACACCGGCGTGGCTCGCCAGGTGAGCGGAAAAAGGGAATCAATCCAAACAATCCTTAACAATGTCACCACCGCCGCCCTGAATGTCGCTACTCAAAAGCGCGTCCCCCCAGCAACGCCCTCAACATGCTTAGCAACATTTACCGCTGACGTCAACTTTTCCCATTTCTCAGACCGGAACCTATCCGATGTCCCCCGTGCTGCCTAATGGGGTCCGGCGGCAAGCAGCGCACGCCAGTTTTAGTACTGCCCAACAGTCGAAATGAGGCCGCATGCAAACCGCGTCGGCGCCTACATGCCAAAGGAAAGCCAAGGCGGCGGTTAAAGACCCCAGGTGGTTGTAACCGTGTGTTGTTGCGGTGCCAGGCGGCCACATCCGCATGCGGCTACAACCCCAGGCTGGCTCGGATGCCGTCTAGCTTGCTCAGGATCTCCGAAAAAGAGGGGCGCTTAGTGGGCTCCGTGCGAGTGCAGCTGTGGAGGGTAGGGGAGAGCACGAGGACGAGGGATGGAGGAAGCGTTCAAGGAAGAAGAAAAGGTGAGGAAAGTGTCACAAGGTAAGGGACAGACCGAGGCGATTATCAAGCGGGCAGTAAGCTGACGGACGAACGCAGACTCAGGGCGCTACGCGAGTGTTCAATACACCAGCGGCTAGCGGTGTCAAGCCGTAGATCCTTCTCTCTCCCTGTTCCCACCCCAGGGCAATTCCCTCCCCCCTCTTGGAAACCCAGATCTCCAAAATCAGGGCCTGCAGCTCCCATATGCCCCATTCGCAGCTATCCCGCTGCTCCGCACCTGCTAGACAGGTCCGCAATGGCCGGCGGGGTGCCGGGCGGGAAGATCAGCTGCACATTCTTCATGCCCACGTTGTAAATGATCTGCCCGTGGTTCATGCCCGCCCACGGCCGCAGCCCCGTGTACATCTGCCACAGCAGCACGCCGAACGCAAACACGTCCGTGGCCTGCGGGGTAGGGGGGCGAAGATAAGGGGTGAAGCATGGGGTAGGGGGGAGCGAGGGGCAATAAACGAATACCGTAGACAACGGGTGCTTCGGGCTGAGCAGCCAGGCAACGGCATAGCGACTGACAGGAAGAATTTGAAGCAAAGGCGAGAAAGGGAGAAAAGAGGTGGTGGGTTTTGACCATCCAAGTGGGCGTGACAATGTGGGCCCAACCTCCGTATACCATCCTGCGCCGCATGCCCTCCTGCACAAACCACCCCAGGCCACAAACCGTCCCTTACCTTGCTGATGATTCCCGAGATGAGGCACTCGGGCGGCATGTGGCTGATCTGTGGTCCAGGACAATGGCACAGTGTTCATGAGCAACACGAGGGGCGAATGCACAACGATACTTTGCGTCGATAATAGTGCAAGGCTTGCGTCAGGATGATCGATGATGCGCATAGGTGGGATGTGAAGGCAAGCAGCTTCATGGCCGGAAACGGATCCTTTCGGCTACAAGAGTTGTTGTGGCCTAACGAAGGCTAACCAACTCACCGTGCCGTACGTCCTGGTCTTAATCTTGGACCTCAAATCCAGGGTTCGGCTGAGACCGAAATCCGCCACCTGTGAGCGCGAGGAGCCCGCATGGGGTAAGCTCTGAGTGCCCGTTCCCAGGATCGCCCGGCTCACGCATATAAAATTCTACCCCGCTGCATTTGCCACCTCTTCCATGAAACCCCCCCCCCCGCCCGCCCACCTTTGCCGTGAAGTTGCGACCGCTGCGGTCATTCTGCGGGTTAGACGCGGTGCAGAGCATGACGTTCCAGGCCGTCAAGTCGCCATGCACAATGCCCTGCAGCAAACACATGGTTGACACGACGAAGCAGTTAGCAAAAGCGTACACTGCTACTCCAACTTCACGGTCGGCATCTGCGGACGATCCCACATACCGTGCCGCAAAGCAACGCCAGCCCCTCCCGTCATCCCGCTTCCCTCTCCTCAGCCCTCTGCACAGCACCTAACATACCTTGTCATGCAGGTAATGCAGCGCCGACGCCACCTCACACGCCGTAGCTACCATCATGGGCAGGTGCGTCTCGCCGGGCTCGCCCGAGGGCTTCCTCAGCTTCAGCGCACCGCGGTCCAGCGCATCCTGCAGACTGCCCCGGTCGCAGAACTCCATGATGATCCACACCTCGCCCATGTCCTCGCCGCTGGTCACGCTGGCCTGGGGCATGTGGGTGGTGGGGCCGCTGCTGCTGGAAGGAGACCTGCGGGCGGAGGAGGTAGGGGTGGAAGCAGGGTTGAGGAAGGGGAGGACGATAGCCGCAAAAGACATCGTGGCAATAGGAAATGACTCTGGATTGCTTGCTTGGAATTATGCATCCCTGTTGCGCATGCCGGAAGTGGATTCAGCCGGCCTAGGCTGTTGAAGTCATACAGATTAACTACAGCCGCGCCAGCGACACAACGACGGCAGCATGCAGACAGACATCACGACGCTTCACCACTCCTTACCCCTTGCCAGGCGCCAGCATCTGGCCATTGGAGGTAATGGTGGAGAACGCCAGGGAGTAGCGCGACGTCATGGCCGCGGTCTGCTGCTCGGGGGTCAGTCCCGCCACGCCAGCCGCGGCGGCGGTGCCTGGCGGCGGGTACGGCACAACTGCCGTACTCGGCGGGTACCCAGCTGCGCCAGCAGGAGCGGCGGCGGGTGCACGAGCACTGGGCGACGCCGGCCCCATGCCGCTTGCCGGGAAGCGAACGCCATAAGGCTGCGAGGCGGGCACGGCTGCACCCGCTCCTGCAGGTGAGGGAGCTGGCAGGATGCCGGAGGAGCGCGGCCGTTCGGAAGACTTCACGCGAAGCGGGTTCTGCAGCTTTGCACCAGAGGACTCCCTGGACAGCATAGCGTTCGCGTTGGCTGGCGTGTGACTGCCGCTGGCGATGGACGGCGGCCCCGCCGCGGTGGAGACCGAGGAGGCCTGGATGGAGGCCGGGCCCACGGCGGTGAGGCCGCTGGTGGCAGCGCTCGTGCCGCCGCCGTCTTCACCGCCGCCATGCCCGGGCGTGGGAGGCGTGGAGCCAATGAGGTTACCGACGCGGGGCGGCATGCCGCCGCTGCCGTACTGATCTGCCATGTTGCCGTACGCGTGGGGCAAGGATGACTGACTGCCTCCGCCGGCCGCCGTCGTGGCGTCGCTGTTCATGGTGGTGACGATGGTTGGATGGTAGTGGTGCTGCATGGCGGATGCGGATGTCAGGTCCGCCGCTGCCGCCATCTGCGCACTCGTCATGGCGGAGAGCCCCGGCTGCGCGGACGTCATGTAGTACGGCGATGCCGCGCCCTGCGCACCCGATGCTGACACGCGGCCGCCGGGGACGTGCCCGCCGGCGATGCCGACGTTGCCGGCAGATCCGTGGCCGGCGTTGTTCGCCGCACCGGCGCCCGCCTCGTGACTGGTTGGCAGGACGGCGATGTTCCGGCTGCCATTCCGGCTGCTGACGATGGTTGACATCATGAGGTGCCCGCCGCTCATGCCAGCACGCGTGTTGGAGCCAATGCCGGTGCGGGAGTTGGATCCCGACATGGACGAGGCGTTGAGCGCGCTGCGCATGACGTACTTGATGGTCTTGACGATGTTGGGATGTGAGAGCTCCTGGCCCATCAGCGCCTCCAGGGAGATGCCCTCGGTGTTGGTCTTGGTCAGCCTGCGGATCGCCACGAGATGCAACGTATTGGCAAGACGGAATGCAACTAGTTGCAAGGGGATGGACCTTAACTGGAAGACACATTCTTTAACGAGCTTGGACACCTTGGCTTTCGGGCAAGTAAAGGCCCGCAACCCGAAGCCCCTACATAACCGTACTAGGCCTTTGTAGGAGCACGCCTCCCTGGCATGGCAGCACTCTCACTTGTTGTCAATCATCTTGACCGCCACCGGCATGCCGTTCCAGGTTCCATAGTACACGGATCCGAAGCCGCCCTTGCCCAGCAGGTGGCTCAGCTCCAGACCCGGCACCTTCTCCACGTGCTTGGCCAGCGCCTCGTACACGGTGGAGCCGCCAGTGGTCTGGTGGTGGTGGTTAGGAGGAGGGGGAGAGGAGGGTGATGTGTACATGCGTGGAGGAGGGGCTACGCAACGCCGGACTGGGTAGAGACTAGAGAGGCTATGGGTTCACACACGGGCCAGGGAATTGTGGAGCAGTGTCAGGGTGAGGTGGTGGCGTGGGTAAGAGCGCTTTGCACCTGGGTGGACGGGCGCATGAAGCCCGGCTTGCTTGGGTCATGAACTCATGGTGTTGAAACGCATGGGGCAAGGAGTGGAAGGTAAGGATGGGAGAAGCTGGCGTAAAAGGAGGTGGAACGAGGACAGGGAGGGTGAGGGTGAGTTGATAATGGAGCAGCCAGCCGGCCTCGGAACCAGCATGGCTGCATGCAGCATGCCGTGGCCACATGCGCCGTCGCGGTAGCCTTCTCCGACACGCTATCTTCACCTCCGGGCCGCCACTCCTCACTCTCCTCTCCTCCGGACACCTTGCAGGCCCGTTGGCTCCTTACCCGCACCTGTGTGGCTTCCTCCACAAACACAAAGTAGTTGTGTGCCTCATTGCCGCGCGACTTGACCCACGCGGGCAGCCCCTTGGGCAGAAGACCCTCCAGATCGCCCGTCGACTCGTCCGTGGCCAGCCTGCGGAATCATGAAGGCATTCATCGTTTCACCCATTGCGCGTCAGTCAAGCAAGTGGACGGTCAACCCCAGAGCAGAAGTCAAAGCTCTGGAAGGGAGCAATCCCCGTAAGGCAATGGGCCAGACATGCTTATGCAAGATATGGCAAATGCACGCCTGCCGGCGAAATGGGGGGGGGTCAACGGGCGGTTATTCCCCCCCGCCCATGTCTTATAGCGCCCCCCCCCCTACCTGAGATGCAGCGACACCAGCTTGTCGGGCTTCTGCCGCACCGCCACCCGGTGCACGGTGAACTCCGCTCGCGAGGCCACGTCGGCGGCCGTGGAGGACCAGTCCAGCGCTGCACCGCCTAGTGACATGAAGAAGTCTTGCAGCGGGCGACCCATAACATGGACCCGTGGGACACCTGGCGGAAGGAAGGGCGAGTGGAAGCAAGGGAAGGCAGGGCGGGGTTCCAGGCGCGGTCTTCTAGAGTGAGGGCAGAAGATGGAAACTGAAAACAGAAGAGAAGGGTAAGCAGACGGCATAGTCCGTATATGCCCATGCGCCCTCCGTTTCCAGCCAGGACGCCAGCGTTGCTGCGTTAGCTTGACCTGTCACCGACATCCACGGCTGGCTGCAATATTAAGCAAGACTGCATGCTGGAGCAAGACTGACTCGTGTTTTGGCCCAGGGCGCTTTGCCTTAAATATTCTCATTTGTGTGGCCCCTGGAGGGATCCCGGAGGATTGGCAGGTGCTAGCATGTAAAGCAGCCACCGGCAGGAAGGTCGTCTTCCCCCCGGCGACGGCGAATCATCATGGAGGGTTCCGGACAGCGGGCGGGACAGCCCGCCCGGGCAGCGTCCGCACCCATTACGGCTGGGTAGCGCATGCTGATGGGCTGCTATGTGATCAGCTGCACGGCTAGCGGGCAACTCACTGGGATCGGCGGCCGCCACCCGGCCCATCACGTGCTCCCTGGGAATGCCTGGGGAGCCCGGTGGCCGAGGTGGTGAGATGGAACAAAACAGAGCGGAGCAAAGGAAAGCGCGTACGCGTGAAGGGCTGCCGGGTTAGGGTCTGCCACGCCTGTGAACGGCTGCCTGCCCATTTGGGGGCACAAGGATGACATGGCCCGTGCCCATACCCCATCGCACTACTGGCTCCCAAAAGCCAGCTGCTCCACCTTACCTCCGCCTCCACCCACCCTCCTCCACCCACCCCAGTACATGCCACCCTGCACCCATACCAACCCCCACCTGTCACGTGCTCCCATGCCATGTTGGTGTACAGCACCTCCCAGCCGGGCTTGCTGGTATCCACAAACATGATGCACTTGTCAAAGTGGTCCAGCGCGCGCATCATCTCCTGCTGCAGCTTCTCCGTGGCCGCCTCGTTCTCCAGCCGCTCCGCCGCCAGCGACATGTCGCGCTCCAGCTGCCGGATCACCAGCGTCTGCAGGTTGTTGACCACCAGCAGGTTGGCGGGCTCCAGCAGCCGCACGTTGAAGTCCGCCATGCAGCTGAGGGGGGTGTGAGGAAGCGGGAGGGAAAGGGGAGAGAGGTTAGAGAAAGGGGAGGGGATGAACCGTTAATGGCAAGGTTTGCAAGAAGCAAGGTCTGGTCCGTTTTGTGGATGACACAAGGAGGGAGGGGGGACACGCGCGACCAAAACCTTGGCCGCGTTACCAGGGGCGCCTCAAGCAGCGTACCCAGGCACTCACAGGGTTCCCAGCAGCTCTCCGGTGGAGCTGCGCAGCGGTGAGGCCATGAAGAAGCGCACCCGAGGCTCCTTAGTCACGCAGTAGTACTTGCAGAAACTGCGGTGGGAAAGGGGAGGGGTTGCGCAGGAGGTACGCAGGAAAGAAAAAACTCATTCCGACACAGAGAGCTAGCCGCACCGCTGCATTTTTCTGCTGCGCAGCTGCAGAAGCATGGGATTCTCCTTCTTTTTCTTCTCTTTTCCTGGTCTCCGCCACCCAGCCACGATGTTACCCACCGTTCGTCCTTGGTGGCATCCGGCACCAGCAGCACATCCCGCAGGTCGCTTGCGTTTAGCATGGACCACTGCGCCAGACTGTAGCGCCACTGGTCGTCATCGGTCAGCTTCATGGCGGTGCTGCGAATGAAGATGTTGGAGGAGCTGCGGGGAAGGAGGAGGAGGGTCGGTGGAAAATGTTAAGAAGTGACCGGTAGGACGAGGGGGCGAAACAAACCCGCCCATCTTACATCCCACCTGCACGCCCGTCATCCTTCCCATCTCCCAATCCTATAGCACAATTAATCACCAGCCATCCGCGACCCTATCCCGCCCCTGCCCCACACCCACCGGTACGCCGCCACAAGCGCCACCGGCAGCTGGAAGATGTTGCAGATCAGCTGCAACACATTTTCTACATCGCTGCCCTCCGGCGGTGACATGATGCTCAGATGCTCGCTGCTGCTGCGCGGAGAGCCACTGCGGTCGGTGGCCTCGCCCTCGTCCTCCTCCTCTTCTTCCTCCTCCGGAACCGCCTCCTCCAGCAGCCCAGACCCGCCGCCAATGGTCTGCGATGTGGCCCTGCCGGCGGTGCTTGCAGACCGCGCGGGATTGCTCTCGGAGGAGGAGCCGCCGCTGGGGCCGCCCTTCAGGCTAGCTTTGATGCGCCGACCCACGGATCGGAAGCCGTCGGCGCCCCCGGTACTGCCGATGCTGGCGTCGACATTGGGCCCACCGGTCGAGGGGGCGAAGCTGCTGCCCGGTGCCCCACCGAAGCGCACGTTGGTGGAGGCGGTCGGGTTGTCGCTGCTGGCAAGGCTAGCATCGCGATTGCTGCTGCCCGTGGCAGGCACGGCGGCGCTGCTGCCGGCGCCCGGCGGGCCTGCGCTGCTGGCCTTGCTGCCAGTGACGTCGCTGCCCGGCTGCTGCCCCGCACCACCAGAGACGTCGGAATTGGAGGAATGCGATTTGGCTCCTCGCTTGGGACCTGAGAGACACGTGTGGGGGGAAGGGAAAGGGGCCATGGGCCAAGCTTGCGGGCAGTTCCTACGCTTGGTATGGAGGGAGATGTGTAGGCGTGACCAGGCGTCATCGCTCCTGTCAGCTATAGCATGCAATGTTTATCATGCGTAGGTCTATCGTGTGACGAAGCTCCTCCGAATAGGCATGACATTAGCTTTGCCCTAGGACTCCGGCCTGATCGAAGCGTGGTCGGAAAGCGACCCACCTTTGCGACGATCCTTGCGATGCTCCTTCATGCGGGGAGCGCCAAACATGAAGCCCGCGCTAGAGTTCTTGGATGCGGGCGTCGCAGATGACTGTGTGCTGTCCTGTGCGGAGCCTGTGGCCGTAGACCCCAGGCAGCAATACACGCGGGAGGAAAACTCAGGGTACCTCGGCATCAGTTGTCGTAAGAGTTAAAACTCTAACTACAGAATGGCAATGACCGGGGAATGACCCCTGGCAAAGGGAGGAGCGCAAAAGCTGGCGAACAGAAAACGCATGTAACAGCGTAAAAGCCACGACATTGCCAACCTTCACGCTAAGGCGGCTTAGGGATTATATAAAGGGAATGCGCCCCTGGTAGGCCAGGGCGACACCTGAGAAAGCAATATATCGGCCATCCCCGACAGGCTACGGGGTCCAAGCGCGACCCAAGGGGACAGGGGTGCCGCATTGACATAAGGTACATTTTGCATGCCCATCAGCATCAGCGACATTCCATCGCCATTTCACGCCTTTACCCCCATACATTGCTCATTTTCGCACACCTGCAATGGACTCGACGCCGCCCGTTGTGGTTCCTGCGGCGGAAGGCGCCGTTGGCATCGGTGCCTCACCTGCCGTAAAGTTTCCTTGCTGGGCGGCAGATGACCCCATGGGCGACATCGCACTCCCTGCCCCAACCGTCGAGCCGCCCAAGCCGTGCTGCTGAGATGAGCCGGGATGCTGTGAGGAGGCCGCGCTCTGGCTGTACGACGCGGTAGACGATCCCTCAGCGGGTGCAGTTGAGCCCTGCCCGGGTCGTCGGGTTGTCTCCACCCTGACCCGTTGGTCCTTCTCGCCATCCCCGTGACTTCCGGCCAGGGATGGGGAAACGTACTGCAGGAGTTTCTCGTTGCCCGTAGCAGTAGGCCGAGACGGTACGTCTGGAGTTGGGGCGCCCTCGTTAAACTGCTCTGTGCTGCCAGCCGCAGGCGCTGCCGGTGCCGCGGCAGCCTGGACGGGCTGTTCTGCTGCCAGAGCGGGGGCTTGTTGCTCCACCAGGACTGGAGGAGGAGCACTGTCAGTGGGCTGAGCTTCAGCCGGCGCGACCACCGGCTGAAAAGCTGCCTCCGCTTCAGCCGTCAACGTTGGAACCGCGACCCGTGGGGATACAATGGCGGCTTCTTGTCCTTGGGGTTCTGCCTCAGTTGGCACATTCTTTGCAGGAATTCCTGTTCGTTCGTTGCCTGAAAATTCGTTTAGCTGAACCTGAGCGGGATCAGCAACCTCTTCTGCGGCAGCCGGTGTGGCAGCAGGTGACGTTGCGGCCTGCGGATTCGCTTGGTCGGGAGCAGCGAGCCCAGCGTCCTTTGGTTGCTGCGCAATTTGCGTAACAAGTGTGGGTTCTTCTGCTGAATTATTAGCTAGGGCTTTCCCAGACGGTGTTGGCCCCTGCAATTTAGGTCAAACAGGACGAGACAACGTTAATGCAGGAAACGCCATGTCAAAAGATATTCCTAAGTCAAAAGAAAGAGTTATGGTAATTGGTTATAGCGATCCAAGGGAAACGGGCTGGTGACTTGACGCACCGGGAAAGGCGCAGGGGCCTGGCGCCCGGCTCCTCCCTGGTTGTCCTCCTTGGCGCCATCCTTGCAACAAACTGCACCCATGTCACTCAGTCGGTGGCTAGGATTTCAGTCAAGCAAATGCTGCCGGCCACTCGGGGCCCGTAATCTATGACCATGGATGTCTCAGTTCTGAGTATCAGATAAGCGGTACCACAGCCATCGTTTAAAAAGCATACCCTGAACCTTTTGATGCGTTGTGGGCGTTGTACACTGACGCATGGGCAAAGTTACTTGTACATGTACGACGTTTTCCAGAAGGATTATCTTTGAATTAAGCAACAGCATCATAAAGTGATTATTATCGTGATAGATGGCAACATCTACCTGACCAGCATCGCTTGTCGCGAAAGCAAGCACTCCGGTTCACGTGGCACTCCGGTTCACGTGTATGGATTCGTTCGCATACCGTCCACCCTCCTTGCCACCTTCGCCAAGCTCCCTCCCACCGTTACGTCACCTATTGCTGCCCCAGCCTCCCTAACAACACATTTGCATCATCTTTGTTCTCGACCCCCTAACGCCATCGCCATCCGCCCTACATACCAGAATGTCAACGGTGGCTACATTTGGTCGCTTTGGCCCTTGCTGCGTAACCCAGTTTCCGCTGCGCCAAGCTTGGCCCTGGCTTGTGCTGTGGGGTTCCCTGAGGAGGGCTTTGGCCTGCTTTGCAGCTACCGCCATTCCCTACCAACGTTTCACCTTGAGTGCCGGGGGAAGCGGCAAGAGATATACCGGTACCAGTCACGTAGTTGCTGCTACGGTTCGCCCTTAAGCTCCTCGGGTCGACTTCACAACGTTTCTTGCAGGGCTTGTTTCCCTCCGAACCAGCTTTTGCTCCGCGTTTATCCCGTACAATGCCGCCGTGATGACAATGTGTTAATCCCGTACAACGCTGTGTACGACACCGCCTCCACATCTACTGATTGAAAAGCTCACTCCCACTCAAGTAAACCACTGCACGATACACTAGATGGACCCTCATCACATCCATCAGGCGTCCATCAGCGCTGTGCGAATGGACGCGGAGACAAAGCAGGGGACAGACGTGTAAGAGAGGCAACTCGACCCCCATGTTTCATCTTCGTCCCTTGAGTTACCCTCAATCTCTCATACGGCCGCCCTATGTAAAACAGAAGGCTAAAAGCACTCAGCGGCCACGAACCTTCACGTATTCTCTCATAAGTAATCTCACGGTACTTCATGCCAAACAAAATGCACGCTAGACGAGCAACAAATGCCGCTTTCCAGCGCCGTACAGAGGATTGTGCTTGTACGGCATACATTTAGCCGTATTTAGCCGCATTAGAACGTGCGCCAAGTGAAACGCCATGCAACGTGCAACGTATGCCATCTTGAGGCCTGACCGTTATGTGTCCAATTCCCCCCTGCCCGTCACGGCAGCGGCAACAGCTGTTGCCGCTGCCATACCATCAGTCGTATCACCATTGCAGTCACCATTACCAATACCATTACCGCCGCCATCCGCCATCGCCATTGCCGCCATTGTATCGGTGCCACCACTGCTTCTTCTGTTCATCACCTTCGCTAGTATCATTGCATCACATACATCACCATCATACCTCACCAAAACACATTCGCATGCGCCTTCCTTGTCTTTGCCGCCCATTCCGACGGCTGCTTGTCTCCACACAATACCGGCACACCATTCCACGCACCCCGCCACACTGCTTTAGAGTATGGGCGGCAAGTTGCCCCGATGCATTCGTACATCCGTACACCCCGTACAAGGACACTTACCCAAAGGATCTAATCCCCGACGTATTTACATTACGTACTAGTGCTTCTTCACTGATCGGTCCCCACTCCCCAGCCTGAACGCCACATTCCAACAGCCGGTGCTACTGATTAGGACACTAAGACGCTCCGACGCTCCTACCAGAAATCAACGCCGAAAATGAGCTCATTAACTAAATTTGCAACGAAGTACCCAGCACAAGCCAAGTACTCATGCCTCAGAAGCACTCCGTTGGGTGGCAATACCTCCCAACGGGTATTCAGTAAACGGCTGTTTACGGCCGGGCCATGCGGACCCCTCCCCTAGTGCCTCCGTCCCAGACGCACCCAACTAACAATGCGGGCATCCATGAGCAGCATGCAAGAAATGCCGCAAATAGCCAGCATGCACGTACGGCGCAGAAGTACGGTCATGTAGGGTACTCGCTATCTATACCGTCATACAATATTGTCGTACAAGCAAGGGCAGCAAAAAATTCAAAATACCAGCGCAATGGCCAAACTTGTCTCCGCTCCGTCATGCATGAACATCCGAACCCAATGCTACAGTCGGCATGCCCGAAAGCCCACAGCAACATGCTTCCCGTCTCTACTCCAATCGTTTAACGCGCCCACGCATCCTTAGCCACGCTCGCCGCCCTCCTAATCCCCTTGACAACAGGACAAAGCCTATGCTGCCATGCATAAGTCTTACGCACTTGCAGGCCCTCCACCAGCCTACAGAGCCACGACAGCCCCCACATGCACCGTGCAGTGCGTTGTAAGTTGTCTCCGGCCAACGCACACTCCCTTTCCAAGCCCTGTACCCGTATCGCCTCAAGCAACCGTCTACACATGCGGCTGCTAGGCTATCGCCACCGCAATCCCCTAATTGATACATGCACACCGAAATAGCAGTAGCAACAGCAGCAGCTGGTGGTGGCTGCTGATGTCGCCCCTCGTCCTCAATCTGTCTCGCTCTGGCATAACGCTACATTCCAGTAACCACTGTCGCTCGTAGTTAGCTAGTTCGCAGTAAAATGAAAGGGACTTTCCATAACTCGCACCTCAAACAACTCTCTCATCATCAGGCTCATCGCACGGCGCTCTAACCCTACAGTGTGGCGCTGCAGTTGGGAAAGGTTCGCCAACAATCAGCTGCTACATCTCCAACAACTCACCCCGTCGCACACTGCAGCATACCCTCCATACTAAGCTAGTTAGCGCGCGTGACACACGTGCGAACCGTCTTGTACAGCAGCCGTTAAGGTCAAGGTTAAGGTGATCTCCTCTCACAGGCCCTCTCTTGGTACTATCCCTCCATTAGCCTCTTGTTCTGCCTCAGTAGTCTTCTACCGTCTTTAGTAGCGCCTGAGTGGGTTATCTTCCTCATCCACACCGTGCCTTAAGGTGGCACTGTTTATTCTCCCTATGTTATACTTCAACGCTCTCAAATAGTAGGGATCGTTGGAAACCATGCCAAGAAGCACACGAATACCCTCTCCTACCCTCTCAAGCATGAGGAAGCACCCCAGGCTGTGCACCGCTCTATCTTCCTCTAGCTTGCGTCTCCTCTCAACATTCTAATTTAGCCCCATTTACAGGTCGGCCTACTAAATAGCATGGCACGTTGAAATTTACCACATATTCCTCTAAACACAACAACCCTCCGTTGGTGACGCTCTTGTCCTCTAATAAAAGGCTCCATAGCAATGTGCCTTTACTCTCGCCGCATACTAAGATACTTAATTCTCTCCCACGCCTCCCACCCCCTCCCATGCACGCGACCATCCCTCGTACCCGCATCACGGCAATCCTGCAATCTTGCAATGCCACAACCCCGGAGGTCGCTTCCGCAACCTCCGGCACGCGATATGGCGTGCCGTGCCTGCACAGGGCGCTGCAGCAAGCGCTCCCGTCCTCGACCCCGCTTCATTCCTCGCCGACGCCTACTTGATACCAGTGCCTCACATGTTGCTCGAAAGCTTCAGGCCTCCAGCAGCAGGGCTCGCCTCACAAATAGACTCCGAGGACTCGTTGCAGCTGCTCGCCCTTCTCCTCGCATGCGTCGCTGGCCCAGAGGTACGTGGGCAACACGCCTGCAACCATGTGCACCAATTAGTTGTACGACGCAGACAGTCTATAATGGAATTGACCATTGCATGAAAGGGTGAATTTGAAGGACTATACAAGTACGGCAGCGAGACGGGCTAGGTGCAGGAAGACAACAATGCACGCATTCAAGCTAGGCCCCATGCCATGCAAGCCATGTACGCCTGGCTTTCGCATCAGCCCACAGAAATATGCGGCCTACAACCGGACCTCTATATCGTAACGTACCCTTGCCCTTGACCTGCACGCCTCCTGTAGGCTCCCATCGCTCGTTAGGCAGCAGAGCCTGCGTATCACCGGAGACGTGGATGCGTCCCGGCTTCGAAGTGCTCTCCATGCGGCTGGCCGTGTTCACTGCGACAAGGAAGGGCAGTTAAGGGAACGCAAGAAGGCAGATAAGGAAGGCATTTGCAGGTGAGTAGCAGTGTTTAGGTAGGCAAGGGCTGGCGGATAACCTGAGTGACCCATGGGTCGCCGGGAGGTCCCGTCTGGGCCAACTGGGACCCTTCTTCCTTATGGCGTTTAAAACCAATAATCAGGATGAGATGAACAAGGGGGTACAAGGGGTCAAGCCCATACAAGCAACGAGAAAGCGGCCCCTTTGGGTTTGCCTTGAAAACGTGATACCCATACTCGCCGCTGCTCTGCCGTATCTGGATTACGCTGGCGTTGACGCAATGTGCTTACCTGTGTCGCCGAAGAGGCAGAAGCGAGGCATCCTTGAACCCACCACACCGCTCATGACCGGGCCGCTGTGCATGCCAACCTGTGGAATAATGGGAATGCGCGATGGCAGGGTTCTCCCCATCAGCTCAGGAAAATTCCAACGGGACAGTGTCACTATAGCCGATCCCTTCCACAAGTCAAATCCCCGCCCCTGCACGCACAGCACGAACTAGCATGGATCCCTACCCGCATGAGGACGGGACCTCCCGTGGGCAACTGGACCTTCCGAGCCTCTCGCAACATCGCCTGCTCAGAGGACAAGGAGCGGGGTTTGGGCAATAGGTTAGGACAGCACACCGGTACCGGTAAGCTCACACCACACCCGCAGCCGGCACCCATGTGCACGTTAACCCCGGAGCGACGCCAGGTACAGGGCCGATGTCAGGATACCTGCCGTTGTCTAGATACGCCAGGTCAGAACAACCAGGGGTCCACTTCATACCCCACCTAATAACGTTAACCGTGTCCTCAGCCAAGGCTACGAATGCGGATGGAGGCGCTCCCTCACGCGTGAAAGCAGTGCAGCAGCTACAGTACTGCGCGTTGCTTGCATAACGCCACACCCACCACACACGGTTACCTTTGCGAATGCCAGCACTCGAACCGCGTGCAGCTGGTCGTGTGTGATGGTGGTCTTCCAGCCCTCCTCGTCTTGCGCCACTAGCCCGCCTGCTACCATGAAGCAGTCGCCGATGGTCTCCACCTGCAAGATGGGGCCGTGCAGGGATGTCGCCGTGGGTTTATTGACATATACCACGATCAAACACCCTCTTCATGTTAGCGAGGAGTCTAACGGCATTGTCGATATCGCGGGAATTAGATAACGAGTGAACGGCCCATGAAGATAAGGTACCTAACCCTGTCATGCATGCCATCTTACTACTGCAGGAGTTGCCCACATACACCCTGGCGTTGACGGTAGTTATACACGTATGTACGGTATGCTAGCCTTTTGTCGTACAGTAAAGCTCGAGACATACGCACCTTGTAGACACGGTAGATGTCCAGCATGGCGTCGAAGCGGCTGTAGAGCTGGTTCAGGAAGGTCATGACCTCCAGGGGCGTCACCTGCTTGGCCATGCTGCGCAGCAGGTTGCGTACCGGGGACGGGGAAGGATTGGGGAAAGGGAGGATGAGAAGGAAGGAGAGAAAAGCTGAGCAGAGCAGAGAGGACTTGTACACTGTCAGGGGCCATGGAAATAGCACATAAATTGTAGGCGGAGGAAGGCCAGCCCAACAAGCCAGGCAATACCGGCAAATGCCGCATAAGGCGTCAGGCTTGCTTACCTGGTGAAGCCCACAATCTGACACCAGGCAGGAAGTTGAGACCAAGATGCAGGCAACGCGTTATGCCGGACGCCAGATGACCATGTCAGGCATTAGGAGGAGGGACGAAAGGGGATGGGAGCACCGGCCGTAAGACAAGCAGCATGAGTAAGACGTACACAGGACTAGGGAAGCGGAGAGAAAGGAGTTGTTCCTGAAAACAGAGGAACACGGCACAGCTTCAGTGATACCCTGCTGCAAGAGCGGGGCCAGGGATCGACTGCCGTTCTCTGCCCCTCTCACTGTTTTCTACCTGGCCCCGAGGTAAAACCCTTAACACATCCCCACTCCCTCGAAGCGGCCTCATCATTCAAGGCCCTTTATTTGTCCGTTACGCTGCTTTCTTCCCATCCCCAGTGGCCCCCTCACGCTCACATCGGCAAACATAATTGTGACGCACGGGTGCGAGGTTGCCACCGATGCCAGCTGCGCCGCTGTGCTTCTCTGAAGCGCCAGCAGGCCTGCTCCGCCTCCTCCTCCACCTCCCCTTTGTGAAAAGGACGTTGAGCCTTGCCGCTGCTCCCTTTCCCGGCCGCTGTCCTGCTGCTGCAGGCTACAGCTGCTCCGGCGGCTGCGACCCTGCTGTTGACCGCTGGCGCCTGCCGCGCTGTGACTGTGATGCTGCTCCCCTGTATCATTCCCTGGCAGACTGGCGACGGCAGCTGCAGCAGCAGGAGCTGCGGCAGTATCAGATGTGAGTGTACGACGGCTGGATTTGTTAGCCGGGTGGTAGGAGTGGCGGCGACCACCTCCTCGACTGCTGCTCCTGGCCGCCGCGTCAGCTGGTTGCTGGAGTGTGAGATACTCGATGACGTGTCTGCATGCATGCCGTGAAATGCGGGGTAGTCAGGAGGATGCAAGACATAAGCCAGAACACAGGGGGTTAGTAATGTTCAGGGGTTAAAAGTTTGCTATTAGGTTGCTGGCGACGAGGATAGCGGGGAGGATGGTAAGGAAGTGGGTTAGGAAGTGAAGAGGCGGGAGGAGGTTAACCGCTTAGCTGCGCATGTCATGAAGGCGATCTACTGCTATCCTGGCGGCCACGAAGGTTTACGGCAACAGCGTTAGGCTGCCCCTCTTCCCCCGGATTCCGAGCTGTCCTGTATGCATGCTAAACCAGCTGGCCCTCAATATGGCTCCCTTGCACCTGCACGGGACCCTTAATACACTACCTTGCACCTACCTGGGAAAGATGGACTCCAAAATCTTCTGCTCCCGCTCCAGCAGCAGCGTCAGCTGCGACCGAGCATCCATCTGCGCACACGTGCAAAATAGGAGCATGCATGTTGCAACCACCGAATCATTAATCACACCAACAGTGGCCAGGGCTGGGCTGTAACAGGGAATTATGGAACCAATCATGCACGTCTAGACGCGACACGTTGCAGCATGCCTCCTTAAAGCGGCTCCGTTCTCTTCATCAGGGGGTTCAGGACTGTACCATGATTATATCCTAAACTCCATTGCACCTCATACCCTTTTGCCACATCCCTTTCCTGGCACCCTTCACCGCGTACCTGAGCAGTGACATCGTGCTGTGTAACAACCAACACTGGCTCCCCGCTTGTCGGGTTGTTGGCTACGCACACATGCACGCTGTGCCAGATAGGGCCCACGGGCGGTGCGGGAACAGCTGTCGTACCGCAGGCCCCGCCGCCTTCCGTATAACCGATTGAACTGGTGCCGCCGCCACCACCAGTGCCGAAACGGCTGCCACTGAGCCGCTCGTCGTCTGCCGCAGTTGATGCAGTCGGCGCCGCCGCCCGTATGTTTGAGTTGCGGGCTTGCTCCAGCAGCTGCTCGATCCGATCATGGGTGGATTGCCGCGTGATGCGGTGACTGCTGTGGTGGTGATGATGGTGTTGGCTGCGGACAACTGGCGCCAGCAGGGTTCCGCAGGAAGCGAAGGGCAGCAGAGGTGTGCCGGCGGTGAAGGAGCCGCTCTTCTTGATGGGTTCAGAATCCTCTGTGGGTGGATGGGGAGGGTACACCAGGAAAGGCGCCGTGTCAGGTGCACCGAGCGACGGACCCTTCCTCAGCAGTGTGGGGTCATGTGGCCAACACCCAAGGCGATCATGGTGCTGCAACATTCCACCCAAGACACCTTTCTCTCCGTCTAACTACCCGTACACATGGCCCCTTCCTCTCCCCGCCGTGTAACCCACTCCCACCTGGGTCGCTGGGGCCTGACCTTCCGCCGCGTCCGGTCCCCCCCCCGGCGGCCGCGCCGGCGGCGGAGGCCTTGCTTGCCCGCCGCCTCGCCATCTCAAGCTCCAACGTGTCCATGCTGCCCTGCCGGCTGCACACACCGCTAGCGGAGGAGCTGCAGGCGCTCGTAGCGACAGCGGCGTCACCGCTGTTGTGGGTGCCGTACTTGGGGCTGGAAGGGATAGAAGTGGATATTATAGCTGCGGGCGTATAACAGCCCTTGGCACCGCCGCTGCCGCCGCCACTCGCGACGTTTATGCCTAACGGATCAGGCGATGCGGCGACTGCAGCAGTCTCAATAGCGCCGGTAATGATCCCTGCATGCACAGCCACCTCGGTCGCCTCCTCCTCTGCCGTCGTCACCGTAACCAAGCCCATTGTAGCTTCGGCACCAGGCGTCCTGCTGAGATACAGGGAGCAATCGGCTGCGTTTGCGAATTCCTTGTTTACGTCTGGTGCGCTATATGCTGCCCCCCCGGCTCGTGCTGCCAGCCCCGTCAGCCCTGCCGCTGGTCCCATCTGCGGCGCCGCTGGCAGGTACGGCTCATCACCATCCGCCGTACAACTTACAGCGGGCGGTACAGTGCGTGACACGATGGCGGCGCCCGGTTGTACGACAGAGGCGACGGGCGCGGTCGCTGTTTCGCTGGCAGCTGCCACTGCGGTTATGGCTGCAATCGTCTTATATGGGCTCGTGCCTTCGGCGGCGGCCCCGCCGCTCATGCTTGTGCCACCACCACCGGTACGTCCGCCGCCGGCGTCGCCACTGCTTGCAAGTGCCCGCAAGTGAAGGCTAAGAAGCGACTTGGAGGACTTCATACCTTTGCCGATTGGGTTGAGACGCGGCGTCGCAACTGCTGATGCCGCAGATGAAGGGCAAGGAGCATCGCCGGCAGTGCTGCTGACGACGGCGACGCCTCCTATAAAGGACGCATCGCGCGAAGAAGGCGGCATGAGAAGGTTCGCCGTGCTCCCTGGACGAACGGCGTCGTACGAGGATCCCGCCTGCGACGAGCGTGCTGCGTCAGCTGGTTGCGGCGGCGGGCTGAAGCCCACCAGAAGGCTGCGAACCCGAGCATCGTAACCCCGCATGCGTTCGTTTAGCGATGCCGTCGGGTTTGGAATCGCTACTGAGCCAGCGCTGCGACGATCGCCTCCTGGTTGACCGCTATCCGCGACCGCCGCCGAAGCCTCCGTAAACGCTGCCCGCGCGCCATCTGGCTGCTGTAACTTGCTCTCCTCAGCGGTTGTACCGGCAACTTTTGGATCTGTCACGGTACCGCCGTCAGAGGGACCGCCGGTTCCTGGCAGCGGCAGATGTAGGGCCCCGCCAGCGGTGGCACCGTCGCCTGCCACAGGTGCTGCTGCCGCCACCGCTGCCTTCGTAAGCGTGTTAATCAACGAAGCTCCGCGAGGCACGGGCGACGGATTGCTTCCAATGCTAGGCACCAAGGAGAGTCCGCCAGCTTGTGAGTTTGCACGTCTGGGTGGCGGCCGACGGCACCGATGGGCGCTCTTTAGCGCTGTAACGCTGTCAATGCGCAACGCAAATGGCGAGGCCTCCAGCTCCGAAAGCTCCCCCGTCAGCGCGCCGCCGCCACCGAAGCCGAACATGCCGTACCAGGAGTCTTCGTCGCTTTGGCCGTCGCAGGCATGCGGCGCAGTCGCGCCAGCAGCGCCGCCAAGTGAGGGCCGTGAAGCGCTGATCGGGCATCCGGCGGCTGCGGCGCCGCCTCCTCCACCACCGCCGCCGCCACAACCGCCGCCGCCGCCACCGGGCCGCCAGCTCGCGCCAAGCGAAGACCCGAGGCGAAGGTCTAAGGAAAACCGATCGCAATGCGCATTGCGTGCGGCCATTTGACGGCGGCGTGTTGAGTTGCGGCTCAAGATGTGGCTCTTCTCCGGGAGAGACTTAATCGCCTACACCGGAAGGGAGAAATTCTGAGCAGTACTGAAAGCGAAATTTACGGGACGGGCAAGAGGGAACCTTACATGCAAGGGCAACGTTACAGTCAACAGTTTCCAACGGTAAGTAGAGCAAAAGAGGATGCAAGCGGCCGCACGTACCTGGAGGAGCGAGTCAGCGCGGGGAAGGGCCTCCAAGCATCCGTTGCCGCGCACCCCAGAGGCCTCGTCCTTGCCACCTGTAACCACCGTTGACGCTATGCCCTCGCCGCCACGACCGCCACCAACCCCGCAGGAAACGCCGTTTCGACGACCTAGGCTGCCCTCCACTAGCCCCGTTGCGCTCGCCACAGCCGCCGCCGCTGACGCCGGCACAGAGAAAACTGGCGAGCTGTTAGGAATGGGCGCCGGTCGACGCGGCGGTACCAGGATACCATGCGGCGGGGTTCGGGGGCTGTAGCCACCGAACCGACGATGCGACGTCGACGGAAGCGGCAGACTGGTACTGCTGCGGCTTAAACTAGGGCCGCCATTACTGCCGTACGGAGGGCTCAGACAGTTCGCGTTGCCGTACCCCACAGGCGACGACAGGCCGTTAGAGGTGTGCCACGGAAAGCCTGTCGCCGCCGGCGCAGTATCGTACGGCGAGAAGTGCAGTACACAGCGTTCGTCAATGGAACGTCGCGCGCCAACAGTATTTACAGTGGCCGCCGGCTGCACTGCAGTTGCCTGCGTCGCCGCCTCTGCCAGTCCTTGTTGCAGACGCTGTTCCTGCCGACCGTTTCCGAGGCCCCACGATCCCGTTGATGCCCTTCCCGTTATCTTCCTTCGGCTGCTCCATTGCATGTATCCTGCTGGGTCCTGCAGGTACTGTGCTTGCCATGTAGGCGTCAGCAGCGACCCATGGGTCATCGGACCTCCTTCTTGGCCCTCCGCAGCTGCAGCAGCGGCGTCCGGAGCCCCAGCCGCGGCCATATGGGGTGCTGCTGCAGCGCAAAATGGGTCAAAGGGCTCATCCACAAGTACCTTAGACGACCGCACGGGCAACACTGCTGGTGCTGCCTCACGGCATCTAGGCGGCGATAACGGCCGTTCGCTAGCAGCGTCCTCCGGCCCATGCCTGCCCATAAGTTCTCGTAACACCAGCCCGCCAAAGTATCCGCCAAGGCCTAGCCCAGCCCTTCCGCTGCCGTTGCTGCCCCTGGCGCTGCCGCAGCTAGCCCTGGCGCCGCCTCCCCTGCCACTACCGCCATCCTCGACTCCATGCATACTGCTCCCAGCACTGGTGTGCTGCCCGCGTTCTGTGCGCGTTTGTGTGGAACCGGGTGATGGCGCCCCACCAGCAGCAAAGCGGCTCGGAATGAGGCTGCGGACGACGCTGGTGCCCTTACTAGCCCGCATGCGCTTTTCTCTTGTAGACGACCCCTGTCCCTGTCGACCGATGCCCAGGAAACAAGCCATGCGGCCCGCAATGGATATCAGTGTTCCTTTCTGATGAGTCTTTCCGACGTCGCTAACTCTGCCGCCGCCACCGCTACCGCGACCGGCATCCGCAGAACTGCCATCATCGCTCGGCCCCAGCGTACTCGACAGTTGCAACCGCGAAGTCGAGGGCGTGGGAAACACCGAGGCTTTAGGCGGCTGCAATTGCGACGGTGGCAATGCTGTTGCCCCGCCGCCAGTCGACGTCTCCTTCTGCAGCTGCTGCTGTAGCCTTAGCTGCTGCAGTTGTTGCTGCAGAGGCGGCAGCGGCGACGGCAATTGCGGAGGCAGTGAGGCTCCATCCGCGGCAGCAGCGGCAGCTGCTGTGGTTGCTGCCACCTTTACATCCCCAGACCGCTGGGAGCGCAACAATGGCGGCGACGGTGACGTAGAGTTCAGCATTTCAACAATCGGCAGTCCTTCCGTCAAACTGTCCTCCGGACGGGTCATACGGCCCAGGCGAGAGGCTCCGGAACACAGCTTGCCGGAAGGCCCAAGGGGTGATCCAAGGGAGCCGTACGACGGCAATCCAGCGGAGTTCGACGTTTGGGCGTTGGCAATGAGGATGCTGCCACCACCACCGCTCGTCCCACCACCACCACCGCTGGTGCCACCACCACCTCCGCTGCCAACGCTGTTGCATGCGCCGCTGTAAGCCCTCCTTTGCAGGGCCTGCTGCTGCTGTTGCTGCTGCTGTTGTTGTTGCTGTTGGAGGACACGCCCTGAGGAGGCCTTGTCCAGCATCCAGACCGCACGTTGCTGCGAATGTACGGGCGCGATGCAGCCGCTGCTGTCGCGCCCATCGTTGCCACCAGTGTTGTCGCCGATATCTGCAGCGGTGGCTCCGGTAATGCGAGGCAACGGGCATAACGCGAGTTCCTCAGCCGCCACCGCCGTCGCAGCGCCCGTCGCCGATTGTGATTGTGCATTGGCGGGCTCGAAGCTTGCGTCGCAAAAAGAAGGCAGAGCCGCTTGTACCTCAGCACATATCGTTACGTGAGCTGACGTGGCGGAAACGGAGTTGGATGCTGGTGTCGTCGTTCTCGATATCGGGGAGGGACTGAGGCCCGCTAGGAAGGGCGCCAGGGTTGGGGGCACCTGCACAGTCTCCTCAAACTCCTGTAGTTGAGCGAGCAGACGGAAGCGGTAGGAGGGTTGTGAGGGGATGAGAAGACCAAAAGAGCGATATACCCATGCGACAAAGCTGACATGTTGCGAAACCCTTGCACCCCCCTCTCTCGGCGCCCCGCACGCACCTCCCCCGCCTGCAAGCAACCCTGCAACCGCTCCAATGCGCCCGGCTCGTTCCTCAAAAGCTCCTTCAGCAGCAGCGGAACTCGCACCGCAACAGCTGCTGCGTCCGTCGCCGTTGCGGCAGCCGCAGCCGTCGCCGTTGACGGAATGACGTCCAATGCGTCTGTCGTTACTGAATCTCCTGCCGCTGGCAGGCCTACCGCGGCGGTGGCAGAAGCGGTTGAAGGGCCCGACAGATTAGCAGCGGTAAAGCCCATCGGCTGGGGTTGTTGTTGTTGTTGTTGTGGTTCCCGTGCTTCAGCTGCGGCCATGATCGCAGGCGGCGGTGCGGGACCCTGATGCGGAAAGCAGGGTTTGCGGGGTAAGGGGCGTTGTTTGAGGTGGTACACCTTGTACCGGAACAAGGGCGGGTGAGTCTGATAGATAAGACACGGAGCAAGGTAGCACATAGGGCATAACAAAGCATGGAAGGCATTGTCCTACGCTATGTTCGCCGTTACGCACGCACCATGTACGCTTGCGAGTTCTGGTTTTGGTAGATGACTGCCCCAGTGGTGTAGTCGACAACGGTAATCATGCCCTGCGCCACATCAGCCGCCAGCGCCTTGACAACCAGCAGTGACCCGTGGGTCACATGCGCCGCTGCGTGTACTGCACATGCGCTTACTGCGGCAGCAGCAGCAGCACCAGCATAAGCACCAGCAGTGCCGGCAGCAGCAGCAGAAGCCACTGTGACGGTTGTCGAACTCGGCGTAAGCGGCTTGGCACAGTGGGTGATACGCAAGCCGGGTTGGCGGCGGGAACGTGTGCCGGATGTAGATTGGCCGCTGGCCAATGTGTTCTTGCCGATAGGGATGGCGGGCAGCAGGCACGTTTGAATCTGCAGACCGAATACGGAGGAAATGCAAACATGGGCAGGGAACGAAATGGGGGTATGGTATTACTGACAAGGAGGGTCACCTTCCGACCCCGTCTTCCTCACCTGGATGTACGGTAAGCGCTGCAGGGCGTGCCGGAGAGCTTGCCGACGGTTTCCAGCGCCGCCGTTATCACCACCCCCACCGCTGCCGGCAACGACGATGCCAATTCGGCCAGAGACGCCGCCGGTGTCAACGTCGCAGCCACTGCTGGCGTCCCTCTCGTACGCGTCTGTAACCGCCCCTGAAGACTGGGGAGCACGCATCGCGCCCTGCCTCCCTCTACCGCCATCGCCACCTCCGCTGCCGCCGACTTGTCCACTACCCAGGCTGCTGTTATTGGAGTCCCGTTGGTTGGCATCCGCCTTGAGCTGCACCGTTGCTTCGAACAATCGGCTAGCCCGTGCAGCCCTGGACGATGTGTGCAACGGCAGCAGCAGTAGCGGTTCAAGGTAGCGGCATGTGGCAGCAACGACATCAGACCAAACGCCCCAGCCCCAGTTGCTTTTAAACCCAGTTGTTAGCCTCCGTCGGAAGCCCACCTGGCTGCACGCCGGAACGCCCGCCTCAGCCTCCGCTCGCGCTCCAGTAAGCCCCTCAGTAGCGCCGCATACTCCTCCTGCTCCTGCTCCTCCTCCTTCCCTTCCCTACATCCATTGTCCTGATCACCCGCCTGACCACCAAATCGCTGCCGCTGCTGCTCCTCCTCACACAATCCCTCTGCCGGCCCCTGGAGGCCCGTCAGCGCCTCCACATGCCAATTCCTGTTCGGGCTATGTTTGCGGCCGCCACGAGTAGCGCTCTGGCAGCCCAAGCCGCGCCCCAAACCTTGTCCCAAGCAACCTAAGCTGCTGCCAGCACCCAAGATGCCTGGTCCGGACCGTCTCCCTTTGGCCGGCAGGACACAGTTGGTGTTGCTGCTGCTACGAATGCTGTCGAACTCTTCTTCTTCGTCGCCATCCTCACCTTCGGAGCTGCCTGTGCTGGGCTCCTGAACGCCTCTGTGGTTGTTATCATGGTCCCCAATGCCGTCCTGCTTAATGCTGGTGCCCTCCTGAACATGCCCGCGGCCATCGCCCAACCCGCCACTGTTGTAGTCCCCGGAAGAGAGCGAGGAGGAATCTGTTGCCCCGCTTCCTAAATCCGTTCCGAATCCAAAACCCGAATCTGGACCAGTCAGGCGTGAAGAGCAGCAGCGCCGCCCAATGCGGAACAGCCGTCTAACCTGGGCCCTCCTTGCAAACCACTGGCCGAATTTGAGCTGCAGGCATGACGGAGGCCGAGCCGCCGATTCAGTTAAGGCTGCGGCAAACTTGACGGGAGTGGCGGGCGCGTTCTTTCGCAACTTCTGGTGCGCTGCGAGAAGCTTGTTGGCGTTTTCAGTGGGACTGGTTTCCAGCCGTAGGACCGCCTGGATAGTAAATGCGGTGGCGGAGAAGACTATTGGCATTGTCTTATCAGCGGGTGCAGGTTTGGAAGGTGTTGGGTGGGGCGGGACGATGCTGTGCACAGCCGCATTTGCCGCCGTTAAGAGCCGTGGGCTACAGCGGTTGGGAGCTTGGGCGTAGTCTAACGGACTTGAGAGGTTCACTGGGCCAATTCCGGCATCAAAGCCGTCGTCAGCTTCAGGGCTTGTAACGCCGTTGTTACCACGGTTTTCCGGTCCGCCTAAAAAGGGGTTCGCCGAATACCGGTATGCGCGAAGTGAGCTAAAAAAGCGAAAAAGCGTCAAAAAGCGTCGGCACAGGCAAGCAACAAGCGCAAATAACATATCGTCATGATGTTAATACGATCTGATAATGTTCTAGGCAACATCGGCTGCCGCGATTAGTCCTATTGTGATGCTGCTCCGCCCCAGACCAGGGTTCCGCTTGGTCGCTACTAAGGGTTTCTCAAACATTGAATGACAGCGTTACACATAGCGACTATTTGTGAAAGCATCACAAGTAAACGTCGCGGCCCAAGGCAGGCAAGCATTAAGCTGCAAGTGCTCCTGCGACGGCGAACACTAGATATGATGCGCTCTACCATACCTGCAGCATTAGGTTGAAGCGCCTTGAGGAAGCCGCTAACACAGAAATCGATAGCCGGTTGCGTCGGCGACGGTGGCTTGCTGGCCATGGCGCATTTGTTACGACTGTCTATATGCGCAGTGCCTACAGTAGCATAACAACTGAACACTGGTGTGATAGATAATCATGTATGTTTATAAGTGCATGGCACACTAAAGGTTCTGCACCAGCTCAGGCAACGTTCAGTTCCTTATAGACAATCTTGTGCGTGCATCGGTTTCGTGCAGTCCATAATGTTCTTACTCTAACCAGTGGGCGGAGCTAGACTTGGACGAGCAGATTAGGACTATAGGCCTAATGTGTAGTGAGACAGCTGGTTTTGTTTTTTGCGACAGTGCAGCGATGTGTTCAGCATAGGTGGGCCGCTGTGTGAGTCCAAAGTGTCGTCTAGATAAGAAGGGTTCGACAACGAACCACGTGCTAACAGATAACGGAACACCAAGCAAATTCCTGTGCGCACTGAACCAATCCCTAAAGCACAGGTCCATATATAGCAAGCTTATATACTACTGTCTGACGTGTTGCCTGGTATGTAGACCTTTGAACGGGTTTAGGCGCGTGTTGGACTATGCCGGTACGCTGTACAAGCGCCCAATCGAACGCACACTTACTAACCATCCAATATACACCACATATATACTGGGTTCGATCCCAAGGTGTAGGAACCTATCGAGTAGGAATAGGTGTGTCGGACGGCGGGCGGCGAGCCAGCTAGTTGCCCAGTCACCACAGATGCCTTGTGCCAGGAGCCGATGGCAGCTCTCAATAAAATCCTCGTCACGTTTGTGCAGACAAGCACTGGTTTAAAATGCTGTGTTAGCACATAGGTTTGAGACATGAGACATGCAGCCTGCTACAGCCCGGACAGCTTGGCCACATTTGAACTAAAGGCGAACCCCGGGTATGATGTACCAACGTGCAGGGTGTGTGACAGACGCTGCACTTCCCTAGCCAGCAGTCTAACCGGGCTGTGCCCCATGGCCTGTGTGATGAGCGGGGCACGCACAAGAACGAGATGAGCTGTGGATTATGATGCAATGTGTAATGTCAATTGTCAGAGCGAAACGTTGCCCTGATCTCCGGCAAAGAGGCAGATAATCTCACCACACGGGGGTTACAATCAGCAGGCACGCAACTGACGAATCGACCAGCCAACCTAATAATCCATACCCAATCCCATAAATCCCGCCAGGGAGGGGCCAAGCTGCCAATATGACTTCAGGTGTTACGCCCGTTTCCCCTTCAAAGAGCGTCCTTAAGAATACCCTTGCGCTACATATCACTTCAGAGGCTACCAAGAGCCGCAAACAAGCTGAACTTGAGCGGGGCATTACCCGCAACACCCACGGCTCGCAGGGGCTCCCGCACGGAACCCAACCTAGCAATGAAGCTCCTTACCGCCCCCCTCTTGATGCTACTGAGGGTGACTTGAAACCTCCATCCTGGCTTAACGCATCAAGCAACACCGCTAAGGGTCACCGCCAAAAGCCGCCTCCCAACCCGTCCACATCTTTCGTCAAACGAAGCCCCACGCGCCATAACGTAAGCCAGGGAAGAAAGCCAAAACGTTGAATGCAAATGCCCTTTGCAGATGCGCAGGCAATGCGGCCTGTTTCTTCTCACAAAACAAATCACTAGAACCAAGGCTAGTCATACGTAGTTCTTCCCAAGCGCGGGTTCACGTGACAATTTTGGATTTCTTGCGTTCATGGGTGGCACGCACGAGAGCGTGTGGTTTGAGCTCACCCTCGGCGCTCACAACAAAAGCGCCGGAGCCTCTTCCCACACGCCTCCAGACCGCCCCAAAGCTTATACCAGCCGACAATCAAACCTATACCTAGTTCCCTCACCACAAAGTGCGCAACAACGTCAAAAGCGCACGCCAAAATAGCTACAAGCGCCGCAATACCGTGCAATAGCAAGTGCTGTAGCAACCGGCCGCATCACTGCTAGTCACAGCTAAAGCTTAGTACTTGCCCCGGCCGCGTCCACCGAAACCTCCACGGCCGCCGCCGCGGCTGCCCCCGCGGCCCCCAAAACCACCACCGCTGCCCCCACGCCCGCCATATCCACCACCGCTTCCTCCACGACCGCCGTACCCGCCGCGGCCGCCACCGCCATAGCCCCGGTTGCCTCCGTTGCCGTAGCCGTTACCGTAACCACCGTTGCCATAACCGCCATTGCCGTAACCGTTGCTCTGCTCCACCGGCCTGGCCTTGAGCTCTGGCAGCGATGAGGGCAGGGTGATGGTGATGCCTCGCTTGCCGTCAGCCGCGTCTAGGAAGGCCTGCGTGTGCTCGGAAGGCACGTCAAAGACGGCGCCCTTGGAGTCCGCGGTAACCGTCAGGCGCTTCACCTGAGGGCGGGTGGGGGGGGGTGCGAGAAGAGGGGGAGAGGGGTAAGGAGAGGAGAGTATTTGGGAACCGTACACAATGGAACAAATGATTGCCTCTTAGGGGCACTCTGTCATACGTTCGGGAAAGGCGAGAGAAAGCACACTTTCAAGATCCCTCAGCTCAGCGACCTTCCCTAACCACCTCCCATGCCCACCCCACCCCCACCCCCTCACCTGCTCCAGCAGATCCTCATCCATGCGGCACGTCTTCCTGAGGTGTCCCCACACGGCGCTGGGCGTCTCAATGGTGTGGTCCTCGCAGGTGAACATCAGCGTGGTGCAGTCGTCGTGCGCAGTCAGCAGCGAGCGGGCCTTCATCACCTGCGGGGGTGAGGGATGGGGCGGAGGGGCAGCGGGAGGAGCAGCGTGAGGAAGAGTCCTGAAACAAGGAACACGCTGCACCCCGCGCAGCCAAGCATCTTCCTACAACCTCTTTTTACAGTTAATCACGACCCCTCTTCCTTGGCCGGTCAGCCTGCCTATCCTCTGCCCTAGCCAACCGCCCGTTCCCTACACCCCTCCTACAACCCAACACCTCAGCGAGCCACTCATCCTGCCTTACCTTGTATCCGGTAATCTTGGCCAGCGCCCTCGCCAACGCCTCCGCCGGGTCCCGCCCCTGCTCCTCCTGCTCCTGCAGGTACCGCTCGGCCGCCTCCCGGAAGTGCCCCACCACCGCGGGCTCCACCTCACTCAGCAGCGCCAGGGTGCGCTCCGCGGCGATGCGGGCCATGTCGGCGGGCTGGGGGGCGCCGATGCGCTCAAACTTCATGCCCGCGCGCGACTCGATGATGGGCACCTGAGGGGGACGAGGGTGGTTTGCATGGTGGTGGTGGTGATGGTCAGTGGAAGCGGAGGAGGTCGAGGCGCGCAGCAGGTGGCTCCCCCAAGAACGGAGACGATGCCTTCAGGAGACCCGTTTGCAAGCAAACTCCAAGCACGTCCCTCCCTGCCCTCCTCTCCCCACGTCCCTCCCTGCCCCCTTCCTCACCATGTACTCCATCTTCTTGGTGACCAGGGTGATGCAAACGCCGCTGCTGCCCGCGCGACCGGTGCGCCCGGAGCGGTGAATGTACGTCTCCCAGTCCGCCGGCGGGTCCACCATCATCACCAGCTCGATGCCCGTCACGTCCAGGCCGCGCGCCGCCACGTCCGTGGCAATGAGCACCGGGAAGCGGCCCTTGCGGAAGCCGTCCAAGGTCTGCTCGCGCATGGACTGCGCCAGGTCACCGTGGAGGGCCTGAGGGAAGAGGAAGAGGGAGGGGGACAGGTGGTGCTAAGGGCAATGGTGAGGAATAGGCAAAGCAAAACAGGCGTTGCCATGACAGGCGTGACAATCCTACAACCCTCTCGTTACACGCGTCCCGCCCCTCACAAGCAAGCCCACTCATGAATTGTAAACAAAACCCAACCCAAGCTGGACCCACCTGCGCTCCCAGCGAGTCACCCAACACCACACTCAGCTCCGCCGCCTCCTTCTTGCTGTCCGTAAAGATAATCGTACGACCGCCCGCGCCGTACGACGTAATCAGATCCTTCAGCAGTCCCGCACGCTGGGGGTACGAGCACGGCAGCATCAGGTGCCGTACCGTCACGGCGGCCTGCATGCGGTCGTCTCCCACCAGGTCCAGGAAGCAGTGTCCGGGGCGCAGGAAGCGCTTTGTGAGGCCCTGAACCCACTTGGGCAGGGTGGCGGAGAAGAGCAGGGTTTGGATGGCGTCGCGCTGCTCCTCGCCCTGCTTGAGGATGGTCTCCACATCCTCGATGAAGCCCATGGCAAGCATCTGGTCCACCTCGTCAAGCACGCGGAAGCTGCGGGTCGTGATGTGGCGGGAGAAGCAACGGGTTGGTCGCTTAGAAGGGGAAAACACTTGTTTTGCGTTCGCAATCGGATGTTGTTGTTGTTGCGGTCGTTAATGTAGTTCGGAGGAGAGGTAAGCCGCGATGAGCAAGCGTGTTTCAGGATACATGCTTGTTGCAAGGTTGACAACCCGTAGTTCCAATCTCTTCCTCTCCTCACCGGATGTTGGAGAGCTTCAGGGTGCCGCGCTCAAGGAGGTCCTTGATGCGGCCCGGAGTGCCCACCACCACGTCTACACCCTTGGACAGCGCCTGCTCCTGACCGTCGTACGGCGTGCCGCCGTACACGCAGAGGGTGAAGAGGTTGGCAGCCTTGCCCACGTTGGCGAACACCTCTTGGACCTGCAGGTACAAGAGGGGTGGCGATGAGTTGCAAGCGTAGTGTGGAGGCGCAACCAGTTTGCTACACATGTCCCAAACCGAGCTGTAGTTCACTTCCCAATGGAATATTCTCGCGAACAAATTCGTGCAAAGTGCGCTCCCTCCGTTTGCTCCCTCGTCTTACCTGCTTAGCGAGCTCACGCGTCGGCGCAAGGACGATGCAGCTGGGCAGGCGACCCATGGCACGCGACCCAGCAGCACCGCCCTTCTTCTGCTGCTCCAGGATGCGCTCCACGACAGGCAAGACGAAGGCAAGCGTCTTGCCGCATCCGGTGCGCGCGCGACCAACAACGTCCAGACCGGCGATGCCCGGCTCGAGCGTCATGGCTTGAATGGGGAACAACGACTCGATGTTCTGGCTGCGCAGCATCGACTTTACTTGTTCTGATAGCGGGAAGCGGTCAAGGCCCAACTCCGACGCGGGCGTGGCGGCCGTAATGGGAGGAAGCCCAGAGGCCGCCGGCGGCTGCGGCTCGGTTTCCTCGGACGCGCTAGCCTTCGCCGAGCGCTTAGCCTTCTTTGCCGGAGCCTCGACGTCCCCATCCTGCTCCGTCTTGGCCTTCTTTGCGACCTTCTTCACAGCAAGCGATTCCTCCTCCGCTTCCTCTGAATCGCGCTTGCGCTTGGTTTTCTTGCCGTCCTCAGTCACGTCCTTCTTCACCTTCTTCACTTTCAGAGTTGCCTCCTGGTCTTTTAACTTTGCCATTGTGATAGCAGACCTCTGTTACGCAGTAGATGAGGAAGGATAGGACTGAAGTTGAATGTGAAGCTTGAAGGCACTATGTTCTCCAGCGCTTTATATGGGTCTATAAGCTGCAGCAAGGCGGCTAGGGTTTCCGTACCATACATTACTGTCTCATGTCATGCTTTCGGGTAGACTGCTATAGCAAGCTAAAGACCAGATAGAACGTTTTTTATCTTTTTACAGAAGACAACTGACCCACGCCAGCCAGGAAAGCTTAAGGCTGCAAGCCTGCCCGCAAGCTAACCGCCGCGCGAACGTGACAGTGCACTCGTCGATGCCTTTCAACCCTCCACAGGCGTCGCCATCATGTCTTATGTGTAACGTTTAGTCCTATACTGTTATGCACGGTAATGGGACAGCACGCGAACTTGTCCAAGCACTAACACCATAGCAGTACGTTATCGTCGTACATTGGGGCTCCCAAGGCCTCACACCCCTTACCCTATCCTACTGCTAGGCCTGGCTCCTCCCCGAGGAAACGCCTGCCCCTGCCACGAGTCGTATGCCTCACCCCATACCTCCCATTGATACACACACCGCTGTTACACACATGCATGAAGCATAACACATATCCTGAACGCAGACTCTGTTCGCCAAGAGGAAGAACTGATATTCGGCCATGCATACCGCCGTTCATACCGTCATACCGTTCATACTGTTCATACAGGTGCCGTTATAACGTGGCACCTGCTAGACTCCATAGACTCCATACATATGTCATTGCTAGGAGGAAGGCTACGACGAAATCTCACAAGCCAGTACTGTAGCGAGAGGACCTGCTGCAGCACACAGGGCGTCGGCTTACGCTACCTATGAACGCTGAGACCCAAAATGGCCATACTACCTGTACCCGCCCAGTCCTAGCCTAGACACGCTCTAATCCTTCAAGATGTGGCTCGCCATAAGCTTAGCAAAGCTGAAACCATTGAAGCGGTCCTCCCCGGTCAGCTTCTTGAGCTGCGCGTCGCTCAAGACGAAGCGCTTGTCCTTGGGATCCTGCACGGCTCGCCAAAGGAGCATTCACGTCACAAGGGGCGCCAGAAAGGGGCCGGCCCCGAGATTCATGCCCAATCAAGCCTTCAATGCATGTACATGCAGCGAAAGCCTGCCGGAGCCGACAATCTGCGCCGCGGCAAGCTGTAGGACTTAAACAGAAACACAACAACAGCATCGGCCCGTCGTGCCGTCAACCCACATGTCCTGCGTGTAGCATGTTGGACCCGCCCACCTGCAGGCCGCGCTCCTTCACGTATTCCCAGAAGAACTTGGTCAGCTCATGCCGCGGCATGCTCTCCTGCTTGCACCATGCCGCCGCCTCCGCACTCAACCGCACCGGCTTCGTGAAGTTGTTCGGCTTCTTGGCCTCGCCCTCCTCGCCATCGCCGGCCCCAGACGCCCTGCTCTTCTTGGCTTGGGGCTTGGCGTCGGCGCTGCTGGCGGCGCGCTTCTCAGCGGCTGCGGACTTGGAGGCGGAGCGGGGCTCCGGGTTGGACTCTGCGTTTGGGACGGGAGCAGCGGGTTCGGATGCATGAAGTTTGGAAGGAGTACAATGTAAAGCAACACAATACGGAATGGCGACCGAGCTTCCTATGGTTTGGTGTTATTTCTGATCCCCCATATACGTGCAGGGGGATGGCGCTAAGGAATGCGGCGCAAGCATGCCATGCGCATAGGCTGGTCCAGAGAAAGGCTGCGGTGTCGCAGGTAAAGCACGCAGGTGTTGTTGCGCGAACACGCAGTGCATCGGCGTGCATCGGCATGGCGGTGGCAACGCACAATGTGCGCCAACAGCAACGACCACCCCGCGCCCCGGCGTACCTAACCGCTTGACGTGCTTGCTGAGCTGCTTGCTCATGGAGAACATGGTGAGCGGCGGGGTGAAGATGGTGCGCAGCTTGTCATCCAACAGGATGTTGCGCTTGTTGCTGGGGTCCTGAGGTAAGACGCAGGAGCGAAGAGCACGGGGGGAAAAGAAGGGGACAAACACACACGAAACGCGGGGGAGAAGGGTGCATGTTGGTTTCGGTAAGAGACCCGTTCAACTACGGCTTCGGTGTGTTTACGGTATGAGCATGCCGAACAGCAGCAGCTTGCACCTGAGGGCCAGATTGATTGGACTTAGGGCCAGATTGATTGGACCTGATCGGGCTGGGACCAGGTTTCGACAGGTAGAGCCCCATGGCCACCTCAGGTGCGCAAGTTGCGTGCTGCCCCCGTCGAAGTACCACGAGATGTCTATACAGAAGCTGTGCACGGCCTTCAAACCATGCAAACGCACCGTTGTCGTACTTAACACACAAGATAGGTACACTATAGACTATTCGCATGGTAACAAGAAGGGACGTGATCATACCTGTAGGTTGTTAGCCTTGATGTAATCCCATAGGCGCTTGACAACTTGTGTCCGTGCCATAGACTCCTCCCCCACGAACTTCTGCATCGGCTCTGACAGCCAACACACAGCCGTCAAGCCGCCGACCCTGTGAATATCGCAACATGCCGGTGTCCATTGCTTCGAGCGTTCACGACAGGAGGGGAATGAGGTCGCCGCTTTGTCGCTGCTTGTGTACAAACCTTTTCTTGCCCTTGATTTCCTCTTCTTCCTCATCCTCTTCGCTCTCCTCATCACCCCCTTGCTCCTCCAGGTACCGCTCGATCTGGGCAAAAGTCCTCCGCGTCTGGACCTGACCAGGGCATGTGTGGCATCCCCAAACGACCCCCTACCCCACCTCCTGTCGTATGAGGGGCTTTTTCTCTAGCATGTCCATCTCAAACTCCTCTTCAAGCTTCTTACGCAGCATCTTCTCGGTTGTCGTTTGCAGATCGCTTTCCGCAAGCAGCGCCCGCAGCCGTTCGATAATTTGTTCATCGGTGACAGCCATCCTCGCTATGCTGCTCTGTTCACGTTTTCTAATAAGGATGATGCACTGCTTCCTGATATTAGTCAAACTCGGCCCACTTGAGCGCTAGTGTCAGGAAGCTTGTTGAAGTGATGCTAGCGGACGGCGGAAATTCAGCAGTCAGGCTGATTAATGTAAAAATAACGCGTTAACAAACTATCAGATATTTCATTTCTAAGAGCGCCGTAGGTCGGTAACTGAAGGAGTAGGCACCCGTACGCGAAGCACACATCAACATGCCCCAAGCATTTCACTTCAGCATGCTGAAGGTGCTGCAAGGGATATTGATCTATGTGGGTATACATTTGTATACTGATTGCTTGGTCTTAGCCTACAATCAACCGCTCACATACCGGTAACCAAAAGACTGTCATTGCCTGCCCTAGCGTATAGGTGTCTAGCATAACTGCTTCTATGTAAGCATTTGTGTTAGGAATGAAATTCATGGGGCTGCAAGTAGGCTGGCTTGCGTTAGCTGTAACTTTGGCGTGGCTCATGGCAGCGCGTGGATTGAAGAGGAGAAGTCTCAGCAAAACAGGTAGGAGGCAATGCAAGTGGGGTTTGGGCAAATGTTTGCCAACCTGGGGAAGTAAAGGCGAAAATCCGTAAGAAGTTAAACCCACATACATGGCATAACGCGGTATGACCCATTGGTCATCCCTAGTTCCAGCCAGGCTTGATTGTGGCGTATTCCCGCTTGGGTTTGGGTGTTGGCCTGTTGGGGAGCCTACTTGCTTGCATGTTAGCATGCCCTTAACCCCGCACTGGGGTGCACGTGAGTCCCTCGTACATCTTTCCCGAGTGGTAGTGACAATCCCCAAACCTCACTGAAGCAACACGTGGTTGCTGTGGCACATGCGTAAAGGCGACGCATAGATGAACTGTAGGACCCATGGGTTGCCACGCCTGCATGTCAACCTCTCGTGCCCCAAACCAATGCGACCACACTGAAAGGCAACCGTCGCCGGGGCATTGCAGGAGCTATTGCAGCCTTTTCGGTGGGCCTCGTCCACATGTTCTGCGGTCTCCAGCATGGGCTTACCCTCATCTTCTTTTATTTGTCATCAAGCAAGGTCCGTCACGCCCATGCTTTGTTTGAGTCAGGTAGCTTCAAGGTGGTCACGTGCCTTCAGTAAAACTCCGATTTGCATCCTGCAGCTTACACGGTTAGGCGCTAAGCGCAAGGCCCTCCTGGAGGAAGAGCACAAGGAGGGCGGTCGCAGGAATGCAGCCCAGGTGTGTCTGACATCATTAACAGGGCGCACATGGGCGAACACGGTACAATGCCAGCCTCACGTAATCCTTTGCTGGTTGGAGATGGACGGAACTTGCCTACCGCTGGCTTGCACAGCTGGCTGGCACGCACGGTTTCTCCAATTACCAGCAGTAGTGCTCACTGCCCAACAAGCTGTCATCGAATACGGTAGCCCTTTACCTTCCCGCGACACGTGGGGCTGCTGCGTCTGCAGGTGCTCGCGAACAGCCTAGTAGCATGTGTGCTAGCGGCGCTTTCGTACGCCTTTGCATGGCGACATGACGCCTCTGGGCTTCCCCGACTAGCGCTGGCGGGCGCCTTCCTGGTAAGGCACCTTATGTGTCGGCATGTTGCTGTTCCCCACCTGAGCGTCGTGATTGAACTCGTTGCGTGTGCCCGCCGTATGCCACGGTTTCTTTTTGAAATTTCGACCTGGCTCCCCTCCATGCTTGGCCTGCAGGGCCACTACGCGTGTTGCTGTGGTGACACATGGGCCAGCGAGCTGGGCATCCTCAGCCGCCGCCCGCCTCGACTGATCACCACAGGTCGCACCGTGCCGCATGGAACCAACGGAGGCGTCTCGGTGCTGGGCCTTGCCGCCAGTGCTGCGGGCGGATTGGCAGTTGGCATTACATTCTTCATGGCCGGGATAGCGGGATGCTTGTTGGGCGAGGGGCCGCGAGGCGGTACTGTCTGCCTACCGCATGCATTTGGCAGCAGCAGTAGCACTGACGCTACGCTACGCACGGAGGTAACATGGTGTCTGCCTGCGGCGCTGTTGGGTTGGAAGTTGCGTTTGGGGTTGTTGCCGTTGGCGGCGGTTGGCTTCATATGCGGGCTATTCGGCTCGTTGTTGGACTCGCTGCTGGGCGCAACGTTGCAATATACGGGATGGGATACACGTTTAGAGCGTGTAGTGGGGGCGTCGAAGCTAAGGAAGGATCGCTGTGGCAACAGTGGTGACGGGCGTGGGGACAGGTCTGGTGAGGAAACTCCAATAGTGCACGTGAGCGGTGCTCCAGTGCTAGGAAACGAGACCGTTAACTTCATTTCTGCTGCGGTGTCGGCTGCGCTCGGTGCTGCGTTGCTAGCGAAATGGTAAGGCGCGTCCTTAATGGGGCTTCAAACGTATATCTATAGGGCGGTCCTCCAATGCGAATGCGCTCTTTGGGTTGAGGTTAGGACTCCCTATGAACGAATTGGGCGTGGACCCGTCTGAACCAGGAAGGGCCAGTGCCCCTCATTGGACGGCTCTGTAATTATTGTACCGATGATATGCAGGAGCTGATCCTGAACCAGGAACGACATATGGCTGCGCTACTTTATTATGCAGCTGTGAGATGTACCAGCTTTCGTCTGTTAGGAACTAGTCAGTCACAAGTAGGCCCCGCCTTGACCATATGGTAAAGCGTGATATGTGTATCCTGTTGTAAGGAATTCCAACCGATACAACTTGCGGTGGATTTGAAGTGGATCTAATCACGGCAAGCCGACAACTTCTTCTCCACCAACCGCATCTTAAGCCCACAAACCTTACATATTAGACGCTTACGTGTTATCTCAGGTGTCGAGTTTGGGTTCTTATCTGAACTACCGGTATGCTATTATGACCCGACAGCTGGATGGTAAAGGCATGTCGGCCAGTTCACGGCTACTGCTTCGAGTTTCACCACCTAGCATGTTGCTTGCAAAGGTAAAATCTTTGGACGATAACGATGCTAAGGTCACCCGGCTTACGTGCACCGGAACGCAGCAGATGTAGCATTGCGTGTTTCCATGGCGCAGGTTTGGTACTTCCTTTCATCGGCATCAACGGTCTTTCTGCTTCCATACCTGTATCCATTTTTCCAGTCCAAGGGCTTCAGCGATGCAGAGCTTGGTGCTATCTCGGCACTGCGTCCATGGTTCAGCGCAGTTGCGGGATTCTTGCTCCCCGCACTCGCAGACCGGTTGCAGTGCCACAAGGTCCTGATGCTGTCAACGTTTTTCCTTTCTGTGGCTCTGCGACTGTGCACCTTCTACGCGGCGACAAGCTTCTACCTCTTGCTCTTGGTACGCCAAAGTATGCACTGAGTTTGTTCTGATGTCCTGAACAGCAACGGCGCCAGGAGCGCGTTGGGAACAACGATGGGTGAAACGACAGCCAATCTCAAGCTTTCTGACTGCCCATCCTCCCCTGCCACAGGTGATGCTTTCCTCCGAGTTCCTTGCTGCACCCGTCGGAATCCTTGCTGACGCTATGGTGGTCGCTTCATCTGACAAGGTAAACTGCATTATGCTTAGCGAGCTGTTTGCTTAGCGGATAACAGGCGCGCCTGGTGATGCTGTGCAGAAAGGAGGATACGGACGCCAGCGGCTGTGGGCGAGTGTCGGCTGGGGTGGGCTGTCCTCAGCTGGCGGAGTCCTTTTGGACAAACGTGGCTTTGGGGCCGGCTTCATTGTTTATGCTGCGCTTTCAGTCCCATGCTTCCTGGTCTTAACACGCTTCTCCTTCAACAGCAGCGCTGCTGGAAGGGGCAACGCCAGTGATGCTCGCAGCCCTAGCAGCAATGTGGATGCAGTTGAAGACCAACGAACCGATGAGCGGGTAAGCATGATAGACTCATTGCCGTACAAGCAGTGTAAGGCCTCTCCGCAGCATCTGAGGCTGCGCTTACTTTCCTGTCCTGCAGACATGCCTCTTGTCGGACCTAAGGCCCCAAAGCCATTCACAGTCACCGGAGCCAACAAGCGGTGGTCTCGGTGATGGCTCCTGCGGCCGTCGCAACAGCTCTTCGCCTGGTGCCTACGCCAGCAAGCAACTCGTCCTGACGTCCCCCTTTGAAGCCATCGACGCTAAGCAGCTTTACCCGCAGCTTCAGGCGCCCCTAATGGCCGCGCAATCCGCCGAGTACGGATACTCCAAGGACAAGCAGCACCTTTCGGTTCCAAGTAGCCAGAAGGCGGAGCTTAAGGGGAGTCTGCGCGCTCAGACACTTCTACTATCGTCACCCAGGTCTTCCCACCAGCAGGAGTATCCTGGCAAGCGCCCTACTGCCAAGCCTTTTACTGATACAGGGGTCTACATGGACGGTCACTCTACAGTTCCAACGGCCTATTTAATGACGGCCAGCGCTCAAGCTGAGCGCGAAAGCGCGAACCTGAGCAGTGACGGTAGCATCCACGTGAGACACAGCCGTCGCGCTTCCACTGTCCATCAGGACACGTCGGAAGTGCAACGCCACCGCGGCGCTGAAGAGGACGACAGCGTCTGCCTTCTGAGGTTGGTACCCAAGGACAGCGCAAATGCCAAAGATGGGCTCGAGGCAAACCAGCCGAGCACGCATCACATCCACGTGATGGCTGGTGGCATTGACCCCGGTTTCGTTGCCTGTATTTCCTGCACCAATGACGGCAACGAGCCTCCACCCGCACCGTCACACCACGGCCTCACCATAAGCAGCAGCGTCTTCCCTCTCCGTGTCGAGAGCAGCGTGGTCCCTGAGCAACAAGCGCCCAGCAGCTCTGACACCAGCAGCGGCGGCTTCCTGCGACGCGCCAGTCGGTTGCTTGCAAGCGGCAGCGTGTGGCTGTTCCTCACCAAGGTCTTCCTCCTGGGCTTTGGCGCGGGTGTCATGGGCACCTGGCTGCTCATCTACATGGAGTCGCTGGGGGCGTCGCACCTGCTCATGGGCCTTATGCTGACGGTAAGGTGTTGTTTCCTTTGTGCTGGGCAAACGACAGTGCGTCCATTACCAGTACCTGCTGATTGACGCGCGCCTACTTGGCATCTGTGACTGCTTACCTGCAAGTTGCGCATTCTCCTAGCCACCTGGGATCTGTCCCTGCTGACATGGTTGACAACCCTAACCGCTTCGCTACGCTTGTGTGCAGGTCAACTGCGTCGCCGAGGTCCCTGTTTTCCACTTCCAGGAGAGCCTCACATCTCGCTTTTCCACCAACAGCATCCTGCAAGTATCCATTGGCACGCTGCTTGTTCGCCTGCTCATCTACGCCCTGCTGCCAAGCCTCCCGGGCGTCCCATGGGTCGTGCTGCCGGTGGAACTGCTGCATGGTATCACCTTCGCACTCTGCTGGGGAGCGTCCTGTGTGCATTGCAAGGCCATCGCACCTCCAGAACTCCAGGCGACCATGCAGGTGAGAAATGGCCTAGGCGCAATACCGTACCGGCATGCCTGCTGCGCACGTAATTGAGGTCCGTACGACTTACAGTCTCTCCCCTTTCCAATCTCCTGTCGAAGGGCCTCATGCAATCCGTATACGGAGGCTTTGCCGGCGGCTCTGGTGGACTGGTGGGCGCTCTGCTGCACCAATCGTTAGGTGGTCGGTACATGTTCCTGACCAGCACTGCGATCATCGCGTTGGGCTGGGCGCTTGTGGGAGCAGTGGAGCTGCTGACGGCCTCCGTCGACCATCGGCGCGCACGCAAAGCTGCTCTCGACGGCGACAGCCATGACAGCGGAGACGCCGATACGGGTGCAGTCACAAACCAAGCCGTCGCAAGGCGGCGAACGAGCAGGTAATGAGGTCTTGTAGTCGTTAGTCAGCACGTCGTCTTCGCAAGGATGTGTACGTGTTCTGCTAGCCATGGGCGCAGGTGCGCAGCGAACCGCTGCGTGTGGCTGGCTGCAGGTAATACAACAAACAAGCAAATAAATATTGGCATCCGCATGGTGGCAGCTAAGGCGCTCTGTGCAGTTCACATGTACGGTTCCATGAGGTGCCGGCATTAAATAGTCAGATGCCATAGTCAGCAGGGGTGACCTGCCATGGCAACATCCAGGTAGCAGCAGCCTAGAAGTAGGTAAACCTTGAACTAATTACGAAAGCTTTTCGCGGGTGTTTGTCATTTACTGTCGTGTGTTTTGTCGTACACATGTGATAAATCGCAAGTGACTTACTGCACTGTTGGCAGTAATTATGTAGCATGCATGTTAGATGAGGCTTAGACGGCTTAGCGGTGCAGTGGTCACTGTCGCCACGTGCAGGCCGTTTCAATGTGCAGGTGTGCGCAGGCTTCGGCAGTAGCTGCAGCGTAGTTTCTTATGCCCGCCGCACTGGCGGAGGAACCCTCGAACACTTTCATGGCGATTTCGGCTCAGGTAGTGCAGGCCATATACGTCGGACGAGGGGGTGAGCACCTTGCAGGAGTTGTGTACAGGTGATAGTGGGATGTGGTGATGCAGACATGTAGAACGCAGGTAGGCGACGCTGGCTTTGTTACAGGGACGTAAGGAGTACGGCAAGAAACGGGAAGTGCAACAGCACCCTGAAGGTATAATACTATCCCACGTGTAATGAATACTAAAGCGAGACTAAGCTTCATTAGCCTGAGGACTGTAGCCATATACTGTAGGTTGCACCGCTCAAGAGGTTGAGGGAGACGTAAACCTCATTCGCACGAATACAGGTTAAAACCAGGATCGCGTGTAGTGGCTAACGTGAAGGATAAACGCCACACTCCTGTTCGCACGCCGCAACCTTACTTTCCACGTACCACGACCTGCAGACATGGCAGCTATTCGGTGACCTGGACGGCTCACGTCAAGTCATTTCATCACCTGCCCTCTTAAGGCGCCCTACCGTTAGCCAACCGTCATCGCCGCCATCCTCCATCCCTTCGTCTGCCGACCTTTCGGCCGCCGAGGCCGTTTGCCTTCCATCATCCGCCGTTTCGCTACGACTTTCAGCGACGTCAGCCTCGGACTGCCCCGAGCCGGATGTGCTCTCAGCGGAGCCCTGTCGCATCGATGCAGGACTTTCGATCTCAGAGCGGTCGCCCGCGGAATGGGAGGGGTCATGAGTGCCTCCCTGCCCTTGGGTCTCTGCTGCGTCCTTCCTGCGCGGCTCCTCTTCGCCGGCTCTCCGCCGACCACTGCTTGCCGGCGTGACGCCTGTCGTGCCACTAACACGCCTCCCGCCATTTCCGTGCATGGGTGAGGTCTTGGGCCCTATTGAAGCCCTTTCACAGTCTGCGCGCATCGCCCTTGTATTGCTCTCAGCGGGGCCCTCCGCCACTCCGTGCTGCTTCTCGCTAGCCTCCTCTTCAGCACTGCCGTGCGTGTCGCCGCGCCGCCCGCTGCGCCATGAAGGCGACTGAGCCCGCCGGTTGACCGGCGCCGTCTGCTCATTGTTGGCAGGCACCCTCTCCCCAATGCTGCGCCTGCCGCGGTCGACGTCTGCCGCCGTTGTATTTGCCTCACGACTTAAATTGGAAGCCTTAATATCATCCTCGGACGGTGCCGGGCGGGTGGACCCAGACGGCGGCGCTTGCCGCGCTGTGGCCGTACCCCGAGGGCTGCCAGCAGCCGCATGGCCGCCCCGACCTGACAGGTTGTCAAAGCCCCTGCGCCACACGGACGGGCATGCGTGGGCAAAGTAAGGCGTTTCCTTTTCTCTGTTGGCCAAGCATGCAGATGCAAGCAACAGTACACAGGGGTCACAACTCTCGAGTGGGATATATGCTATGCAGCGCAGCGATGGCAACACAGGCCATCACGCAGAGGCCAATCCTCCCAGCAAGCATGCATGCGTCCTTTCTCAATGACCCAGTAGACCCAGGCTATGCACACATCCCTGCTGCCCCCACCTGCGCACTGCCAGCTGCACCAGCAAGAACAGCAACGCCGCCAGCGCCACATTCGCCACCGTGACCTCCGACCCAAACTGCGAGGAGCTGCCGTCGCTCTCACCCGTCATGTACTGCAGCAGCGCAAGGACGCCGTCGTACAGCCTGGTGGGGTACGCAAAGTCGGCAGGGCGAGGCAGTTCGAAAGGGAAAGACGGAAAGAGAATAGGGGCAAGTCATTTAAAATTGGTGGGCGTGTCAAGTGTGTTACTTGGAAGCCTACGCTCATTAGGCGCATAACATGCAAGGAAGGAAACTGCCATGTTGAAAGCGTAAGAAAGCAGCACAAACATGCTACCCCTACACTCATTGAGAAACAGGGCATGAAAGCATCTACGCGGCTACACACCCGCCAAGCCTTCCCTCCCCGGCGCATCGCACGCACCTGCTTGTTACAAACTCCACACTGCTCGGCTCATCGTCCGGCTGCAGGTCCGGCGGGAAAACCGCGCTGGCGTGCATGTGCCGATCCGGATCCCGGTGCAGCTGGTTGACCCAGGCCGCCAGGTCCATCAGGGCCTCCGATTCCGACCCATCTGGGGCCCCCGCCACGCCGCTGCCGCCACCAAAAGCCGGTGAGGCAAGGTCAACGTCTGCGTTGACCGCATGCAGGAACACTCGCCGCCCTTCCCGGAAATGCGCAGCCCCGCTCCGAAACCAAGACGAGCTGTCCAGAGAGGGCCGGAAGACGACCAGATGTACGGCGGCGTTTGGGCGAAGGCGCGCCGCGAGGGCTGGGAGGCCCGCAAAGTCCGCTGCAGCCGCTGCTGCCTCCGTCGCCCGACCCCACACGTCCCATGGGCCAGGTCCGCAGACAGCGCGGCGCAGATCGGCAGCCTATCGTGGTGGGCAGAAGGGACGCCATGGGTTATGGTATACGACACACTCGTAGGAATTGACGGGCACGCTGCCATGTTTTGAGGGACATTCGCGGCAAGCTTTGTTAACACACGGTCGCTCGATTGCCAACTGCGGATCCCAAAGTGCACCAACATCCCCGCCTTCCCTGCCCCTCCAGTTACACTCCCCTAAGGGAGCACCCCATTGCTGCCCCTCACCTTGGCCGCTGCATTCCCCGCCCCACCAGTACCACCGCCGGCGGCCCCCTTCCCCGGGTTGGTGCCCTTGAGCGCCGCCGGGTCAGCCAGCATCCACTCGCAGAGCGGCCGCTGCGAGGAGGCGTCCAGCCAGGTCAGACGCAGCCGACCCGCCATGAAGGCGCTCGCAGCGGCTGATACCCGGGAGGCGCGCTGCTTCTGGGGGTTCAGCAAGTAAGAGGAAAATGCAGAAGGGGAGTCGTCATAGCGGGTGCGTGTGAGTAAGGGTAGAGATGGGAAGCAAGGAGTCGAACAGCGTGAGGGAAGCAGCGCGCACCGGATTAGGCTAGTACGGCATCCTTTGCAAGTGAGGTACGTTGCGAGGCTGCGTGCAATGCCACTACCTTGTCTCAGCGGACCTCTTCAGTATTACATTTCAGGTGTAAGATTTGAGACACCTGAGCTTCGTATACCTGGGACCCCGCTGCCGCCAGCTGCCAGCCCAGCTGCGCCATCCGCCGCCGCGCCGCCTCCATGTGCGGTCCACGAGTGCCCACCGCCACCACGCACGTCTCGATGAGGGGGCGGCCCGCGGCGGCTGCTGCGCGGCCCCACAGGCAGCCCAGCGAGGCGCCGGTGGCAGGGCGCAGCGGGGGCACCTCCTGCCACAGCAGGCCTGGGAAAGGAGGGCGGGGGGTAAGCATGAGGTGTTACGGGTTATTGGTTCAGGAGTACTCGTATTCGCCAGCCACAGCCCTCGTAACTCCACAACCATTACATAGTCCTCGTCAGGTCATCACTGCTGCAGCAGCCAGCACGCACCCTGCTGGTCTATCTGCTGCTGCAGCTCCGCCGTCTTGCCCGGCGGCACCACCAGGGTTCGCGGCGGGGTGCCCGGGCCACGCAGGAACACCACCGTGCCGGCAGCGGGCGGAGCGGACAGCCCCAGAGCCTCCTGCCAGGCGGCCGCGGAGGACTTGCCAGAGTCCTGAGCAGTAGGGTGACAACACCGCATCAGACACACGGTTGGGACGTGTTGGACGTGTTTGGAGTTCATGGCGCATGGGCCGAGCACCAACCAAATGCGCAACCAGGGTTCGGCCCCGTCGGCAATGCCTACCCTACCTGCACATGCGCCCGAGCCACTACCAGCATGTCCCGCTGCCGCGTCGCAAGCGTCCGCAGTGCAAGTGAGCCGCTGCCGCCGCCGCGCCCAAACGCAACCACCACCACCTTGTAAGGGGAGGCTCGTCGCAAAAAGGCCGCCACGGCGGGGGGCTCCAGCTGCGGCACCCGAGGCAGCCGCAGCAGCCGGTCGGCGGCAAAGTCCTGCACAGGCAGCCATAGGGTATAGCGCATGCGTGAAGGTTGGGGCAGCAGCAGGAGCGGAACGCGGGAGGGCAACGAGCATACGCGCGCGGTGAACATTTTTACGTGCAGTGCGCCATGCCGTTGAAGCCCTACCTGCAGTGATGACAGCCGCAGCGGTCCACGGTAGCGCCTGCAAGCACACACGCGGCGTAACGTTGCGGTTAGCTTGCGCATGGTTGGCCGTCAACACCGTTAGCAATGTATGACGCTTCTTAACGCCGTGCCCGGCCTGAGCAAACACTTTCAAGGACAACCAAACCCCGTCGCTGTCTGACATCCCGTCTGAAGGCTTCATCCACATTCCGAGCCGCTGCTCTTCCCGCGCCCGCAGCCGGCCCCACCCAGCCCCAGCCCCAGCCCTCTTCCCACGCCCCCCAGCACCCACACGAAGCAGGTTGGGTCCAGGCAGCCCTCCGGCACCGCCAGCAGCACCGGCAGCTCCTCCTCCAGCGACCTGCCGCCCAGGAAGGGGCCGCCGCTCTGCGAACACACAGCCCCACAGCAGCGACATAAGCAGAACAGGACGGCAAGCAGCAGTAAAGCAGCGTAAAGGTGCAGCTGTGGCTGTTATGGCTGCAGCAAAGGGCAGGCGGAAGTGCGGCAACAAGAGCAGTTGACGGGGATGCTTTAGACCAGGCAGCTCGTAAAAGCAAAGCCCAATCCTAACTAGCTGGTTTGCCGCTGATGAGTTGCAGTACGCCGGGTCCCCAACCGCTTTGCAACCCGCGGTTGGTGCTCGCAGCTACCCCAGAATCCGGACTGCTGTTGACCAACGCTGTTGACCCCACACCTCGCCCCGCCCATCATCACCATCTCACCCTTGCCACCCACTGCATGAGGCTGCGTTGGAAGCGCGCGTGCACCCGCCCCAGGCCCACGGCAGCGCCATCCCGCGCGCCCGCACCCGCATGTGCGCCCCCCAGGGACTTCCACAGCGCCTCCCAAATGGGTGCGAACTCGCGGCACGCGGCAGAGCTCTCCGTGTACACCTGGAAGTTCCAAGTAAGGGTTCCAACTCACGTCTGAGAAAGCATCAGCAGCGACAAAAGCAGCAGCAGGGCCCACCATCATAATCCAGGGCCGGCCGCCAAAGAAAACGAGGCTCCGGAAGTTGGAGGTGGTAAGGAAGGTGGTGTTGGAAGGCAGCGCTTGCTGGTACATTTGCTCCTGCTGCTCTTGCTGCTGCTGAAAGTTGTAGAAGTGGTGCTGCTGCTGGTAATGCTGCCTGCGCGCCCCCAACATGCGGGGAAGAAAGGAAAAGGTGGTGGAAACAGAAAGCAAAGCAAACGGCCCATCCATCTTTGCTATAACCCGCTTGCATGTCAGGACACTCTGTGTTGGCATGTGTTTGCATGCATAACTGTTAGCCCGGAAACGCCCGTCCTTGCGCCCGGACTGCAGCGGGACCACGATTGATACGGTGACAGAGATGAGTTCAAAGGAAGCTGTGATGTGCGTGCCTGACCCAGACCCATTGCCCAAGGCGCTGCTGGGCGCCGCCGCGTGTTTCATCCTCCACTCTACAGCGCCTTTGAAACACACCTGGAGTACCCCTGCAGGGAACGGTGACAGGACAGGAGCGGCGGTCAGGATTATAGTAAACGTAAATGTATCTGTGTGGTTGCCTGGTGACGCAAAGGCAATGAGCGTCGACGGCGACGTCCTAAAATATCAAACGCCAATACAAGCTGGCATTCGGAAACAAGGCAAGATGGCGTCATCAGCTCTCACCTGCGAGCCATGGTGTTGGCGATGCTGATAGCCTCCACCGCTGCTGCCGCCTCCTAGATCGTACTCGCGCTTCTTGTCCGCGTCCGAGAGTACCTCATAGGCTTGCTGCGGGGGCGGGCATGGGATTGCGGCGCGGGCTGGACAGGACACATTTGACACATTAACAAACCCCATGTAGCCCCCTGCAGTCGTGGCAGCCACCAGGCCTCCTGCCAAGCATCTGCAGGGATCCATGCGTGCCGTACCTGGACTTCAATAAATCTTGCCTGGCCTCCTGGGTTCTTGTCTGGGTGGTACCTGGAATATGGCGGGACAGGGCCTCAGCCAGAATGTTGTGCAAATGGAGTGCTATGCAAAAGGGGTAACAGTAGAGGTGGGTCGTGGCACTCGGGTTCCGCGTCAACCAGCGTGAAACAGTGGGGGACGGGGGCATGCAGTGTGCATTACACAACGTACTTGAGTGCAAGCTTCTTGTACGCCTTCTTTATTGAAGCATCGTCAGCATCCTTGCTGACGCCCAGCACCTGCGCTATACATCGGCCCTAATGCTGGCAATTCTCTTCTGGCCCAGGCAACTATCATACATTTCCACAGCTACAGTACTCGCCTTATAGGGGTCCTTACTAAAAGATGCGCACAACGTGGCCAGGAGAAACAACAACGCAAGTACAGCCATGGTTTTCGGGCGCATCCTCGTTGCGTGCCCCATCATATCCACGCGTAGTCACAGAAAGAGGCAGAAATAAGATGTTTGAAATCACTACATCATAGCGTGTTAGAGGTATCGAGGTGCATGGCTTATGCAATTTAGGTAATTCTGAAACACGCGCATACCGGTGCAGTGTTTTCCCTCATGTTGCGGCTATTCACGCGTACTTCACTTAACAGTAACTTTGTAGTAAGCAGCCATCAACAGGTTGCATCGCGTGTTGCGTACGACTACCTACCTACCTAGCCCAGGGGGGCACGACGCATGGGGGTTGCAAAAGCACAGGCGCCCCCTTTGCCCGGACTGGATACTCCTCTGCAGAACACAACCACGTGTCGCCGACATCAGTTGCTTTGCGTACGACAGGCTACACGCACTGCAGACATAGGGTAGCCCGCCAGCCCTCTTTGAGTCCCACGTAAAGAGGCGCGCAGTTGTGAAGCACCTGAAGAACCCAAGCGACTGGGAACCTCCTAAGTTTGCCGTGATGTGCGTGTGCTCGGGGCCACAAGCAAGCTGCGCTGTCATACACGGCGTATGCTCGCAAGATGTTTTATGGGGCTCGAAGGGATGGGACAGTTGGTTCAGTGGGGCCTTGCACAACGTTTACAATGACGCGTGCGACGCCAATCCAGCGGCCAACGCCACCCAAATCCTATGCCGAAACGCCGTTGCCGTTTCCATCCTGGTATACCACTTCCAGCGCATACCCCATTGAGCCCAAGCAGAGGTCATTCCGCTCACCTAATGCACCGCCCACGGCCTTGCTAGGACGGACTCTTCTGGCATTTGCCAACAGAGCTAAACACTCTGACAAAGCTTTAAGCCTCGTCATGTCTAAGAAACCATACAGTATCTACCTAATGCTACATATGTTCACCGTAATGCACTCAGTAAACCGGCTTACACCGACTCCCTACACGTCACGCGTTCCCCCCATTTAGGCCTCCCCATCCCCGTCAAGCCCCCAGTCATCGTCGAGGTCCTCCGCATTGACGTTGCCGGCGTCTGCGTCCGCGTCGCCTGCCGGGTCACCTGCACGCAAGCATGGAAGTGTGTCTAGCTCGAGTGTGTCGTTACAAAGTATCGCCCCTAATGCGGAAATACCTGGACTAGAACACAAAGCAGCGGTGCCTGTCTACTATGAGCCATTTTCGATCTTTTATGAATCACTGCTACCGGTACTCAAATGCATGCAATGGATGTGGCTCCGGCTACGTGCCATCGAGCAATGCACAACTCCTCCTTTAATCCCATTGATAGTTGGCAGCGTGTGCCGCTGCAGTTGCGGGTCTTACCGAAGGGGTCCTCCTCTTCCTCCTCATCCATAGCCGCCTCCGGTGCCGACTCGGGCACAGCCGGCTCTTGGGCAACTGGCTCCGGCACCGGTGGCTCCGGTGCGGGCACGGGCTCGGGCTGCGGTGCCGCAGGCGGCTCTGGCGGAAGGGAAGTTGGGCCCTGCGGCAAGCAAACACCGACGCTAAGTCTTCAGGACAACCGTCGAACTCTAGAACTCTTCAAGCATGCTGCCAGAAACCGTCCAGGGCACCCTGGTATCGCGGATAACGCCAGCCCTACCTCATCCATCTCCTCCTCGACCTCCTCCTCAACATACTCCTCCGCCTCCTCCTCCTCGACCGGCACGTCCCCGTTCTCCTGATGCTCCGCCTCCTCCTCGTCCTCCTGCTCCACGTCTCCATCGCTCGGCCCCAACCCGAGGCCTTGCAGCCGTTCTAGCAAACCCTCCAGCCCGCCCTCCATCGCCGCCGCTGTGATGGCCGCCGCCTCCAGGTAGTCGCTGGCCGGTACCAGCTGCGCGCGCTGGGCCGCTGCACAAGCAGGGAACAGGGGGTAGAGGTATCTGAATAACCCATGCACAGATACACTACTTGGTACCATCATGCTAGACGGCCCATGATCTCCACAGGAGCCAGCATTCATGCAACGACGTAGGGCATCCCGTAACGGGCCAGAGGTGTCGTTGCTTATTTTGCTAAAAGGACGTACCGAGCAGCTTCTCGGCGTGCAGGGCCTCGTCGAGGTGCGGGAAGAGGTTGGGGTACGCGGCTGGGTCCGCCAGCGCCTCCGCAGCCTGCGTTCAACCAACCAAGGAGTGTGGTTCAGAATACTGGTCCGGGGAGGGGAACGGAACATACGGAGGACACACGCAGTCTCGAGAAGGTTGCCACAGTCCTAGGAGTAACCGGAAGACCGGGCGCACCTTGGGGTTGATGACCGCGAGGTCCGCCTTCCACTTGACTAGTGCGGGCGAGATGGCCGACGGCAGGTAGGTGCGCGCAAAGAAGGCTGCCTCTGGCAACCTACACGAACAAGGGGTGTGCGCGACTCAAGAACAGGGACATTTATCCTCCTCCGGCCCCTCCATGCCCTCCGTGCAGCACTGCCGCACCTCTTGGCCTCGAGGAGCAGGTTGAGGCAGTCCTCCAAGCGGCCGAGTAGGAAGGAGGCCAGGAAGGCCACGTTAGTCTTGCCAGCCGCTGCGGCGGCCGCGGCCACGGCAGCCATGCCGGCCTGGTCGCCCCGCGCTGACGCCAGCATGAGCAGACCCGAGAAGTCCGAGGCACGTGTCAAGCACTCGGTCGCCAGCTCCAGCTTGCCTGCAAAGTGTGCCGGCAAGCGTAGCCAGCATATGTCACAGGAGAGACCTTCCCACAAAGCTCCCCATGTTGACGTTAATCTCAAACCACATGCATGACACTTGACATGATGTTAGCCCATGTTACACCCCTACCCAGGTGTCCTACCCGCCGTCAGCGCCATCTCGCCCAGCTGCTTCCACCGTGACGTGCTGTCCAGCTTGGCGGCGATGGCCTGCGCCACCCCCAGGTCGCCCAGCTGCACCGCCAGGTCGAAGCGGTACTCCTGGTCCGTGGCCACCTGCAGCGCCGTGCTGATCATGCCCTTGGCCTCCAGGAAGCGCGCCACGCTGTTGTGCTGGTCCTGTGGGTGAGAGAAGGAAACATGGGTAGTGGAGTTTATCAAGCGTTATGGAGCCCAGTGCCGGAGCGCGGGTTACAGCGTGGAACACAGGTCAGCGGCCTGCGGAGGACACATGCGGTATGTGAGGGATATCCTCTTGCGTGAAACGTGGACACACCTGCGGAATGCTGGGCAGCAGCTCCATGGCCGAGTCCAGCTCGTCCGCCGTTATCCGCGCCTTGAACTCAATGAGCGATAGCAGCAGCGTGAACGACACGACGTTGAATTCCCTGGAGTTTAGTCCGCAACACGAAGATTAGGACTTTTATGCCGCACACAGGTTACCCTAAGCCCCAAAACACCATGCATCCACGTTCCACGCCATTACTATCACAGCAAGTATGTGCCAGGGTACGAGGATTCGTGTGCCGGTAGCAGCACGCCCCAACACTCACTTGTCAATGAGGAACACGCGGTTCTGCGCCGCCAGGTAGCCCAGCAGGTACATGGGCCGGTCCAGGTGGACCACCGTCGTTACCTCCCCGCCCACGCAGTAGTTCAGGCGCCAGGTGGTGTTGTTGTACACAAGGCACTCGCCGACCCAGATGCATGTGCGCACGCGCTCGCTGATCTCAGCCTGCAAGCAGGGTGCAGGAATGAAGACAGGCTTAGAAGAGGCTATCATGGCCAGACTGCGCTTTTTGACTGACATGCGTCCACGCCAACATGGAAGGGTTGGACAGGAAGGACAACGAGGGAGAAGGACTTGTGAAGGAGTACCCGCAAGGTCCGGAAGAGGACAACATGCAGCATTGGATTCAGGTAGAACCATGCGCCATTCGATAGCCGCACCTGCAGGTCAAAGGCGTCATCCACGCCGTCCTCGCCCGCCGCTGCTCCCGAAGCGAAGTGCTCCTCCACCACGTCCCTGTAGCGAGTTGATATGATGCCAAAGCCGTTAGCCAGGAAGCATGAGACATGGCAGACAACGAGGGGCGGGACTCCATGCAGGCAGCAAATCCCACATAGACGCTCCCTACCAGGCACGGCCAGGTATCGGAGGCGCTCGGGCATAGCCCCCAGCCCTCCCACCTGTTATACTTGAGGATGTAGAAGTTCGAGTCGCCCAGGATGGCCACACTGTTGCCGCTCTCGCTCCAGTGCACCGATTTGGCCGCCACGTCCACGCGGCGCACCACGCGCCCCTCCCAGTCGTAGAACACGATGAAGTCCGAGCCGCGCACCGCAATCAGCGCGCCGCCGTGGATGCCCTCCGCGTTGAAGCCCAGCGCCACGGTGTGCTTCTCCTGGAAGTTCTTGTAGATCTTCAGCTTGCTGGCCGACTCGCGGATGGCGTAGTCGTTGCTGTCCGCGCTCCACACAAACTCCAGGCCGCTGCCGAACGCCTTGTTACGCCAGGCCAGAGCCGTGTAGACAATGTACTCACCTGGGGAACGGCAGCACACCAGTAGCACACCGCCAGCCGGTCACTCTACCCGACATACCTAGCCGCGTAGGTATTAACGACAACGATGATGCTGGTCCATGCAAACAAGAAGACCAGGAAACGGATGTTCGTGTTGTATGCAGCATGCTGTACCCAAAAGCCCAGCTATTTTGAGAGACGCACCGTCGCCGCAGACGACCACGAAGCGGCCGTTGGGGTTGTGCTGAAGGCTCTGCGGGTACAGGTCGCAGGAGCCCAGGTCCTTCACAGGCAGCGGCAGCCGCTCGCCATCCGCCATCTCAAAGTCCGCGCCGAGGGCCTTGATGTTAACCGTCTAATGGAGAGGAGGAGGAAGCAGGGGGGGGGCCGCAACCAGGAGTTACAATAGCTAGCCACATTGGAATAATGCGTGCAAGGTTGCCAGGGCTTTTAGCAGGCACAGAGAATGGGAAGTCCTAACAGGGGGGGGGTAGGAAGCGCAAAAATAGACCCCAACCCTCAAATTGAAGGCGCTTTGCGTCGGGACTCCAAATCTGCTTTCAGACTTCTGTTTGGAGTTGTACGAAAAAAGTTATGGGCTTGCAAAGTTGGTTGTACGGCAGGGGTGGGTGGGTGGGTTCAGGACCCCAACGACTTTTTTACATGAGCCTCCAGAAAAAATTTTCCAGGCCTCATGTTAGGGTTTTGAAAGCTGTATTGCCATCCTTTCTTCGTTTCTTATACGTAGAATTGGTTCTATGAATAAAATGGTCACTTTTCGGCTTCCGATGTTCCAATGGCACTTCCCCTCTGAACCATGGTAGCCGAACGGAACTGCCCAATCCCCAAACGTACAAGAAACAACTTATGTAGAAAGCATACATTGCGAACGCGGCTAATCAGCCCTTTGTAAAGGCTTAGCATAGCAGCATGTCGCATGTCCCCCATGGATGTGGAACACGACTGAGGAGGCGGGATGGGAGTAGACAGACTAATCTGCGAGGAAGCACTCACAGTGACCACGAATGGGGTGGGGATGCAGAGCACAGAAACAAGAAGGCGTGGCAATTGGTGCCAGGAGCTATGGTCGAGGGCCCAGGGGGAAGTAGAGGCAGGAGCAGGGACCTGGAACGTGGTGGCGGCGTTGTCTCGGTTGGTGAAAACAGAACTGGCGGTGGTATGGCGCAAATGGAAGGGCCGTGGTGCTTCCTAGGCGCCAAATACATAGCATCAGTCAAGCTGGGGCCAAGAACATGGTTACCTTAGCCGTCCATAGTGCAACGCTGTGACAGTAACTTCCCAGGGGGTTTGGGGTTTTTTGACTGCATTTAATAGAGCTTGCGCAGAGGAACCTAGACGCTTGTTTCCCGGGCGTTTTGGCATAGTTTACAGGTTGTACGACACGCTTGGCGGTGGGTGGGTGGCTCCGAGGCCTTCTCTTTGGAAATTTCGGGTTGGGGTTTATAAGAAAAATTTTTACCCCCCCCCTGGTCCTAAGATCAGTTACTCAAGCCATGAGGAAAGCATGGGAAAAGCCCCAAAGCGGCCAGCCTCGACCTACCTGGATCTCGTTGTGGCGCGCCCAGATGATCTTGCCGCTGTTGTCCATGGACGCCACGGGCTCATCGCGGCCGATCTGGGGAGAGGGAGGGAGAACCGGTCAGTTCAGTTCACATAGCTGCTGCAGAACGTTCGGTGCACAGTGTTGCGATCCACAGTACAATGAGTCCTTCCGAAGCAGCCATTGCACTCGCCGGGATGGCGGTTGACTGAAGGCTGCAACCCATATGACACTTACCTTCAGCATGACGGCGCCCTCGTCGTAGCCAATAGCAATGCTGCACATGGGAAGCATGTGAATACCGTTAGTGCATTGCGGTCATGCTCGCAGTTCTCTGCTGGGCAGCATTGATGGCAACCCGGCCCTGCCTCACCAGTTTGAGCCCTTGCAGTAGCCCAGGCTCCAGACGCGCTCCATGCGGTAGTCCATCGTGTTCTCCAGCCGGTACGTCGTGCTGTGCCAGATCTTGACAGTTCCGTCCTCAGAGCCCTGCGAACAGCCCAAGGATTGTGTTTTTCGGATTATTCCTTTCAACACCTCTAATCCAGGGTTGCACACGGACTGCGACGCCGTGACATTCTCCAGTCCGACATTCTTGGGACGGCGGGCCATGCAAGGACCCCACTCTTCAGTCGCATGTAGCCTGCGCGTAACACTCACCGTGATGATGACGGGCAGCTCCGGGTGGAAGATGGCGGAGGAGATGTTGTGGGAGTGGCCCTGCAAGGAAACGACACGGCTGCGTTAAGCGGGCAACGTTGGGGTAGCCCTAAGCCCAGGATACCCAGCCCAGGATGCCCGCTGCCTGCCTGCTAGCTCCCCGATCCTCCACCCGCCTCACCTCGAGGGTAGTGACGCAAGCTTTGGTCTGGTAGTCCCAGACCTTGACCAGCTTGTCGTCGGCACCACTGATCAGGTAAGGCCGGTCGCCACCTATCCAGGACATGCCATATTTCAACGGGGTTCCAACCAATGAAGGTGGAAGTAAGTCAAGGTGCAAAAGATAACGGCATGCCGCTCGTCGATAAGGACGGGGACATGGTTGTAACCCAAGAGGTCACGTGCTCTGTGCAAGTGCCGCCAAAGCTCCCCCTCAGCTCCACCCACCGGTGAAGTAGTCGACGCAGTTAACCCCCTTCTCATGTCCCTCCAGGGTGAAGTTGGGGGTGGGCTGGCCCAGGCTCCACACCTGGTTCGTCATAAGGGGCGGCAACAGTGTTAATCACCAACGATGGCACTACGTAAGCCCAGCGCCACGCTTCCGCTTCCGTCACCATAGCACCCCCTCTTTCAAAGTCATCTATGCTGCGTAAGGTCTACCCCTAGCGTGCCGGGATAGCAGCCCTAGGTCAACCTTGATGGTGCGGTCCAGGGAGGCGGACGCAAAGGTGTTGGTGTCCTTCGGGTTGAAGGACACCTGCATGACGTAGTGCGAGTGCCCCTCGAACACCTGGACGCAGTTCCAGCCCTGCAGAGGAAGTAGCGCGCAAAGGTAGGAGGAAAGCACACAGCTCAGCAGGGAATCGGGCTGTAAGGCTGCTTGGGGTCTGGATTCGTAATAGGGTTCCGCTGCTGAGCCCAACATGTGCCCTAGGGGTTTGTCCTCTCTTGTAGGCGAATTGAACCAGCCAGACTCGTCGTCATTCGCTAATTGGGCGCAAGGCGTGTAGGTGCTCTCCATCGCGACCCACCTTCTCCCAATCCCAGAGCTTGATGAGCATGTCATCCGAAGAGGTCAGGATGTACGGCATGGTCGGTGAGATGGCAATGCACCTGTGCGACAGTTGATTTGCGGAGCACAGGTTAAGGCCCAGGTGAATAGGATGACCGTTGGCATCCCTCCGTGCCCACACGATGATTCCGAACCCAGGCCAGCCATGTACGCTATCCACAAACCTAATGAGAGGCACCCCCGTAAAGTACCTGATGTAGTCTGTGTGTGCCTCAAAGGTCTTGACCTTATCCATGGTGTTGTAGTTGTACACCCGAATGAACATGTCGTCCGCGCCCGTGATAACCCATTGCTTCCGCGCCACAAACTTCGCCGAGCGGACAGGCAACTCCGTGACCTCAAAGGACTTGACCAGGGTCTGTACCATGCGGCAAGCACACAATGGAAAAGGTCACCTACTGGTTATCCGTGCCGTCACTACAACATTACATGCTACTGTAGATTTCATCTTGCAGGTACCCCTCCATGCAGGCATCAAGACGTTGCTCCGGTCCCAAGCAACGTCCCATGTGGATCAGCTGTTCTCCAGAATGAGCCCCCCCTGATCGTCTGGGGACTCAGACACACCGCCCCAGGCCTCCCGACTGGGGAGGTGCCTGGAAACTTGCCTGGTCCATGTAGTTCCAGATGTAGACATTGCCGTTGTACAGGTTTGCAAGCATCCTGCAAAGGATTTAAAGGTATCATGAGAGGCAGCTGCCATGTACACTCTCAAAACGCGGGCTTCCCGCATTAATAGGAACTGGAAGAGCCTGCAAGTCTAATCGTCACAGGTCCCCAAACCGCACGCCAAATCCTCCTGATCTCAGTGTGATGATGGGTACTCCATACCAACAGCTAGCCTTTAGGAAGGGCAAAAAGCGTTCATGCAACGCGCTTACCAAGGCTCCGTCGGGTGCACATCAACACCTTTGACGCGGTCTGTCCGCTGAACCAGCTGCTTCTGTAAGTCAAACATTATAAGAAGATATTATCAATGAGTGTAGTCGAAATGGACCGACCTGTCTACCCCTCCAGACGTGCAGCGCAGTTGCAAACTGGAAGTGGCTTAAGCCTCTTCATAAACAAAACCTTAGCGCGTAAGCATACCTTAATCTCCAGTCGTAGCGGCTATAGTCCATGTAAGGAAGGAGAACAAGCGGCAGTGTAAATATGGGCAGATCAGGTCGAGGAACACTGGACAGTAGCTAAGCTAAGAAACGCATAGCTCACCATTTTTACTTTTCTTCTGAAAACAGCCTAAACGGCAGGTTGCCGCCACACCGTGCTCAGCGCACGGGGGCCAAGTTACTTTTCGCAGAACAACACAAACTGAAAGTCACTTATGTATGGGCAACCGTAAATTCAATACTTTCTTATTCACCATACGCCACAGAGGCATCTGGGAGAAAGCAGCTAGAGCTGTGGATTCTTTTGCTTGTACGGCGTACGGTTGCTCCAACAAGGACCTCCCGGTCAAGATTTCCTTAGCAGTGACGAAAGTCTTGATGTGTATCAGGATTGCATGCTTTAGAACAAATCCCAGCCCTTTACCTTCGTTCCCAGCACTGTGCAAATGTTGCCTGCCCATCAATGGGACAAGTCGCGGCGAAGTAGCTCCATATGCCAAGTGCTACCCTAACGTGTAGAAGGGAGGCGGGCGACATAGTCGAATTGCTGGGGGGGGGGTAAAGACGCGTACCGGTTCATCCACGTGGGTTAGGCTTACATGCACAAGCGGCAGGTGGCGCACATGCCCATTGTGGTTGGGGCGTACCCATGCTTCCACCCAGGATTGAATAGTGTACACTGCTACACACGCTCCCTGGGAGGACGCCGCGTCTGCCCAACGCAATCCACATGGTGGGCACAGATCAGCAGGATTCAGCTGAGAGCTCAGCATGGAGCTTGGCCCTAGTCTCCAACACGCCTCCGACTTGAGAAAGGTAACAGGCTCTTGTAAAGTGGTCAAGCTGAATGCTGGAAGCCTGAAACGAGTAAATGAAGATCTACAATATCCCATGCACCGGTTGAGTGGCTGCTACAACGAACACCTCCCGAAGCAAGTCAAGACAAACACACTGACACCCGTCCTAAGCAGCGCAACGCCAGAATGCACGCTTGCATGCCTTCAACTTTATGCGAATAAGTAGGATTGCCGTGGAATACTATACGAACTGCGGCAACCTTAAGATCCCCCCGTAAGGCCTAGCATAGCAAGGACAGGCAGGCATGGCTTGGCACAACCCCTCCTCCCATGCCATCCAGGCCCCAGGACAGGACGCAACAGAACCGAAAGCAAGCGAAAACAGATGTTTATTGGGATTATGGGATACACACCGTCCACAACGGTAATCAACTAGACTGCAACAACGGAACAACTGAAGGTAAAAAACACTGGGCATCAACTAACGTTATACATTGAAGAGGTTCGTGCCCAGGGGCGTGCGTTTCCACACATTAACCGCCATCGCAACTATTTTATCTTTCAAAACTTTAAACAGGCCGCAAGGAGCGCCTGAATGCGGTAGTACGACACCCTCAAATGCGCGGATCAATGCAACATGTTCTGTACGACAAAATAAAACGTAAGCCCCGACCAGACATCAGGAAACACCATAGCAACGAACCAGGACCACGCCCGTCCTAACCCGCCTGATATAATACTTAACGTGCCCGCGCACCCTCACCCCCTAACAAATTGCACTCCGGCGAATAACATAACCTTTTTTTTAATGCACTTGTTTAGTCTTCTCTCTGTACAAGAACGCGTCTGCGCCTTCCTTCAATCTTGATCCCTCGTGCGTCCCACCGCCGCTGCCCAACGACCCTCCGCGCTCAAATCTCTACTTAGTAACCGCTCGCACGACCTCAACCCTCCACTTCTGAAAAACTGCTCACACTGCAGCACCCGGGCAAACTTTGCCTTGGGGTGAAGGCAAGAAGGTCCCCGAGGCCATGCCATGCCAAAGCCAAAACGCAACTGCCCGGCCCTAAGCCCGCCAGCGTCCAACGAACCGAGCCCTGCCATGCCTTGCCCCTCCTCTTCAGCCTGCTGCGCCCGCGTATCAAAAGGCATCCCGTTAACGCAGCGCTTGCGTATCACAACGCTCAACAGGCTTGCAAAACTGTCAAGCGGCCCCCACTGCATGAGTCCACACACCCCGTGCTTGTTACCTCCCCCTCATTGCATCTCTCTATTTCTCTGCCTCCACTCAGAAGGGTTGTGTTGGCAAGTATCATTTGTGTTCGGAAGCAGCCTCAATGCCGCTGCTCGTTGGAGAAGAGAAGCTCGTTGGCGACCTGTTGGCGGGTAGGAAAAGGGACATGGCAGTCAGGTGGCTGAGTGCAACGGGATAGGACCAGGAAGCCAAACTCAAGGAGGCGAGTTTCCCCGTGCCCTCTCCCCTCGAAGGCCCCTGCCACGGTGAACTGGCAAGGCCGTGCCCCGCTCATCCCGCCGCTTCCAAGCTTAGCCGATGGCTTGGATATGCGGTCACAGCGAGCAGCCTTCCCTAACATGCCGTTCGGAACGTTATGGCCCGGAGCAGCGCATGCATGTGAGCTCCGCACTTCGGATACGCGCTGCTGGATTGGAGATGGGTTCTGACAAAGCGTTGGGAAGGGAGGGGAATCAGCGCAGCATCCTACTCACCAGGGCAACCACGGTGGCTGTAAAGGTGATGCCCAGGGCGGTGAAGGGGTCCTGGCCATGGGCGTATACGCAGTAGCTGGTCACAATCAGGGCGCCAACTCCGGTTGACACCACGTCATAGCGCTGTTGTGGAAGGCACGGAATGTGGGACGGCAGGGAAGGGTGGAGTGAGAGCACGTGTGGGAAACTGACTGGGGATGGTAAGGAGGAAGATAAATCGTCGAAGAAAGGCAATAACCGTGGCTCAACGGCAAAGGCTTATCGACAAAATGTCTTAGGGAAGTAGCGAAGGAGCGCAGCGAGAAGACGCCGCGCTCAAGAGCAGCTAGCTATCATGGCAAGGGTTCGAGAAAATGGCGTAACCCTAAACCATATCGCGCCTAGCAACAGCATTGATTATCTGCAACAATTGAGCTTACCCTTAGAAACGAATCGACAGCTGTGCTCACGTTCTTGCGTGGGTCTTGCAGCTCCGCACGCACAAGGCAGCGAGACTTTGCCACGGCCCGGCATCGCGCTAGGCCAATATTAAGTGGCAATTTTCGTGATGTGCATTGCAAGCGACGACGGGGAAAGGTTGTGCTTTGGAACGGAAGCGTTGCCATGGCCATTTGTGGAAATAGTGCCAGGCGAACGATGGCCTTTACCGAGATAGGGTTTAGTTACACAGTGAACGCGACTTAGAGGATTATGCCGGAAAGTACCATAAAGCGCAAGCTCAATCGGCCATCTTGATTTGCGCCGTACGATGTATGGGATGTATGGACGAGGGGTTCGCCTACTCAACTTGCAAGTATAGCACTGTGAAGCGCTTGGTTTTCTGTTAACGGGACTTGACAGAGGGCGAACGATCCTGAAACTGTCCTTCGTCCCAAGTTAGTGTTCGAGCTTTTGGATGTCGTGTTGTCGGCGTTGCTGTCGGCGTTTGATGTTTGTTCGCCGGCAAGCTACCACTGTCAACTACAACATCTTTTCAAGATAGGACATCCATCACCAATCCAAGTACCACGGCAGATGTGCTAGGTCGGTGGGTGCTAGGTCGGCGGGTGCTAGGTGGGCGGGTGCTCGGTCGGCGGGTGCTCGGTCGGCGGGTGCTCGGTCGGCGGGTGCTAGGTCGGCGGGTGTTAGGTCGGCGGGCGCTAGGTCGGTGGGCGCTAGGTCGGCGGGTGCTAGGTCGGCGGGTGCTCGGTCGGCGGGTGCTAGGTCGGCGGGTGCTCGGTCGGCGGGTGCTAGGTCGGCGGGTGCTCGGTCGGCGGGTGCTAGGTCGGTGGGTGCTAGGTCGGCGGGTGCTAGGTCGGCGTCGGCGGGTGCTAGGTCGGTGGGTGCTAGGTCGGTGGGTGCTAGGTCGGCGGGTGCTAGGTCGGTGGGAGCTAGGTCGGCGGGTGCTAGGTCGGCGGGCGCTAGGTCGGCGGGTGCTAGGTCGGCGGGTGCTAGGTTGGCGGGTGCTAGGTCGGCGGGTGCTAGGTCGGCGGGTGCTAGGTCGGCGGGTGCTAGGTTGGTGGGTGCTAGGTCGGTGGGTGCTAGGTCGGCGGGTGCTAGGTCGGCGGGTGCTAGGTCGGCGGGTGCTAGGTCGGCGGGTGCTAGGTCGGCGGGTGCTAGGTCGGCGGGTGCTCGGTCGGCGGGTGCTAGGTCGGCGGGTGCTAGGTCGGCGGGTGCTAGGTCGGTGGGTGCAAGGTCGGCGTCGGCGGGTGCTAGGTCGGTGGGTGCTAGGTCGGCGGGTGCTAGGTCGGCGGGTGCTAGGTCGGCGGGAGCTAGGTCGGCGGGTGCTAGGTCGGCGGGCGCTAGGTCGGCGGGTGCTAGGTCGGCGGGTGCTAGGTTGGCGGGTGCTAGGTCGGCGGGTGCTAGGTCGGCGGGTGCTAGGTCGGTGGGTGCAAGGTCGGTGGGTGCTAGGTCGGTGGGTGCTAGGTCGGCGGGTGCTAGGTCGGCGGGAGCTAGGTCGGCGGGTGCTAGGTCGGCGGGTGCTAGGTCGGCGCGTGCTAGGTCGGCGGGTGCTAGGTCGGCGGGTGCTAGGTCGGCGGGTGCTAGGTCGGCGGGTGCTAGGTCGGCGGGTGCTAGGTCGGCGGGTGCTAGGTCGGCGTGTGCTGGGTCGACGGGTGCTAGGTCGGCGGGTGCTAGGTCGACGGGTGCTAGGTCGACGGGTGCTAGGTCGGCGGGTGCTCGGTCGGCGGGTGCTAGGTCGGCGGGTGCTCGGTCGGCGGGTGCTAGGTCGGCGGGTGCTAGGTCGGCGTCGGCGGGTGCTAGGTCGGTGGGTGCTAGGTCGGCGGGTGCTAGGTCGGCGGGAGCTAGGTCGGCGGGTGCTAGGTCGGCGGGTGCTAGGTCGGCGGGTGCTAGGTCGACGGGTGCTAGGTCGACGGGTGCTAGGTCGGCGGGTGCTCGGTCGGCGGGTGCTAGGTCGGCGGGTGCTCGGTCGGCGGGTGCTAGGTCGGCGGGTGCTAGGTCGGCGTCGGCGGGTGCTAGGTCGGTGGGTGCTAGGTCGGCGGGTGCTAGGTCGGCGGGTGCTCGGTCGGCGGGTGCTAGGTCGGCGGGTGCTAGGTCGGCGTCGGCGGGTGCTAGGTCGGTGGGTGCTAGGTCGGCGGGTGCTAGGTCGGTGGGTGCTAGGTCGGCGGGTGCTAGGTCGGCGGGCGCTAGGTCGGCGGGTGCTAGGTCGGCGGGTGCTAGGTCGGCGGGTGCTAGGTCGGCGGGTGCTAGGTTGGCGGGTGCTAGGTCGGCGGGTGCTAGGTCGGCGGGTGCTAGGTCGGCGGGGGCTAGGTCGGTGGGTGCAAGGTCGGTGGGTGCTAGGTCGGTGGGTGCTAGGTCGGCGGTTGCTAGGTCGGCGGGTGCCAGGTCGGCGGTTGCTAGGTCGGCGGGTGCTAGGTCGGCGCGTGCTAGGTCGGCGGGTGCTAGGTCGGCGGGTGCAAGGTCGGCAGGTGCTAGGTCGGCGGGTGCTAGGTCGGCGGGTGACAGGTCGGCGGGTGCTAGGTCGGCGGGTGCTAGGTCGACGGGTGCTAGGTCGGCGGGTGCTAGGTCGGCGGGTGCTAGGTCGACGGGTGCTAGGTCGGCGGGTGCTAGGTCGGCGGGTGCTAGGTCGGCGGGTGCTAGGTCGGCGTCGGCGGGTGCTAGGTCGGCGGGTGCTAGGTCGGTAGGTGCTAGGTCGGCGGGTGCTAGGTCGGCGGATTCTAGGTCGGCGGGTGCTAGGTCAGCGGGTGCTAGGTCGGCGGGTGCTAGGTCGGCGGGTGCTAGGTCGGCGTGTGCTAGGTCGGCGGGTGATAGGTCGGCGTGTGCTAGGTCGGCGGGTGCTAGGTCGGCGGGTGCTAGGTCGGCGGATTCTAGGTCGGCGGGTGCTAGGTCGGCGGGTGCTAGGTCGGCGGGTGCTAGGTCGGCGTGTGCTAGGTCGGCGGGTGATAGGTCGGCGTGTGCTAGGTCGGCGGGTGCTAGGTCGGCGGGTGCTAGGTCGGCATCGGCGGGTGCTAGGTCGGCGGGTGCTAGGTTGGCGGGTGCTAGGTTGGCGGGTGCTAGGTCGGTGGGTGCTAGGTCGGCGGGTGCTAGGTCGGCGTCGGCGGGTGCTAGGTCGGTGGGTGCTAGGTCGGTGGGTGCTAGGTCGGCGGGTGCTAGGTCGGTGGGAGATAGGTCGGCGGGTGCTAGGTCGGCGGGCGCTAGGTCGGCGGGTGCTAGGTCGGCGGGTGCTAGGTTGGCGGGTGCTAGGTCGGCGGGTGCTAGGTCGGCGGGTGCTAGGTCGGTGGGTGCAAGGTCGGTGGGTGCTAGGTCGGTGGGTGCTAGGTCGGCGGGTGCTAGGTCGGCGGGTGCTAGGTCGGCGGGTGCTAGGTCGGCGGGTGCTAGGTCGGCGGGTGCTCGGTCGGCGGGTGCTAGGTCGACGGGTGCTCGGTCGGCGGGTGCTAGGTCGGTGGGTGCTGGTCGGCGTCGGCGGGTGCTAGGTCGGTGGGTGCTAGGTCGGCGGGTGCTAGGTCGGCGGGTGCTAGGTCGGTGGGTGCTAGGTCGGTGGGTGCTAGGTCGGCGGGCGCTAGGTCGGCGGGTGCTAGGTCGGCGGGTGCTAGGTCGGCGGGAGCTAGGTCGGCGGGTGCTAGGTCGGCGGGTGCTAGGTCGGTGGGTGCAAGGTCGGTGGGTGCTAGGTCGGTGGGTGCTAGGTCGGCGGGTGCTAGGTCGGCGGGTGCTAGGTCGGCGGGTGCTAGGTCGGCGGGTGCTAGGTCGGCGCGTGCTAGGTCGGCGGGTGCTAGGTCGGCGGGTGCCAGGTCGGCGGGTGCTAGGTCGGCGGGTGCTAGGTCGGCGGGTGCTAGGTCGGCGGGTGCTAGGTCGGCGGGTGCTAGGTCGACGGGTGCTAGGTCGGCGGGTGCTAGGTCGACGGGTGCTAGGTCGACGGGTGCTAGGTCGGCGGGTGCTAGGTCGGCGGGTGCTAGGTCGGCGGGTGCTAGGTCGGCGTCGGCGGGTGCTAGGTCGGCGGGTGCTAGGTCGGCGGGTGCTAGGTCGGCTGGTGCTAGGTCGGCGGGTGCTAGGTCGGGGGGTGCTAGGTCGGCGGGTGCTAGGTCGGCGGATTCTAGGTCGGCGGGTGCTAGGTCGGCGGGTGCTAGGTCGGCGGGTGCTAGGTCGGCTGGTGCTAGGTCGGCGGGTGCTAGGTCGGCGGGTGCTAGGTCGGCGGGTGCTAGGTCGGCGGGTGCTAGGTCGGCGGGTGATAGGTCGGCGTGTGCTAGGTCGGTGTTAGCTAGGTCGGCGGGTGCTAGGTCGGCGGGCGCTAGGTCGGCGGGTGCTAGGTCGGCGGGTGCTAGGTTGGCGGGTGCTAGGTCGGCGGGTGCTAGGTCGGCGGGTGCTAGGTCGGTGGGTGCAAGGTCGGTGGGTGCTAGGTCGGTGGGTGCTAGGTCGGCGGGTGCTAGGTCGGCGGGTGCTAGGTCGGCGGGTGCTAGGTCGGCGGGTGCTCGGTCGGCGGGTGCTAGGTCGGCGGGTGCTCGGTCGGCGGGTGCTAGGTCGGCGGGTGCTAGGTCGGCGTCGGCGGGTGCTAGGTCGGTGGGTGCTAGGTCGGCGGGTGCTAGGTCGGTGGGTGCTAGGTCGGCGGGTGCTAGGTCGGCGGGCGCTAGGTCGGCGGGTGCTAGGTCGGCGGGTGCTAGGTCGGCGGGTGCTAGGTCGGCGGGTGCTAGGTCGGCGGGTGCTAGGTCGGCGGGTGCAAGGTCGGCGGGGGCTAGGTCGGTGGGTGCAAGGTCGGCGGGTGCTAGGTCGGCGGGTGCTAGGTCGACGGGTGCTAGGTCGGCGGGTGCTAGGTCGGCGGGTGCTAGGTCAGCGGGTGCTAGGTCGGCGTCGGCGGGTGCTAGGTCGGCGGGTGCTAGGTCGGTAGGTGCTAGGTCGGCGGGTGCTAGGTCGGCGGGTTCTAGGTCGGCGGGTGCTAGGTCGGCGGGTGCTAGGTCGGCGGGTGCTAGGTCGGCGGGTGCTAGGTCGGCGGGTGCTAGGTCGGCGTGTGCTAGGTCGGCGGGTGATAGGTCGGCGTGTGCTAGGTCGACGGGTGCTAGGTCGGCGGGTGCTAGGTCGGCGGGTGCTAGGTCGGCGTCGGCGGGTGCTAGGTCGGCGGGTGCTAGGTCGGCGGGTGCTAGGTCGGCGGGTGCTAGGTCGGCGGGTGCTAGGTCGGGAGGTGCTAGGTCGGCGGGTGCTAGGTCGGCGGATTCTAGGTCGGCGGGTGCTAGGTCGGCGGGTGCTAGGTCGGCGGGTGCTAGGTCGGCGGGTGCTAGGTCGGCGGGTGCTAGGTCGGCGGGTGCTAGGTCGGCGGGTGCTAGGTCGGCGGGTGATAGGTCGGCGGGTGCTAGGTCGGTGGGAGCTAGGTCGGCGGGTGCTAGGTCGGCGGGCGCTAGGTCGGCGGGTGCTAGGTCGGCGGGTGCTAGGTCGGCGGGTGCTAGGTCGGCGGGTGCTAGGTCGGCGGGTGCTAGGTCGGTGGGTGCAAGGTCGGTGGGTGCTAGGTCGGTGGGTGCTAGGTCGGCGGGTGCTAGGTCGGCGGGCGCTAGGTCGGCGGGTGCTAGGTCGGCGGGTGCTAGGTTGGCGGGTGCTAGGTCGGCGGGTGCTAGGTCGGCGGGTGCTAGGTCGGCGGGTGCTAGGTCGGCGGGTGCTAGGTCGGCGGGTGCTAGGTCGGCGTCGGCGGGTGCTAGGTCGGCGGGTGCTAGGTCGGCGGGTGCTAGGTCGGCGGGTGCTCGGTCGGCGGGTGCTAGGTCGGCGGGTGCTCGGTCGGCGGGTGCTAGGTCGGCGGGTGCTAGGTCGGCGTCGGCGGATGCTAGGTCGGTGGGTGCTAGGTCGGCGGGTGCTAGGTCGGTGGGTGCTAGGTCGGCGGGTGCTAGGTCGGCGGGCGCTAGGTCGGCGGGTGCTAGGTCGGCGGGTGCTAGGTCGGCGGGTGCTAGGTCGGCGGGTGCTAGGTTGGCGGGTGCTAGGTCGGCGGGTGCTAGGTCGGCGGGGGCTAGGTCGGTGGGTGCAAGGTCGGTGGGTGCTAGGTCGGTGGGTGCTAGGTCGGCGGTTGCTAGGTCGGCGGGTGCTAGGTCGGCGGTTGCTAGGTCGGCGGGTGCTAGGTCGGCGCGTGCTAGGTCGGCGGGTGCTAGGTCGGCGGGTGCTAGGTCGGCAGGTGCTAGGTCGGCGGGTGCTAGGTCGGCGGGTGCTAGGTCGGCGGGTGCTAGGTCGGCGGGTGCTAGGTCGACGGGTGCTAGGTCGGCGGGTGCTAGGTCGACGGGTGCTAGGTCGGCGGGTGCTAGGTCGGCGGGTGCTAGGTCGGCGGGTGCTAGGTCGGCGTCGGCGGGTGCTAGGTCGGCGGGTGCTAGGTCGGTAGGTGCTAGGTCGGCGGGTGCTAGGTCGGCGGATTCTAGGTCGGCGGGTGCTAGGTCGGCGGGTGCTAGGTCGGCGTGTGCTAGGTCGGCGGGTGCTAGGTCGGCGTGTGCTAGGTCGGCGGGTGATAGGTCGGCGTGTGCTAGGTCGGCGGGTGCTAGGTCGGCATCGGCGGGTGCTAGGTCGGCGGGTGCTAGGTTGGCGGGTGCTAGGTTGGCGGGTGCTAGGTCGGTGGGTGCTAGGTCGGCGGGTGCTAGGTCGGTGGGTGCTAGGTCGGCGGGTGCTAGGTCGGCGGGCGCTAGGTCGGCGGGTGCTCGGTCGGCGGGTGCTAGGTCGGCGGGTGCTAGGTCGGCGGGGTTCTAGGTCGGCGGGTGCTAGGTCGGTGGGTGCTCGGTCGGTGGGTGCTAGGTCGGTGGGTGCTCGGTCGGTGGGTGCTAGGTCGGCGGGTGCTATGTCGGTGGGTGCTAGGTCGGTGGGTGCTAGGTGTTGGACTTTGTCGCCTCGAGGAAGCGGGTTGGCGGGTGGGTGAGTGGGGTTGACTCGAGGTGCTGGTGCTGGGCGCGGCCTTTCGAAGGAATATTGCACACTGCCGTCACTGTTGTACAGGATTCGGGTGATCCGCGTCCCCGCTGTACCGTCGGCTATCATCTGCTCGTGATCCCAGGCTCTCGCACGCTCAAAGTACCTAAGGGACCGAGGCACTTTTCTTTATGCTCGGGTGTCGTGCGCACTTTGACCTTTCCCGTCCGCAAGTACCATGTATACGAGAAGTACTTAGCTTTGCCGACATCTTGATGCCCATATAATTCCGAAGCCATGACCGTGTCGAATGCAAAAAGCAGTAACCAATAGTCGCTTCTGAAGAGGAGCGGCGTGAAGCCCTTACCCGTCAAACACCGAGCGAAATATCGGTACAGAGTGACCGGAAGTAAACTATGCAACGTAGAATAGCCTTTTACTATTAGCCTTTTACAAACCTTTCTCTCAGCCTATAGCGCTAGATAAGTTGACGCCTCGACGACTTGACGAGCGATGCTGTCGTACGGTTCTTGAGCGACACGATTTGGCGGGCAATTCAAGCCCAAGTTGCAGCGATTGACAACGCCTTCCGCGGTTTACCTCATTTGTGGTGTGGCCGTTTTCTCCAACCAGCCCGACAGCGTGGGGAATACACCCAAACATTTACATTTGCGGTAAGGCAACCTGCTCCAAAGGGCGCGCTCAGGCATCGCATTAGGTGCCTGTTACATTCCACTATATATGCTATAGACAACACGCTTACTATTGTTTTGTCGCGCCGTTCCATTACCTGTACTCAGCGCGGGTTTCCATCTGCTAATTACAAACGGGCGCATTCATCATTGGCACACCTTTGCAATCCGCCAAGCTGTCCCTCTGGCCTACAACCATAACTTCACGTTGCTTGTTGCTTTCCTGCAGAGTTCGTCCGCCATAGGACGCCACTGTTACTCGACACCCAAGTAGCAAGGACGACCTACCATGCTGGCAGCTAGCTCCTTTACTCAAAAGCGGGCAGCTTGCAGCAGCAGCACCTGCCCTGCATCCTATGTGCCGCATCACAGGCTGTCCCCGGTCCCACAGCACGGAGCTTCTGTCGTACACACCACGCCGGGGGCACCCTACAACCACCAGGCACGCTCCTTCGCTCAGCCGCAGACGGCCCCCTCAGGCCGGCGCCCCGGCCGCGATTACACAATGATCGTGGCTAGCACCGGGTGAGGGGAGTGGCGAGGTCGCCTTTGGTTGGCATAACCTAATCCAGTGCGACAGAGGCTTGCTGCCCTTGTAACATGGCGGCCTCGTATGGTTGAGGAAAGCTTGTTTCCGAGTATGTATAGGTTACGGCCGGGTCACTCACTGCATTGCCAGTGTGAATTAAGCATTACTTTGTGCATTGCAAGTCAAGTTGCATGTTCTTACAGTCGCTATCGTTCCTCCCGTGCGGTACAGGTACACGCCTTTTGGCGGCGACGCGCGCATCAAGGTCATCGGTGTGGGTGGCGGCGGCGGCAACGCGCTGAACCGCATGATCAACAGCGGCCTGCAGGTGGGGAGTTGGCACCTCCTAGCAGGTTTTAGGAGGTTTGCATCCATATGAAGATATGACAAGCAATGCGGCGTTCCTTGTCATCCAATCGATACAAAAAAACATAGCCAGCACCCTATCCGTACCCTCGCCGAGCCTACACACATTCTAGCTACCTCCTTTCCAAATATTGTGCACTATTTCCGCACTCGACACGCATCCCTCTCGCCCCCTTATTCAAATTCAAACGAACTCTTAATCCAAATCCTCTTCCTTCCTGGCAGGGTGTGGAGTTCTGGGCCATCAACACGGACGCCCAGGCGCTAGCCGCCCACCAGGCCCTCAACAAGGTGCAGATTGGCAACGAGCTCACTCGCGGGCTGGGCTGCGGGGGCAACCCGGAGCTGGGGCGGCAGGCGGCGCTGGAGAGCGAGGAGGCGCTGCGGCGCATGGTGCAGGTAGGAGGAAAAGAAGAACGAACAATGTGTGGTGCAGGTAGGAGGAGGGAGCGGAGAGGGAGGTAACTGACTAACCGTGTGCCGCGGGGCTCCATCCAGTGGAGTTACCGGTATGGGGGAGCTGAGATGGCAGGTTGCTGTCGTGACGGTAGCCACCTTGGCCTGTGACCTGCTGGTTACGACTCTCCAGTATTCTGGAACCCCCTTTCCGTGTTTCGACTCCCCTTTACCGTGTTTTGCCCCTTCCCTTCCTTCCTTCATCCAGGGTGCTGATCTGGTTTTTATCACGGCGGGTATGGGTGGCGGCACCGGCACGGGAGCAGCGCCGGTGGTGGCTCGCCTCTCCAAGGAGATGGGTGAGTGGAAGGGGTGGGGGGTTGTCGGGCCCGTGTGGGGTGCGGGGATACGGCAGACGTATCTGCGACGCTTGCTGCGGAGGGCTTGGAAAGCAGCCAATTAACGGGCAGTCTTGGAGAAGATTCCACGTCGGGGCATGCGTCGTTGCCCAGGTGCTTGCAATCCCTTCCAGCTTCTTTTGGGGCGCTGACATCATGCTTGTTGTTGGGCTTGTCGGGCATCATGGCTCACTCGGCTCCTGGCCGCTCCTTTCGCCCCACCTTTCCTCCTGTAGGTATCCTGACGGTGGGTGTGGTGACGTACCCCTTCAACTTTGAGGGCCGTCGCCGGGCGGGTCAGGCGTTGGAGGGCATTGAGGGGCTGCGGGCGGCGGTGGACAGCGTCATTGTCATTCCCAACGACAGGTGAGAGGACTGGGGAGACTGAGGAGGAGTTCTTTCTGCGGAATTTAGCTCTAGGGCGTAAGCCTTGGGCCTCTGACGGATGGCCGGTCAAGCTGGGTCAAGTGGAAACTGTGCCTGGCGCGTTTGAGGAACCTATGTGAACATAGCATGCGGAGCCCGGTGATGATGTGGCCACCATAAACAACACCCCCCCGCAGGCTGCTGGATGTGGCGTCTGCAAGCACCGCCCTGCAGGACGCATTCGCGCTGGCCGATGATGTGCTGCGTCAGGGTGTGCAGGTGAGCGTGAGCGGGGTGTGGAGGCGCAGGGGTGTGCATGCGGGTTGCAGGGAGCTGCATGGGTGGGGCTAGGCCGCCCATGGGTAACAGCAACGGGTGCATGAAGAGTTAACAGTAACAGCAAGGAGGGTCAAGCATGCCTACCCAATAATGGCTATCGTATCGTGCGGGTCGTGCGGCACCAAACACTCCATGTCTTGGTCCGACGTACATGCAGCCATCGCTGCTCATTAAAACGCCTCCCTCCTCCTCCCCGCCACCGTCCCCCCCTGCAGGGTATCTCGGACATCATCACAGTGCCCGGCCTCATTAATGTGGACTTTGCCGATGTGAAGGCCATCATGTCTAACAGCGGTGAGTAGTCCGGTAGCAGCTCTGATGTTGGATGCTGTTTCGGAGGGAACAAAACATCAATCCATGCTGCAGTCCACGCCACCCCGGCTGCTCTACGTTAGCTCCTCCATGCTCGACAGCCTTGAGGGGCATCACCGTCACCCGCCCCCGACCTCACCGCCATCCCTCCCGTTCCCGCCCCTCCCCCCGGCCCATCCGTGGGACTCCATTGCTTCACTTTTTCACTTATCTTTCCCCGCCCCTCTCCTGCCCAGGCACTGCCATGCTCGGTGTTGGCGCCGCCTCCACCGCCACCGTCGCCCCGGGCGGCCCCGACCGGGCGGAGCAAGCTGCCATGGCTGCGACCTCGGCGCCGCTCATCCAGCGCAGCATTGAGAAGGCGACCGGCATTGTGTACAACATCACGGGCGGCCGCGACCTGACGCTAGCAGAGGTGAACCGCGTGTCTGAGGTGGTGACGGCGCTCGCGGACCCCTCGTGCAACATCATTTTTGGTGCAGGTGGGTGCGAGTGGGTGGGTGGGTGGGTGGGTAGGTAGGACCAAGCGGATAGTGCCTGTGGAGGGGATGCGATATGTGTTTGGAAAATGCGCATTGTTGACTGTCGAGGTGCGCGTCTGTTGGAAAAGTCGGGATGTTGATGATGGCCCCGCTGTTTCAGAAAGCGGTTGTCCTCCCTGTATTTTTGACACGCTTGTACTGCTTGTACTGCAGTTGTGGACGAGCAGTACGACGGGGAGCTCCACGTGACCATCATTGCCACCGGCTTTGCGCCCACGTATGAGAACGAGTTGCTAAACGGCGGCAACGCGCAGCAGCAGGTGGGCACTGGGCAGCCATGTGGGGTGTGTGGCCCCATGCATGCATGGATAAAGCCCATGAATGTAGCCCATGCATGTAGGTACTCTCTCAACAGGCTATGCAGCATTGGTATGCGCTCGTAACCGTAACATCCTTTGCGTGTTGTGCGCCCTGCAGGCACGGCAACAGCGCCGCGCTGCACACCAAGCGGCGGCTGCAGCCATGGGCGTCCCAACGGGTGCCAGCGCACCGGGAGGAAAGGTGTGGGTTGTTGTGTCATCATCTTGCCTCCGTTGCCAGGCTTCTTGATATATCATGACACCAAACCCAAGAACCCGTACTATGCACTTGTCATGGTTGGTCCCGTTGACAAGCTTTGTATTGACCCGCTCTTGTGATACCTTCCTTCACCTGATGAGTGCTGACGTACGAGTACTGACACGCGGGTATCGTTCCCCCGGCGGTGGCAGGTGATGCCTGGAGCCAACCAGGTGGCCCAGCCGGCCCCGCCACCGCAGCAGCCCTCCAACCCGGGGGGCTCCCTCCCCTGGAGCCGACCCAACCGTGCCAAGCTGGACTTCCTGGGCCGAAGCATCCTGTGAAGCGAGGGGGCGGGGAGCGGCTCTTGGGGGCACGGTGCTTGCCTGGCTTAGTGGCGCAGGTTCTGAAATGCTAGTGAAAGCAGCCGCGCTGGGTCGGGGCTAGGAAGCAGATAGTCTGGTTATTGGCAGGAGTTTGCAACACACGCCACCGCAACAGTGTTAGCGGTTACTGGCATATATGTGATCAGGACAGGTGTGATCAGGAAGGTACTGCGGTGCGGTATAAGGAGTGCGCAATTAGGTTGGGGTCTTTCTTGTTTGGCGGCGGGCCCTATAGGCCGTACGTGAGGGCACATGAGGGTGATGCATTGAGAGTAAACTGAGTTGCATTGTGAGCATGAGTCATTCACTTGGCGAGAATGGTATGGAGAGGGAGTTTGCGAGCTCGAGGGCACAACACTATCGCTACCAAAAGCAGCCCTGAGTACTGTGTAAGCTATTGGTCTTGGAAGATGAACGGGGATTGCCTGCCAACCGTGTGTAACCAGATTAGACGTATCCATCTCGTACAGGAGTTGAAACCAAAACGCCGCCTATTCCATGCCATTGAGGCGTGAGACGTGAAACACTACACCGCAAAGCTAAATTGGAAATAAACACAGAAGAAGCGTCTGGACAGCTGAGGCGTTAACAGCTGGTAGGTGTAAACCAATAATGGCATCGAAGTCTCTACGGAAAGCAAAATACGACAAAACCTTAAAGGAAGAGTGCGCTACATTATTCCGCATGCTACGTACTAATCGGGCAGCTGATCACAGTTAACAGGATCAAGCAGTCATGTCTCGAAAACCTAGTCCGCAAGTCTACGGGCCGTGTTTGGACGTCTAGGCCATCGAAATTCTGTCACGTGAAGTGTTTCCATGATCTCTCCAGTCCAAAACCAAGGCAAGCAACACACGTTGACATCTACTACTCATGAATTCCGCTCGCAATCTAACGCCGCCATAGCTCGGCTCGCACGCAAAACTAGAGCCCCAACTTCAATGCCGCCCTCCGCACACCACTTCAACCCATCCCTTCCCTTCCCTCCACCACCCCCTCACAACTTCCGCAGACCCAGGAATCCCTCGCCACGCTCCTCGCCCTGATACGTCACCGCAATCTTCGCCTTTGCCGGCAGCATGAGCACATCCCACGTCGTCAGCCCGGTCACAGGCGAGGAGTTAAGACCCGTGGTGCTGGTGGCTCGTTCCAACCCGGGAGAGGCCGCACCGCTGCCCGGACCCCGTAACGACGGCGACGCCGCGCCGCTGTAGCTGGTGTGCACGCTGCTGAGTGCGCCGCCGCCGCCGCCTCCTGCGCCGTGTTGTACGGCATTGGGGTTGTGCAGTGCGGTCAATGCAACCTCCCCGTTGACCAACACCTGGATGAGTGGCGGCGAGCGGCGCAGCTTGGGTGCGCCCGAGGCGGAGTAGAAGCCGAAGGACACCTCGTACAGGCCGGGCGTGATGGTTACAATAGTGGCCTGCAGGAAGCAGAAGGAGGAGGACGGAAAGGGGATGTACGGTAAACGCGCAAAACCCCACAATGCTAATTGGCCCCAAATGCAGCAATCTTGGTATCATTACTACAGTCAATTGCCGCTGCAGTACCAAACGGGCCTGCAAGCAGCTGCATGGGGGAGCATTACTGCTCCAGGTAGCCCTTCGGGCCGCCCACCTTGCCCTCCTCCCACAGGAAGTTGTCGGTATCCGTGTTGACTGCCTGCACCTCCCAGGGCACCGCGTTGCCGGCCTTGGTGCGCGTGCTCTTCCACAACCACCTGGCGGCGGCAGGGGCGAAGGGGGGAAGCAGATGGTAGGGGGCATACAGGGAGGCGCGAATTAGAGGGGCGAGGTGGATGCGTGCGACGCGCCCTTGAATTGCAGTATTTGGTAAACAGCGTTAAGGACGACGGTCCGTTGCTTGCTCTCGCTCTCTGCTTACGCGGGTTGCTCCCTAACTTGCCATGCCTCGTCGTCACTGGGTGGCAAAAGCACATCCGCAGCGCATTCCGAGCAGACCGCCCAAGCAAGCGCATTACCCCACAGTTCCCCTCCTCCTCCTCCTTCGCCTCCCCTCCCCTCCCCTCCTCCCCCCCTCCTCCATCCCTACCTGCCCATGTGCAGGTTCTGTGCAAAGCCCGAGTTGATGACCGCCTGTTGCCGTTCTAGCCGCATGATCTCGTTCACCGGGGCCTTGTTCTCCAGCTCCGCGCACACCTGACGCCGCAGCGGGTGGGTAAATACACACCGTGATATGAAACACACTCCGGGTGGTGTCGCATGTGCGGGGACAACGTCGTAACAGCAATATTAGCAATGCGATAACCATCGGCCAGTAGGGCACAGGGTTTAAGAGTTTGCCCCATGTATGCCCCTCTGGAGTCGCTGGCTAGGAAACGCCCGCGTGCCCACGCCCTGTGCCCCGAAAGGGCTAGTAGGCCATTGGTGCATGCCGGTCGGTAGAACATGAGGTGGCTTCCCAAGCAGCGGGGCTCACCTCGAGGAGGGCTTTGTTGACGTCCTCCACACGCGCCATACCCTCCATGGTCTGGTAGATGGCCTGTGGAGGAAGGAACAGCACGGGGGAGCAGGAAGATCAATGGAAAGGCAAACAGCAGGGTGCGTACAGCAAGCGGTGTCGTACAAGCCGTGCCGTTCTCCAGAAGTGCGCTGGCCAGCGGTTAAATCTGTGTCCCATGCACAACACCTCCGGGCATGCAAGCGTCCTGTGTCTCCCGCCGCTACCACCGGCCACACCCGCTTCCCATCCCAACAGCCGTCCGCTAGCAAACATGCATCTCCCCACCACACCAGGAGAATGTGGAGCTGTGATCCATTCCCCCGCGCACACATGCGGTAGCCAAAGTATTCCGACTCGCGGCCACTTCCTCTACAGCCGACAGCCGCACCTTTGCCTCCCCCACTTTGTTGTCCACGTCCCGCTGCAGCGCGTCCAGCCGGGCCGCCAGGTCCAGCGCGTTGTCTACTTTGGCGAACACGGCGTCAACGGTTTCCTGCGAGGAGGGGGGGGCAGTGGGACATTTGCAGAAACATGAAAGCAAGCAAGCAGGGGCTCCCTAAGATGGGGAAACCAGAGCTAGGGCGAGCAGCGCAACCCTGCTTGCATCATGTAACAGCATTTAGCATAGCGACGACTCTAGCACCAGGCGATATGACATGCGCATTCGGCCTGGACTCCTACTCCCCCCTTTCTCCGGCGTCTCTCTGTCCCTGCAGTCCATTCCCATGCAGCATGCCGTTCAGTGCACCAACCCCCACCCCTTCCTGACCCCCTCCCTCCCTCTTCCCTCCTCCCGCCCAGCCCCACCTGCGACGCCTTGTGCTGCAGTGCCTCCGTGACCGCCGCCGCATCCGCCTTGCGGTCCAGCAGCCGGTACACCTCCACCGCGTCGGCCTTCTTGGACAGACCCTCCCTGGGGGCGGGGGGGGGGACAGCAGCAGGGGACAGGGGTGTAAGGTAAAACGAGGTGTCAGGCACTGTAATCCCATTCCCAGGCCTGAACAATGCAGTGAGCATACATGGCACACGAGAGCAGGGGGCCGCCAGGGACACAATCGGGGCAAGAGCAACAGTGCCAGCGAGTACTCCTTGTTGCGACAGCCATCCCTCTTAACGTCATAACGTCATAAGGTACCGGCACGCCATGCTGCTAAACCATGTGCAGCAAAGAGTAAGATTATGCGTTTCAGTCCTGGCTTGCAGTAGCGCCGGACCGCCTCCTTTTGGTCCCCACCTGAAAGCGGTGTCCACGTCCCTCAGCTGCTGGTCGAATGCCGCCATGTTGCGGTGCAGGGTGGCCACCTGGGTGGAGGTGCCCTCCAGCCGCCCGCGCACGTCTGGAAAGGGGGGGGGGAGGCGGGGCGGAGGCGGGTGTGATAATAACGCAAGGTAACTGGTTTCCGGGGAGGCAGGCAGGCGTGCGAGGGGTTTTCCCCTGATATAAGCACGTTCAACTCCAGCTAAATCCGTTCTTATCCCTGTACACGTTTGGTTGGGGTGTGTGTCCCAGCAGAGCATGAGGCACATGGACAGCATGGACAGCATGAACAGCAGGCAGCAGTACCGTAGTAGGTACGTGCGCTGACACCCGAGTTAAAAAAGCGGAGAGGTTCACGCAGGCAAACACTGCACCTGTACCGCAACCGGTGGACCCTCTACAGCCCCTGCGGCCCCCTGGCTTTCCAGCCATCAACCTTCCAGGCTCCCGGCTCCTCCCCTCTCCACCCGACCCCACCTGCAAGGGTGTTGTCAAAGGTGGCGGAGATGGTCCGCAGCGCCGCAGCGGTGGTGTCGCTGTCCGCCTCCACACGCTGACGCAGCCGGTCCGTGCGGCTGGACACCTGGGGGGGGACCCCATGGAGCGCAGCCGTTGCATGGCAAGCTGGGTTGTGTGCATGCACGCCGGTGAGGAGGACCGATAGACGTTTGGGCACACATGTCCTGCCACACATGTCCCCAGCATTGGTGTTCTTGCGATGCCCATGCCACTTCGTTTGCGGCTAATTCCACCTGCCGTTCCAGCCTGCACTGACTGTGCGAACCTCAAACCCCACCCCGCCCATCCGCCCTCCCCTCCTCCTCCTACCTCCTCCAGCGCCGTCGCATCCGCCTTCCTGCCCGCCAGCGCGCGCAGGTCCGCTAGCTCCTGCCCCAACCGCGCCTCCGCCTGGTCCAGCTGCGCCACATCAGCCTTGCGGGCTAGGGCCTCTTGGAACATCTTGCGGGACACCTGCGGGAGGGGGGGGCGAGGGGGTGGGAGGAGAGGAGCGGGGATGAGATGGGAGGCGAGGAGGGAGGATGAAAGCGACATGCGCGGAAGCGGAGGAGTGAAGGAAGGGCTCAATGTGGTTAGTGGTCCCGGGAGTTGCCGAGAAGTACCCCGCGATACGGGATCCACAGCGTGCCCACAGCGCGGCGCAGCTGTAAGTGCCGTGACGGGGCCGAGCCTCATCCCCCGGTCACGCACCATCCAAACCCCGCTGGTCTTATCCCCTTCTCCTCCCTCTCACTCTGCCTTGCCTTTCACCCCCCCGTGTCCCCCCGCACCGCCCCCCCCCCTTACCGCCACCACCTACCGCATGCGCTACCTCCCATCCTCACCCTCCACCTCCCTCGCACCCCACCCCTGTACCCTTGTTCCGTCTCCCCTCCTGCAACCTACCCTCCCCCTTTCTGGCACCCCTGTTCCGTCAGTCCTCCCATCCCGCACCCCTCCTGCACCCCCTCCCGCACCCCTCCGCCCCCTCACCTTGTCCCTCAGCTTGTCGTCCACCTCCGCCAGGTCCGCCTTCTGCGCCAGCGCCGCGCTCACCTCCGCCAGCCCCGCCTTGCCGTCCAGAGAGCCCCGCAGCGCCTCCATGCCCGAACCCAGCCGCGTCACGTCCGCACGCAGCCCCGCCAGCTGCCGGTCAGCATGCTCCTTGAAGGCCTGTGCAGCAGCGGCACAACGGGGGCGACGTCTAAGAACGGCGACAATTGCGCAACGGCGACAGAAGGCCACATGCGAGTTTGACAAAGCATCCTGATGGCCTTCCTTCCATCCCTCTTCCCGCCCCCGCCAGCAGCAGCAGCAGCCGCTGCTGGCCTCCCACCCCGCCGTCCCCCCAACCATGCAAACCCGGCACCCGGCTACACCGCCCACAGCTTAAGCTTACGTCAACACTTCATCCCCTCCCGGCTAATCTGTTATCCGCTCCTCCCCCTCCTCCCACCCCTTCTCCCGACCTTGAACTCCGCGTCCTCCGTTTTGGACCTCAGCAAGGTGTACACATCCGACATCTGCGTGCGCAGGCTGGCGTCCACCTCCGTCTTCAGCGCCCGCCGCTCCATGTCCGCTGCGTCAGCCTTGGAAGCCAGCAGTGTCTCCAGCTGGGCAGGCGGAGAGGCACATGGGGGCCGGGGTTACCGGCACGTAGGGGTAAGCATTGGGGAAAGGCACATACATCAACTGGGGTGGGCTGGGAGTGGGGGTATGTGACCAGTAGTATGTAACGGATGTTTTCGTGAGGGTTGGTTCAGGGTGATCCCTCCAGCCAGGGAACAGCCCAAACAGGGTTGCTGAGCCCTTGCTGCGGCTGCTGCAGCCCCCTCCTCCGCACCCCCACAACCCTCGCACTCCTCAATTCGCTTGCTGCCACTGCCGCCGCTCACCTCCCGTATCCGCGCCGCCATGTCCGCTGCATTGGCCTTCTGCTGCAGCGAGGTGGCCACCTCGGCGCGGCTGGCCTTGGTGTCCACCGCCCGCTCTATGGCCTGAACACGTACGACGGAGTGCAAGGGAGAGACAAGGAGGCAGGGACAAGAAGAGGAGTGCACGGGGGGGGGGGTTGTAAGCCAGAGGGGTGGGGCTGTAAGGATGGCTAACGGCAAGGGAGCTTGGGACCTATCAAGGGAAGGCGTGTCCGGCACTCCGAGTCTTTAACTGTGCTGAAGGCCCCAGGACCCTACCTTGATGGCTTCGCCTTGTGCTCTGAGCACGTCATGGAAGGCTTTGAACGTGAGCCGTACAATGTCCTGTGGAGGTATCGGGGGGGAGGGGGGAAGGAGGAGGGCAGGCATGGGCAGGGTGTTTGTACGACATTGTGCATTGAGTGCTGTGTTAACTGTTGCAATTGTTAGATCCGAGCTCCACCAAGCAGGGCATGGATTCTCTGGCTAGGGGTGGGCCAACGGGGTTTCGCCGGAGGGTGGCGGACTTCGGGCTTTGGGACCTATCCTGTCTGCTGCTAGAGTGGCTGCACAATGTGACGACGCCGGTGTGGGGCTTAAGTGTTACCAGCCCGACGATGACCCACAGTGCTATAAAGCTAACAGCCCCTACCCTTAACCCCAACAAAACCGGTAACTCTTCGATACGCCCTGTGGTAGTACCGCAGCATGTGGCATCTGAAAGACCCACCTGGATATTGCGCCACTCGTTCAATCCCTGCCAGGAAGAACCATTGGTAAAGCTGTGATATTTTCAAGGTAACGTGACCATATTGTGTTTCTCGACAGTGCACAGGTAGTAATGCGAGCCACGAAAACCTCCACACCTGTGTCAGGTCTTCTAGTACTAAGGAGGTACTTGGCATCGGCATTTGCATTGTAGCCATTGGCCCGTCCCACCGAACTTGGTGGAAAGCAGCTGGGATGCGGGTCTAGTAACAGAACGCTTCGGTTAAGCTATCAGCTGGATTTGTTCAGCCCTTCAACCAATCAGCTGCTATCAAGATGCGTGCTTTAAGAGGCAGCAGCGAACAGTTGTATGGAACGTTGACCTTTTGACCGTGTGCAGCAATGCAGACTTTTCAGTCAGTGTAATATGTTGTCAAAGGTCAAAAGTAGACCATGTAAGTTATAGAACATGTAGATCTTTGGGTAGTCTTCGAGGCTAGGTAGACAGATAACGTACAAAAGCGATAGATTTCGACATGTGAGAGGCGAACTTGTAAACCGCTGAGTTTCTTTACATGTAAGAAGGATATACAGCAAGATACAATCATCACCATAAGCGACCATATTACTCTAGGCTCGGGCGAGACAAATGCTGCTTCCAGCTTTCCACCATACCATATATACCACGGAGCCGTAATGACGTGGGACTTATAGCGAACCCCCCCCCTCGACTAATCCTGGGTGTATTCGGGGGGTCTTTCCTTCTTCCCCCCAGACGTAGGGGTGGTTACCCGCACGTTAGTTGAGGATGGTGTCTGGGTGCTGGTTGTTGTGTGATGTGGCCTGCATGTTGTCGTTCTTTCGGCTGGCGCACGAGCAGCACACAGCCATAACCTGCAAAGTTTTGTCATCACGGAGCCTGCAAACCTATGTTGGGTACTTCTAACCACCAAGTTTTGACGTCGTTCCTTGGTCGGCTTCTCTCATCATCGTCGCATTTTCATTAACGTCTGTGTGTGCCCCTTTGGACAATGCGCACAACGTTACAAGTGGGGGTTGTGCAGAATGTGGAAGCTTAGGTGTTGTACAGGTTCGTAAACCCTTTGCAAAAGCCCTAGGAACACATAGCGAAGTCTCCCACGGTAGAGCGCGTTGCAATTACCGCTTTCCGGTCCATGTGCGTTCAGAACAGCCACATTGTGCCTGTGCAATCAACGCTGTTCGCTTTTCGATAGGCAGCAGCAACGGGTGCCCATCCATCAATCGTGCACACCTACACATGGCGGGGTCTCCCACGGTAGAGCACGTTGCAATTACCGCTTTCCGGCCCATGTGCGTCGGGGTCTCCCACGGTAGAGCACGTTGCAATTACCGCTTTCCGGCCCATGTGCGTCAAGAACAGCATCATTGTGCGTGTGCAATCAACGCTATCTGTTCGCTTTTCGATAGGCAGCAGCAACGGGTGCCCATCCATCAATCGTGCACACCTATACTTTCCGGGCCATGTGTATGTGCAACAACTGCGCATGGCACATTGCCATTGCGATTGGCATGCACCAGGAAAGCTTTGCTTCGAAGGTCATTGTATACTGATTACTGTTCTGTTTTGGAGATGGCACCTTTCATAATAATGGCACTTTATATAAAAGTGCCTTCATGGTCGCGTGTTCCGCAATGCTTTTCCCAGACACAAACGAACAACAAACTTGCTTCGCTTTTTAACTGTGCATAACTTTCTTGCCCACACGTCTGCCGACTGTTATAACTGTGTGAATATGTTGTGAGATAGACGCATTGCAGCGTACAAGTGGAGTATACTATGCACTGAAACTCGTGACGACTATATTCATGGGTCACAGAATCACCTGCAGTACAGCAGCTCTCATATCCTTGTCTTTAGACATACTCTCTTGAAGACACTGTTGGCTTGGGGGGTGCAGTGTCGGCGACCATGGTCGGGACCCATTTGCCAAAGTGCAAGCAGACGTCGCACAGCCGGCGCTGCTCAATATGCTTATGTCCAGTGTAAGGGCGGGGGGGCGGGCAGTGTCCATTTTTGCAACCGAGGCGAACCGTCCAAAGAGCAGCAATTGCGTTTGTAGCCGCTGGGGCGTGGGATAGCTACTACACCGCACCAACGAATTCCGGATACACCACGTAGGCAACGGGTGGTTTTCTTTCCCTCACTGGCGCGCGTTTAGCAGCCGAATACTGGATTCCAATTCCTGATAACACCTCGGGGGGGGGACAATAGCACCTTCCCAACAATTGCATGTATACGGCCCCCTCGCGAGTGCCGCGTGATCACTAGTGTAAAGCGGCTAACCAAGAAACCCTACTCCGGGGGCGGCAGCTTGGGTATAAGCCGATCAATACGCCGCAGGTGTCGCGCCACTTCAGCCGCGAGCACATTTGGGCTATAGCGCTCTACCATGCGTCGTCGAGCAGCGGCACCTTTCTGTCGCGCCTCCTCACGGTGACTACACAACGGCACAGCGGGACAGGAAGCAGCGGGCAAGTCCAAGCTTTTTGGAAATCGCTATTAAAGGACCTAGAAAACGTCAGGCAAGATGGCAGCGATACTCACTATGCGGTCAGTCATAACACGCCGGCTTGCCGCTCCCCACACACCACAGGCGGTTGTACGGAACGCGCCCTACCAATGAAAGGGTGTAAACCCCCCCCTTCCCGCCCTTTCCCCCCGCCGCCTGCCCTACCTGTACACATGGCGCATCAGCTCCCTTGTGTGTTGGACGCTGGGTTGCGCCCACTTCAGACCCCGAAACCACCAGACGCTGTTGTCCGACACCTGGCATACGCAGCCGCACAGCAGGGTGCAGCTTAGCACATGGGTAGGGGTTGTTGGGTCAACACACGACCACATGGACGAAAGAGAGCGGCTGCCAAGGCACGACATCGTCCCGCCGCACCGTTGTGAGCTTCTCCACAGCGATGGGGTATCCCACGCTCTCATCCAGGTAGGCCGTGACGCCGCTCCAGTTGGTTGCGATGAGGGGCAGACCCATGGCCATGGCCTCCACGTGCGGCCGGCCCCAGCCCTCGCCGCGACTGGGCAGCACGAAGGCGTCAGCGGCCTGGGTTGGGGGGGGATGGCATGGGATGAGGACTGGGTTAAGGGGGGCTTGAGAGGGGTGCGTGAGGATGTGACATGTTTATGGGATGTGGGTATAACGATTAGGTTTCGGGGCCGGATCCGGTGGGCCACACACGCGTACACGACACGCGGATTCCACCAGTTGTTACACGGTTACATGCTGTTCACCGTCGTACACATAGATGTACCGAGAACAGCTACCTTGTAATAGCGAGGGAAGTCGGCATCCGAGATGTGGGAGGAGATGACGTACAGTCGGGGCAGCAGCTCGGGGGTGGACACCACGTCGGGCGGTAACCCCAGGCGCCGCTGAGCCCGCCGGAGCCAGCTGCGTGGCGGTGGGGGTGGCGGAGGAGAGGTTGGGAAGGTAAGGGCAGAGCGAGGGGCCGGGTAAGAAACCAGGAGGCGGGTAACGTTACAGTACGGTAGCGGCGACCCGTATCAATGAAAGCCGAGGGGAGGGCAGGACGGTACCCCTGGGTGGGGCAGGCGGTCCAGGAGGGGGGGCTCTCATACACTCCCGCCAGCCTCTCCCTCCCCCTTCCCCGCCCCTCCCTGCACCCTCCTCACTTGAACATGTGTTTCTTGAAGTCGCCTCCCCCCACGAAGGGCTTTGTGATGATGTGCAGCTCTATGTCGTCCCCGCCGCTGAACTCGCTTAGGTAGGCCTCCAGCAGCACGTCCCAGCCCTTGCGCGGCTCCCACTTGAAGGTGCTCAGCAGGCTGGGAGGGCGGGGGGACATGTATGAAAGGACGGAGGGAAGGGGAGAGGAGGGCGGGGAGCGTGTGGATGGAGTGGTAATGGATGGGGTGATAGTCTGTTCAGATGAAAGCCTCAAGGAGGAGCCACACAGGTGGGCGGCGTTGCGGCTTGCGAACCTTGCGGTGACTCATGTCGTCAGGGAGTCACCTCTCCCTTCCATGCGGACCATGCCTTCCATGCTGTGGAGACCCTGCCTCCCGCCAACCAGGCGCCACGTTCCTACCGAAAGGGCCGAGAGGTTGTGCCGTTGAAGGCCGTCGCGTTGTCCCCAAACACCAGCTCACCCTGGCGAGGCAGAAAGGAGGGTCGGGGAAGGGGTCTTCAAGCTAACAAAAGCCCCAGGATGGGCGGAAGGACTGACCCATGGGTCGCTGGGAGTCTCCAGTGTGGTCCCAGGGCTCAGGCTCTCCCCCCACAGCCCCCACAAGCCCCACCCAACCCACCTGAGGTAGGGGCATCGGCTCATACAGCTCGGGGTCGAACCTGTGTGGACACATGCGCGCATGTTGGGGCGGAAGGCGATAGTTGAGGTACATCCACCGGTACACCGGTACAAGGGTGAGGGTACGTGGAGTAAGGGAATGACACGTGGAATGACACGTAAAGAGAGGAGAGCAGCACATGCCCGCCTCAGGCACTGAACGGTACCGGCAACAACCCAAACCTGCACATAGACGCCCACCATTCTCCTCCAGCCTGCTGAAGTTTGTCACTGTTCCTCCTCCCTCGCCCCTCACCATGTTGCAGCAGCCCATGTCGCAGCCGTGTCACCTCCCCCGCCCCTCCCCCACCCCCGCCCCCCCTCACCAGGTGGTGTTGACCCCCTCCGGCACCACCACCAGCTTGCCCGGGTCCACCCCGCTGGCTGCGAACACCTCCACCGCCCACTGCGAGGGCACCCACACCTCGTTCATGGAGTTGACGCGCGACACGAACACGCCGGGGAGCCTGGGGAGGGTGGGGGCCGAAGATGAAGACCCAATGTGTGGGCGGGGGAAGGGGAGGTGAGGAAGGGGCGGCATAGGGCGCACTGCAGTGAGGAGGTGTGTAGCAGGACACACCCGCCCCAGCCCCAGAATACCCACGAATATACCGTATCCAGGACCTAGGGGGTTCCTGCCATCTCGAGTAAGCCTCTTCGCGCTGCTACACGGCGGGGGTAGCCGGGCAGCCCCCAGGGGGAGGACGAGGAGAAAGATAGGAGGCAGGAAGGCAGAGAGGGGACCCTCGGGGCATGACTGACACCGGGCGCTGAAGTAGCGGCAGCGACATCCAGGCTCGCGCTTGAAGCAACCCGCCGGCGCATGTCACCGCCTGCTTCCCTCTCATTTGTATCATTGTCACACCACACCTTGGAATTTCTCTTGCCCCCCGTTCTCTCCCATCCCGCCCCACCTATCCAAGTAATCTAACCCTCTCACCCACACCCCACCCTACCCCATGCATCCCACACTGTGTATTACCCCCGTACTCCCCCCCGCCCCCACCTGTCCGTCTCGAACATGGTGCGCCCCACCAGGTACACGTAGCCGTGCTTGGTGGCCTCGGGGGGGCACTGGTCCTCGGGCCCCTTCACGGGCTCCGGCAGCTGCCAGTTGGTGGGAAGCGAGTGGCACACCACCACCGCGGGACGGGGGCGGGGGCGGGTCAGCGCGGGCAGCAGAGAGGAGGAGGAGGTGGAGGATGCTGCTGCGGATGAGGAGGAGGAGGTGGGGGACTGCTCCAGGGAGCCCACATTGGCCTCCATGGCTCGGAGCTCCCTGTGCGGGGCGGGGGGGGGGAGAAATAAATGATAAGTGCAGCAACGAGTCCCAATCCTGTATCCCGACCCATGCAATGAGCGCATTCGGAGATTCTATCCTAGAGAACACGCATCTCAGAGGGGGATGGGGGCACACGGCGGCCGGTGGGCGCAGGGCAGCAGACACCTCAGCAGACGCCAGTGTGGGTGGGTTTTAAGTTTGGTGGAAGCAGGTGGTGGTGGTGGGGTGCGGATGCGCACACATCGCCGCACCACCGCACCTCTCCCCACCGCACTGGAGTCCAGGGCGCACCTCCCCCGTGGTAGGCCATCCGTTCCTGCAGCCCCCTAGCAACAAGCAAACCCGCCCACCTGCCCCTGCCCCTCCACCTTGGGGTTGTTTCCTCCCCCCAGCCCCACTCACTCCCTGTCCTCGGGTGCCATGGCCTCCACCACCTGCTCCCGGAACTGGTCCCCGTGGTGCCCTAGCCACAAGTCGGAGCGACGGATCTGTTGGGTGGGAGGGAGGGTGGGAGGAGGGAAGCGAGAGGGGTGCCGGTATGGATATTGCCTCGAGCTGCCTCGAATGAGTATATGCCCGCAACCCCACACATCAATAGCAAGGCGCAGCAGCAGAGGCCGCAGCAGCAGCGGAGGGACGCGGTTTCGACGCCAAGACTCGCATTCCTCTATGTGTACCTACCGGTAACCGTCCGGCCCTAGGCAGAGTCCTACACACCAATCAAGGCACACACGTCCTCCCACCTGGTTTGCTCGAGTGAGCGACAGCACGTAGTTGATTGCCTCGCTGCTGTAGCCGCTGCCGCTCCAGAAGGGCGCCATCCACCAGACGGGGAAGCTGCGGAGGAGGGGGGGAGGCGACAGACGAGGAAGGGGGGCGGGAGGCACACGGGCGACGGGGTGTGAAGGGTGTTTTCTTACCAAAGAGCAAGGGATGGAACAAGGACAACCAGGAAGCACGGGCAGGTGTAAGGCGCTGAAGGACGAGAGGAGTTGGCCAGGGCCCGTGGGAAGATGGGCACGTGGTGAAACAGATCGCCGGTTACGGTACAGTAACCCTCAGCCAATTGCGTGTGGTTCGTAAGGTTACGTAACCTGTTGTATAACCTCCGTCCCTCGCCCAAACCCAGCAGGGTCCAACGCGCATGCGCTCACTTCAGTGGCTCAGGCTCTAACGCCGCCACCGCCACCGCCTCTGCCGCTGTCGCCGCGTTAGTCGTGTTACTCGCACGAAGCGGGGACGGCGTCGCCACCGCATTGTTACCAGCGGCCACCGCAGCTGAGCCGGCGCTTGTCGTACTTGCATGTGGTTGCTGCTGTTGCTGCTGCCGTTGTGGGAGCGCAGGCCCCTTGGCCAGGCTGCTAGGTGGTGCCGCAGTGGTGGTGATGGTGGGAATAGGAGTTGGTGACGGAGAGGGAGGTGACAGCGACTGCCTGTGCTCAGGCTGGACAGGAGGAGCGGCGCTGCCCCCTGCTGGCGTGTCTCGTGGGGTGTCGCTCCTGGTGTGACCACCACCGCCCATCACGCCAATAATGGGATCGTTGCTGCTGCTGTGATCGCCGACGCTGCTGCTGCGACTGCTGCCGCTGGGGTCACCTCCTCTGCTCCCGCTACCTACCATGCCGCTAGCAGCTCGGACGGTGTCGGGTGGCGTCATGCCGCCCACAATTCCGCCATGTGACCCATGGGTCGCTCCTGATGAGGAGTCCGGTGCATCCCTTGGCCGCACTGCGTCCTGAATGGGTCATCGAACAAGGTTTGAGTTTGCATGACTGCTCGTGTGACGTGGACCAAAAGTAGAGCGAGGAGGAGAGCGTTGGTATACGAGTAATACAGTATGAGTGCAGTGAAGGTGTCACGCCGCTCTATTACCCTCGCCATTTCCCTTTTGAGTGCTTTCCCCCGCATCACAGCATCACAGTTGCTGTTGTACTCTCCGTTGTAACTCTCCGTTACAAGATAGCATAGCAATAACAATGTTGCTATCTTGTAACGGAGAGTTATGATACAGACGCCATTCACAGCCGTCATGTTACAACAGCAACATGATGCGGGGGAAAGCACTCAAAGGGAAATGGCCGTCATATTACAACAGTTCGCAATCACCGCCATCCACGCCCTACCTGAAGTAACCACACCTCCTCTTCGCCTTCAAGCCCTTCTTCCAGTCCGTTGCCACCGCCCTTCATGTCACCCACGCCACTGCTGCTGCTGCCGTCGTCGCCTCCCTCACCGCTGCCTCCCTCTGCCCCCGTTGCTGCTTCCTTCCCTCCTGCCTGCGTTGCTGCAGCTGCCTCTGTGCCAGCAGCTCCCTGCCCTGCTACCCGCACGCCTGCGCTAGTTGACGCGCTGGGGCCATCTGTCCCGACGTCACCTCCAGGCTGCTGCTGTTGCTGCTCCTTGCCGCCTGTACTGTGTCTTGCGGTTGCATCGGCGCTGGGAGTAACCAGCCTCCATGCCTTGTCCAAAGCACCGCCGGCACTGCCGCCGCCGTTGTGCCAAAGAGGAGCGGCTTCACCCTTTGCTGCGGATGATGCTTCAGGAGAGGCAGGGAGCTGGTTAGGCGGGGCAGCAGAGAAGGCGGTCGCAGCTCCCGGGCCCCGCGGTTGAACCCATGACTGCTGAAGAAGTAGCTGTTGCAGCTGCTGTTGTTGCTGCGGCGGCGGCGGTTGCAGTGAGTGGGAACCACTGACAAGTGGCTGCTGTGGATCCGTTACAGTTGCTGCTGCTGTCTGACGATGACAGAGGAGCGCTAACAGGAGAAGCAATGGTGGAAGTAAGCGGCGTCGCGCTTGCAGTAAATCGGTAGCAGAGAGAAGCCGCATCGTCCAGCGCTTGCAATGTTTTCCCGAGGCAAATAACTTGCCTAACAAGCTCGTGTGCTTTCTAGCAAGATCGTAGTCGCAGGGAAAGCAGGAGCTGCAATTAGCTGCTGCGTTTGACAGGAATTTGCGTTACGCGTTGCTGACCCGCGGGCGACTTACGAGCAATTCAGATGTGTTAAGCAACCAAGGGCGAGGCTAATAATGCTTACAACTAAATAACTGTGAAGTGGAGAAACAGAAAAGCGCGTTTACATGAGTGCTTGGCTTGCGCTGCGCTGGACCATTTACAAACGACTTTGCGATGTAAGCGGCTGCACAACAGACAGCCTCTTGCCTGCGCAATTGCAACCCCACTATTTTAGCAATAGCCGCCCCAAGTGAAGTAACACCTGCCTGCCACCAGCAGCTAATATAACGGCAGTTGCTAGGGCACTGCACTCTGCCGCCGCCCTGTCATTCCTCGTTGACACTCGCTGTCCTACATAGGACGGTGTCAGTTACAGGTTCCATAGCGCACAGAGCCTCCCCAATAGCGCCTTTTCTCTGCAATAAGCTGCTGGTTACTTGGTCCCGTGCTTGGCCTTCAGGGAAGCCACGAACCTGGCAGGACAAAGGAGGGAAGGACACCAAAGGGGAAAACCAAGTCAGCGCGATCAAGCCAGCAACCACACACACACTCGAGCGCCTCCGCCAACCCTTCCCGCTTCCCGCGCACACTTCCTCGCACAGGCGCAACACGACGACCCAGGCGAGCAGTGCACCACCGAGCTTGACGCTCTGAGAAGTGTAACGCGACGTTCCGACTCGCAGCCAGGCTTCTGGACACACAAGGCCAGTTTTCTACGTCCCGCCTGCATCCTAAGGGCAACACCCCGCCCCTCCTGTCGGACACTTACTCGACGTATTTCTGCATGGCCTCCTCCTTTGACATGCCTGTGGGGTTGGGTGGTCGACAAAAGGGCGGGGAGGGAGTGTTGATTGGGTTTGATTGATCCGAGGTGTTTGAGCACTTGGGGAGTATGGCTGGGAGGTGGCAAGGGCACAGGGTATCCCAAGGGGATTCACGCCCCTCCCAGCAAACATCATTATAAGCGGCATGACGTCAGAATGGAGGCGTAACCCTGGTGCAGCTGGTGGCAACTGGCGCAACAGCTGCAGCTAAACACCACGGCTGCAGCGGTCCTCTTGGCGAGGGCAACGGTGCGGCGGGGGAACCAGTGGGGGGTGCAATTGTGTCCCTTCCACGTTCCCCTTGAGAGCCTATCCCAACTGCTTGCTCTTGTTTCTGCTCAACTATACACACGTCCCCCCCCCCCATACACGCACCCTTCTTCTTGTTCCATGCGTTCCACTTGGCCCGCCCCTTGGGGTCAAAGATGCCCGGTTGGGAGGTGCTGCAGTCACCCTGCACGGGTGGGGGGCGGGAGGGCGGGAGGGTGGAGGAGGTGTGTGCGGGCGAGGGAAGCCACGAAGGCCCATGAACCCCGAAGGACGGGGTAATGCAAGGAGCCATACCCATGGCAAGTTGGGATGCTGATCTATAAGGGGACAAGGAGTACGGGGGAAAAGGGGATAGCGTACATGGCAATACATAGGGCAGCAGCAAGGTGGGGTTACAATGGGAAGGAAGCTCTTGGGAGTGCCCAACTGCCCGTGCAGGCTTGCGGTAGCTGAATGTCTTCCTCACAGCAATAGGGCATCGGGGAATTCACTCAGGCGCCTTTCCCGGTGTTGCGTTTGTTTATTGAGGACAAGGATGTCTCACGAGGGAGCAGCAAGGCACAGCGGGAGCAGCCCTCCGGGCGTTGTATTGCAGGAGCAGCGTATCTGTCCCGTCCCATAGGAGGAAACCGCCCACCTGACGCCGGCGCTTACTGCGATTTTACAACATGCTATCAAAGGGCAACCGTTTCGTCGAAACCCTGCCCTTTTCGCGAGCATAGATGCTGCAAGCCGACTCGGCAACTCCGGCATCACCCTACCTCGTTAGCCTGCTTGAAGAGCGCATACAGCTCTAGCTTCTCATCATTGGTAACGCTGTCAGGAAGCTTCTCAGTAGCCTCTTTAGCAGCAGCGTCGAAGTCCTCCTGTGGACGATGGTAAGGGAGTGCATGTCAGATCCACGCCTCAAAGCTTGGCCGCCTCAGTGATAAAACTTGGCCTGATTATGCCAAGTGCAAAAGCTGTATGCTACCAAAATGTTGAACTGCTGCAAATGGCAAATGAATATAACGCTCGCACGTCACACACTCGACGAGAAAATGTACTCGCCTGGAGACCCATATTGTTTCGTGCTAACGTCCGCTTATCACGAGTAGTAACAAGAGATAGTGACCGAGAACCATGTAAAGAAAGCTTTTGCCGCGTACGCGGTACGGCACACGGGTTGCCGCTGATCCAGGGCGAGCGACTTACTGTAGGAAATTCCGAATTGTGTTGCGGTATGTTGGCTTCTTTGCATCTGGCCCATAGACCGGACGTTATCGCCCAGATTTCCAGGTCGTCGTTTTCCCTCCTTACACATACGAGGAGGACGTGTAGGCGACACCCTGCCGTCCCTATCCACGCAGAGCCCGTTTTAAACCTTGGACGGTTTCGTCCGCTTATGGCCTCAGCTGCTTTGGCCGCCTCAGCTGCTATCGGAGCGGTTGCAAGTCAGGTTATCGGCAACAAGCGAGCCATGGCGCCTAAGATTGGTACCCACAGCGGCACCTTCCATTGCGATGAGGCCCTCGGGTGTTGGATGTTGAAGCAGACGGCTCGCTTTCAAGACGCGGAAATCGTACGGACGCGCGATGCTGAGGTGCTCAAGGACTGCGACGTCGTGATCGATGTTGGCGGTGGGTCCAAGCACCCTTGTATAGTCCTCTTGGCTTACATTGGGCTAACGTGCTCAAGGTTTTCGTCGTTGTGCCCCTCACTCCTCATGGGCATCTTTGCCATTCCGCTTCTCAGGTGAGTATGACCCGGAGCGGCTGCGGTTCGACCACCACCAGCGCAGCTTCGAGACCAAATTCGAGAATGGCTTCGAGGTGTCGCGCCTGAGCTCCGCCGGCCTGGTCTACAAGCACTTTGGACGGGAGGTCCTGGCGGTGAGGCGGCCTTGTGGGGCAGCTGAGGGCCCGCCTAGCGGGTGCATGCGGCTAGGCGTGCATTCTCTTTACCCTTTCAGCTCATGTCTATTCGATGGGCGGGGCAATTACTACGCGTGACCATGTGTACCCACCTAACCTGCGGGCATTGCCTTGCCTGGTCTTGCCTTGTGACCCACTTGAGTTTATATGTCCCGACCCGCATGTGTTGTATCCTGGCAGCGGGTGCTGGGCTGGCCGCAGGACCACCCGGACATGGAGACGGTGTACCTGCAGGTGGGGCGGCGGGGCGGGGCTCGTGACATGCAATGGGAATTCGGACGGAGGTTTTGGGTTACAGGGGGGTGATGGGTTGTGGATTAGAGGGTGCCTTTTGTGGGGAGGGATACGGAAAGACGGGGGGAAGAGGCGTTGGATTAAGGCGACAGTCAGGTAGCTGGGGGCCCCTAGAGGCTTCTGGAATGACGAGGGAAGGGGGGGCTAAACTTTACGGCAAGTCCGTGACTGGGCGTCCAGGCGACAGCTGGCAGGTTGGCTTGTCATTTTCATGGTACCCTGCTTTTCGTAGCTGCGTAACTTTGCCTGCTGATTGCTCATGTGCCGGCGACGTACGTCTCCTTCCTGTTGTTGCCCCTTATGCCCCCTCTTACTCAGGTGTACCGGAACTTCGTGGAGGCGGTGGACGCCATCGATAACGGTGTGGGCCAGTACGACGTGCCACCGGGTACGTGTACGACATACCGATGGCTTGATTGCCGGGCTCGTCTGGGCCTTACGAGCCGTAGAGCTTGTAACAACTCACTCACTGATTGCCGGGGCACGACAAAGCTACTGCCGTTATTGTTCCCTGCTGCAGCGACAGCGCCATCCCAGGACTGAAATCAGGACTGAAAGAGCTTAACACTAAGCTGCTGATAGCACCTTTGCGCAGCTACAGTACCTGTAATTATGGTTGTTGAAACACCCTCCCCCGCCCCGCTGCCGCCCCTGCATGCCGCGCGCATGTGCACAGGCACGGCGCCCCGCTACGTCAACAACACCCATCTGGGCTCCCGCGTGGGCGCACTCAACCCCCGCTGGAACCAGCCGAGCGACGATGCAACGCTGTTCAACCAAGTGGGTTCGGGCTGTGCATGGGGCTGGGGGCTATGCATGCGGCTAGGGGCAGACCCTCGCCTTCCTTGCCGCCTTCCCTCGCTTTTCTTCTTCTCCTTTACCCCTCTCCACTAGCCCACTGCCGCGGTTTATCTCCACCTGCCCCACTGCCCCGGTTTATCTCCTCCCTCCCCGCCGCCAGTTCCTGAAGGCCGTTGAGCTGACGGGCTCGGAGTTCACCGCGGCGGTGGACTGGGTGGCTCGGGGCTGGCTGCCGGGGCGGCGGCCGGTGGTGGAGGCGCTGTCGCAGCGGCACCTGGTGGACTCGAGCGGCAAGATCATGCTGCTGCTGGAGGTGAGGGGGTCAAAAATGACCAACCATAGGAAACCACGAATTAGGGTAAAACAATGGGAGAATGTAGCGAGGGGTGGGCCGTGGGGGTGGGCAACAGGGGTCACCCCTGCCGCTAGTTTCCAGCTAACCCTAATTATCATTCGCCTGTTGGATGCCCCGAGTGTGTTTTGCCACAGCCGCTGTAGCCGCCAACATGCTGCTGCTGCCACAGCCGCCAATCCCCCTGCTTCGTCACCTGCCCCCCTGCCTGCCTGTGCAGTACTGTCCCTGGAAGGAGCACCTGTACGAGCTAGAGAAGGAGGTGGGCTGCGTGGGGGAGCTGCTGTTCTGCGTCTACCAGGACGACCGGGACAAGTCCTACCGGGTGCAGGTGCGGGCGTGTGCGTGTGGGGAAGAGGCTAAAGGGTACGACACGACAAGGGCTACTATAGGCTAACAAATATGGCAACGGGGGGCCGAAGGAGACAAGGAATGAGGCTTGAAAAGCGAATGCGAAAGGGGCGGGGAGGAAGAGGCCTTGGGGCCTAACGAAGCTTCCAGCGGCTTGGTGGGCTACCTGAAGCGTCTTCCAATGTTCTATCCACGCATTTAAGCCGTGCAACAACATCGACCCTGACTGCCGTACCGTACTACCCCTCTGCCACACTCCCCCCAGGCTGTGAGTGTTGGCCCGGGCAGCTTTGAGAACCGCCGCTCGCTGCCGGCCGCGTGGCGCGGTGTGCGTGACGACGCGCTGAGCGAGCTGTCGGGCATCCCCGGCTGCGTGTTCGTACACGCTTCGGGGTTCATCGGGGGCAACAAGACGCAGGAGGGGGCGCTGGAGATGGCTCGGAAGGCACTGGTGATGGACTGAGGGGGCTCGACTGGGGTGCTACCGGAGTGGTGGGGACGTGCGCTTGGATAGGAAGGGTGAGCAAGGGTATGCGGGCGACTCGTGTTGGAATCCGCTTACCCTCGGAGAGAGCGGCTTATACCCTTGTAAGGTGGCCTCACCCTTTCTACCGGGTCAGGGCATGGAGCATTCCACGAGGGCACCCTCACCACACACCGCTGGTCTCGCGGTTCACATGCGAACCTATCCCAACTGCTTGCTCTTGTTTCTACTCAACTACACACCGCTGGTCTCTCTGTGTTCAGTCAGTTACATCTTACATGCCTGCCACTGCGCTGGGAGCATTGCACGAACGAAGAATGAGCTTAGATCCATTAGCGGCAGCAATGGCTGCTTCATGTGCTGAAAAACCAAGGCGCCGGCTGTCCTTGCCTTCAGCCAAGTCTTCAGCAAGCAGATTGCACTACCTAATCCAATAAACGCGCGACATGACTGCCCCTGCCACACACCCTAACTCTCCTCCTGTCAAACCCTGCACTCAAACCCACGAGATGCGTGTGCCAGTAGCATAGTAAGGTCAAGGTGTTCCTGCGCAAGCATACCCTCACAGAACGCCCCACCCAGGCCGCTTGTCCTACTATGCCTGCAAAGCCATGCACGGAACGCCGACCTTCCATGATCCACGCCACAGCAGTCTGGCGACCATTTTCACCGGTATCTAAAGCGCACTGTCACACGCGTCTAGCCCTCGTCAATCTGCCACATACCGACCTGCCTAGACCTTCCGCGCCCATCCTGCCGCCGCTATTGCTGCCATGTTGTTGTTTAGTTCCACTTCGCTCCCTCTCCCGAGTCCTGCCACCCAGACCAGGCACCGCCCTCCTGACCCGAGGCGTCTTGCACCTGGCCGCCCTCCCCCAGCAGCCGCCCCAGCATGGCGCCTCCGCCGGCACCGCCATCACTCGACCGCATCTCTTCCTCGTGCTCCAATCCGCCCACATCGGAACCCTGAAGAGGCAAAACACATGTGACACGGGTACTCGGTTGTTGGCCTTTACCCGGGAATGAACGCAGTACGATGACTGTAAGCACCACGCCCATGACAAGGGCATGCGCCATGATGTATTGCTTTACTGACGCAATCAATCTAACCTAACCCTACCCAAGCCCTCAAACCGCATCCCGCCCAGACCTCTTTCTCACCGAGTCACGCGCCCGGACCACCTCCATCGCCTCAACATCGCCGTACAAGTCGCTCAGGTGGCGGCTGTTCATGTCGGGACTGCCGGGCTGCGGGGACCCAGGCGGCTGAGGAGCGCCGTCACCACTGGGGCTGACACCTGCGGCAACGACAAACGCGTCGTAGTCCTCCATGTCGTACCTCCCAGTTCCGTCGGCACCGCCGGCGCCGGCGCCGGCGCTGCCCACCGGGGAAGCCGCGGCGTAAGGCAACAAGCTCTCGTACAGCCCGGTCGCTGCCCCGGCGTTGGTTGGGCTCTCACCGGCTCCAGCAATGTTCGCATCGTCTAAAGCGGCGGCGCCAGCAGCGTTGACCCCGGCAGACACAGGCATCGGACTTGACGGCGCCGCTATCGGCAGGTTGCTGCTGCCGTACAAGTCATCATCGGCAGTGCCGGCGCCGGCGCCGCTGCCGCTGCGGCGGTTGAATCCGCCCAGGCTGCTGCCTCCGGCCGTGAACCCTGCACTGCGTTCTTGCACTTGCAACAGCTCCTCCGCCGCCTCCCCGTCTTCGTTTCCACCGCCCTTCTTGGCGTCCTTCCGCCGCGAGGCCTTAGCGGCGGCTGCAGCGGCTGCCAGCGATACCATCCCCCCTCCCCGCGCCTTGCCGGTGTCCCGGTCTTGATCTTGGTCCTGGTCCTGATCTTGAATCTGGCGGTCGCTGCCGTACCCGGGGCTGCCGCTGCCGTGCCGTACAACCGGCCCGTCAGCCTGGAGGTGGCAGGCAAGGGGTGCACGACGGATGGGATTGCCAGTCATCGTCACCATCAGCCGCTGCGTGCGTGAGCCCGACTACCAACGTAAGCTTTATGGGCGACTTTGCATACGGTAGTTACCTTACCTTAGGGAAACATGCGCCACCCACCGCATATTCCCCTACGACCCGAACCCAAACCCACCATGACCCCAGCCGCTGCCGCCCCTTGCGCCTGCTCCGCCGCCTGCTCCTCCTCCCGCGCCGCCGCCTCCCGCTGCTGCCTCAGCCGCTCCAGCAGCCCCTCCAGCTGCGGCGGGTCGGCGGCTGCCTGCGCGCGGCGGCGGTAGAAGAGCACGTAGGCGGCGGAGGAGCGCACCGCCTGCGGGTCGACCTGGGAGACGTGGCTGTCGTCGAAGCAGTACCACCTGGGAGCCAAGGAGGCAGAGGATGTGGGGAGGGCGGGGGATTAGATAAACTGAGCCGCGGTAAGGCTGACCCGGGGCGGGGGAGAAGGGGCGGGGGAGAAAGGTGAAGAGGCGTCGCACGTGAAGTTGTCTCATGCATCTTGCCGGAGATTCCTACACAGTAGGATATGAGATGCGCCAAGACTCACGCACCAAGACTCACCTATCCATTGGTACGCCGTGCTGCTGCTGCTCCTCCTCCGCTGTCTCCGCCGTCCCATTGACGCCGCGCTCCTCGACCTCCGCTGTCGCAGCCACCCCATCAGCAATCGGCACATCCCCCGCCTCCAACGGCTGCTGCTGCTGCTGCTCGCCTCGCACACCCGCCCCTTCAGCTTGCCGCCCGGCTCCTACCGCCGCCGCCGGCGCCTGGTAGGATCGCGGCATGGGCGGCGGTGGCGACGGCAGCTTCGCGTACGCGGTGTAGTGGCCGCCCCCCATGGATCCGTAGTGGTTGGACACGGCAAAGAGGTCGTAGAGGGGCGGTGCGTCCTGGGGTTGCGGCCGCATGAGGTAGGGCCCCAGGTCTAGTCCGTGCAGCGGGAAGTCCACTCTGGTGTCCAGCTTGTTGCGGGAGTAGCTGCCGGGGGGGGCGGGCAGGTGGTCAGGCGGGCGGGAGTGAGGGCAGGCAGGAAAGGCAGGCGGGCAGGCAGGCATGAGAGCAGGCAGGAAGGCATGCAGGTTTTGGCATTCGCTATGCGGGGAGAGCAGATACCAGGAACAATGGAAGACGTCAGCGACTCCGCCCACCCGCCCACACGCGCCCCCTGCCCTCCCGCTACAGTTTCCTACAGTTTCCGTACCACCACCACCCCCTGCCTCACCGCGTGTAGCAGAAGCGCTTCAGGTGCACCACCAGCACCTCGGGCAGGCTCCACAGGTCCAGCTTCTTGTCGGCACACACGTGGGACTTGCAGCGGGGACAGTACCTGCCAGGAGGGGGGGCGGGGGAAGACAGGAAGCACGTGAGAGACAGGCCGGCAGGCAGGCGGGCAGACAGGCCGGCAGGATGGGAGGATCCATGATGTCATGCTGCCGTATACGGTGCTGATGGAGATACCAAACCGCTAGAGCCAAACGCATGCGGCATGCTGCCGCCCGCTCTCCCCACTCCCGCCCCCCCCCAGCACCCACAATCAGTCCCCGTCATACAGCTCGTCAGTTACCTATCTTTCCCCCCAGCACCCACCACGCATCGCTCTCCGCCAGCCGCTCCGGGTGCAGGAAGGTGGTCATGCAGTCGTGCAGGCTGACCGGCTGCGGCCCCGCGGCGGCCCGCTGGCGGTGCTGCCGCAGCGTGGGGTGCTCCGCGGGCTGGTCCAGCAGCGCGGGGGAGTAGGTGGGGATGGGGGCGGGGGAGGTGGGGGTGGCAGCGGAGGCGGTGGAGGTGGCGGGAGGAGGGGCAGTGGAAGAGGCGCTGGTGAAGAGGAGCAGGAACTCCCTGCGGTGTTTGAGGGGTAGGGAGGAGGCATGAGAGCAACGGGAGTGGGGTGAAAAAGAGGTAGGGCCCGAGTAGGGGGGCTGCTCCCGTACAGCAGCAGCAGTAGGAACAGCAGCGGCGGAGGCGGCAGCAGCAGCGGATGCGGATGCGCAGGCAGCAGCAGAGGCAGGAGCAGCAGCGGAGGTTCAGGCAGCAGCAGCAGCAGCAGCAGCAGCAGCAGCAGCGGCGGCGCACCTGTGGTGTTCCTTCTCAATGTCCTTTTCGTACACCCCGCCCCACAGCGCCGAGTCGCCCTTGTTGCAGAGCTTGAGCACAAAGGTGCAGCCCGGGTCGGGGGAGGCGGTGGGGGAGGAGGTGGAGGGCGCGGCAGCCGCAGCGGCAGCTGTACTGGTTGCAGCTGTTACCGTGGCATCCTGGGGACGTTAGGCAGGAAGCCAGGTTGCAGGAGTACATTGGAGTATTTTCAATTACATTTGACTACTTATTGGGTTGTTGCCGGAGCGTGGGCTCACCACTTGAAACAGCAGCGACTGAAAGCATGTGATATTGTGATTGCTGGCACGATGTACGGTAACGAGGTCAAAGGGCAGCAATGCAGCAACCCACCTGCGCGGCCCACATGTCAAAGGGCTGAGCCGCCGGCGGGCCCAACAAGCCGCCTCCCGCCGCCGCCGCGTCTGCCTCCGGCGGCGCGCCAGCGTACATCACCGCCGGAAGCGTCGACGGCGCCGCCGCCGCATCCTCTTCCTCCATTGCCGCCGGCGCCGTTGAACGATGGGGCGTACCGGGCATGGACGCATCGCCGCCACCGCCGCCTCCCGCCGCCGCCACCGCCGCCAAGGCCACAAGCGGCTCTAATCCCTCCATCAACTCACCGCCGTTGCTGTCGCCGCTGCCGCCGCCGGCAGCCCCCACCCCGCAGCTGCTCGTCCTGCTGGGCCGCCCTGACGGCGCAGCGCTGGCGGTGATTTCCGGATCCAGGTCGTGTACGGGAGTATGAGGCCGGATGTCGTCGCCCTCTCCTTGGGCAGCAGCAGCCGCAGCAGCACCGACAACAGCAGCAGCCACAGCAGCCAAAACGTCTGCGGCAGCATCAGCAGCAGGCGCTGCTGAGGCTTCAGCGGCCACGGCAGCAGCATCGACGATTTCGGTGTCTCCTGGCGCAGCCCCGGGAGCGCCGGTGGCAGGAGCGTCTTCCTCCATCGGTCCTGCTGCATCCGCAGGCGGGTCGACAACCCCGTCGGCCCCCGCGCCTGCAGCCGCCGATGCTCCTGCGTCCTGCGTCTGAAGCTGTGTTGCCGCAGCCGACGGCTCCTCTCCCGGCATCACCTGTTGTGCCTTCTGGATGGGTCGCAGCGCCGTACGTACTGCCGCCGCCAGCGGACACTCCCCCGTAATGATGTACTCTGCCCGGGTGCTGCTGCCGTAGCTGCTGCTGCCACCGCCGCCTGTGCTGTTGTTGTTGCTGGTGCTGCTGGGATCGGTCCTAACCACCTGATCTGGGTCGTACGGCGGCCTGTCCGCTTCCATGTACAGCACCTGCATGTGCAACATGAGGACATGGGTGTAACATACATCCATGCAAGTGTAACACATGAGGCGTATGCGCGCGCTGCTGGACCAACGGCTCCACGCTCCACGCTCCTTTAGCAACCTTAGCAAACAACCACATCATCCACAACCACCGCAACCCCGCGCCAAAACCGGTCAGGCCTCCCTTCCCCTCATTAATTTCTCGCGGCTCCGTTTTTCTTATCCCCTGCCCCACCCCTACCAGTGGTGCGCCGCACCACACGCTGCTGTCTCGCGACCAGGAGAACCGCTTGGCGGTGTCTGGGCGCTTGAAGTGCAGGATGACGGGCGCCAGGCCCTCCGCACGCGGCCCGCGGGAGGCGTCCGGGTAGTAGTACAGCACCAGGCCGGGGTCTGGGGGGAACGTGGGGGGAGGAGAGGGGAGGGGGCAGCAGCAGGGAAGGGGAGGACCAGGGGGAGGAGGAGGAGGATGCAGGTAGGTTACATGAGATACCCGTACATGGCCCAAGGGTGTTCTTTGTCCAGGCAGAGGCTATGGCAACGCCAGCTGGTTAGGTTAGAGACTGTGTTTCAGGAAATGGCAACACAGCTAATACCCAAGCCATTGGGGCGCCTTCGCGCCCCTTGCCCTTCTCCCTAGACGGTGCTTAACCTGCTTATCCTCCCCGCACACCCGCCCACCTGCGTTGTGTGCCGCCGAGCTCCTCAGGTTGTACCCCCCGCCCCCGCCGCCTCCGCCACCTCCCCCCGCGTCCAGCGCATCCGCCACCCGCATGCGGCAGTCGGGCAGCAGCACCACCTCGTCGTACGCGGCGGAGGGCGAGGGGCGCAGCGGCCGGGCGGGCAGCAGGTGGGACTCGGGCGCCGCCTGCACCTCGGCTGGGGGGCGGGAGCAGGAGTGGAGGAGGTGAAGGAGCAGGTAAGGGAAGCGAAGTAGGAGGAAGGCAAAGAGGATGTGTAAAAGGGTTAAACAACAGGCAAATGGGGTGGTTAACAAGCGTCTCTGGCGCCTCTCTCTCCTCACCAACTCCAGCCCCCCAACCCAACCCAACCCAACCCAACCCAAACCCCCCTCCCTCCTCCACTTCCCGCCCCCCTCCCCAACCTGCCTCCCCCCCTCACCGGGTAGCTCCGCCAGCCGTGCCGCCGCGCGCACCAGGTCCCCCAGAGTGGCCCCCGCCGCCAGCTCCAGCGCCATGCGGGCGGGCGGCAGGCTGCCGTCAGCAGCCACCAGCACCGCCTCTACCACCCGCCGCCGGCTCTCGGGGAGCGGCAGGGAGAGGTACATGCTGGGGGAGGAGGGGGTGTTAAGAGGGGGTTGGAGGGAGGGTGCAAAGTGCAGGACTGAGGATTGTGTGGGTGGTGGGATGGGGTAAGGAGTTGGAGAGGTGGTGGCGCTTGTTGACTGCTCCCACCAATGCCAGGTTGTGACTGCAGGGTCCGGCTGCAAACGTGTCTCTGTTCCAAACTGGCTACCCCTTTAGCAACCCCCCCCGCGCTTCTCTCCGGCACTCACAAGGGGTCGAACTTGACGGAATTGAAGCCGCACTGCGGGCAGTCCACCGTGCTCTTGAACAGGCCCTGGGGTGTGGTGTGGTGTGGTATGACATAAGATGAACCAAGTGAGGATATGTGTAGTTGAGTAGACCAGGCAAGCGATTGAGAGAGGTTCGCATGTGAACCGCGCCCGCTGACCGGACGCAGTAGGCTCATCCAGGAAACGTGGTGCTAGCTCCGGCACCCCATGAGCCATGACTCTTTTGGGTCGCACACATAAGGGACAGCGACAGCTACAGCTTCTCTACATCCAGTTTACACACGACAGTGACGGTTACTTATACCTACCTACTTACTACTCCGGTCCTTAGGTCCGGTCGCGTTACGACATTGCTATTACTGCTTTACACTGATTCCGATACTACTCGATAGCTCTCTTACAACATAGCCAACGGACTTCACTTCACCTGTGGCGTTTTCGGTGGGAGGACTCCATCTTTCGGCAATCACAGTACGTTTCGCCTCGCGGCCAGTTATTTTAACACATAAGGGATTGATAAGGTCATAGCAGCAGACAACTGCGCGTCATGCCACCGTGCTTGCTTTTTCTCCTCCGCCCCCAGCCTGCTCCGCCCTGCACCTATCCTTCCTCCACCTGGAAGTGGTCCACCACGAGGGAGTTGTTGCGAGCCCGGTAGTTGGCCCACGCCTCCGCCGCCACCTCCTCGTCGGGCCGACCCGGCTGGTCCTTCTCCTGCGGGGGGCGGGCCACCCAACATGCAAACTGCCACATTAGCATTTACCGGTACCTACCAAAGCGCAGCAGCAGCAACCCGTCGACGTAAAAATGCAGGTGCGTTGGGTAGCTTCTGCGCAGCACAACGCATATTCAGCCTGCAAGCAACCCCCATCCTCCTCATCCGCCCCTCCTTCCTAGCCCTCCTAGCCCTCCTAGCTTGCTCCCAAGGTACGGCACCTCGATGTACGGCTTGTTCTTGATGCGGTTGGTGTCCTCGTGCAGCCCATCCAGCAGGAACGCCAGGAACTCCTGGCTGTCGTGCTGCGCGTAGCCGCTGAACTGCGGCGCGAAGCGGCCGATCTTGGCTTTGAAGGCGCGCGGGGTGACGGAGGACACGCCGCCCTGCGGGGTGAGGGGGGGGACGCGGGAAGCGTAGGAAGGAGCAGCAGCAGCAGCAGCAGTAACAGCAACAACAGCAGCGTTAGGGCAGCACCGTCATAGGTAAGGGTGGCGCCAGGATAACGCCGTTGCGTCGGCAACGCAAAGCAAGGGCAGTGAAGAGCGGAAAAAGCACCAAACCGTCCTGGTGTGATTAACCGCAGCTGCTCATCCCGCGCAACCACCCGCACCTCTCACGCCAGCCCGCCCACCCAGCCCCCCAGCCCACCCACCCTCCACAGCTGCCCCATGAGCGCCCCGAACGCCTCCGCCAGCTCGCCCTTCATGCCCAGCGGGTTGGTGCGGTTCAGGTCCTGCAAGGGGTGGTGGTGGACATGGGGCATGCGGGGGCATGGGGGGTAAAGACCATACACCGAACCACAGGAAACCACAGGTTGGGGCAAAGCAATGGGGATAGGAGAGATCGGATCAATGGGGATTGGGGGTAGGGCGCATGTGGGTGTCAGACCAGCGGCGTCAGGTCCATCAATCCTGTTGGGCCTTCAACCTTCATGTGCTGTGGGCGTGAAGCGCACCCAGCACCCAGCTTACACGAACCCAGCTCACAAGAACCCCCTTTCCTACGCTAATGAACCCTTCGCCGCGGACCTACGCATGTGTTTCCCGCATTGGGCCGGCGCTATCCCTGTAGCGGCCCCCCCCCGCCCCCCCCGCGCTCGTGCCTGCCTGCCCACCTGCAGGTAGGCTCCCCCCAGGAATGCCGACATGAGCGGCACCGCATGCGCCAGGCACTGCAGGCTGGAGTTCATGAAGCAGGTGTTGCCCAGGTTGGAGAGGCCGGCCAGGCCGGGCAGCTGGCCCTCGCGCTGGGGGGGGAGGCAGGAGGGGAAGGGAGGGTATTGGGTGTGAGGCAGGAAGGGATGGGTGGCAGGAGTGTGAGTAGGCAGGGGAGCTAGGTAGGAGAAGGGTGATGTGACAGGGAGAGAGAGCGAGATGGGGTGGGGCAGAGGAGAGTCTGCGACCCCTGCCAAGCGGGTAGTGAGATTGGGAGCCCAGGAAAGACAGGGACGACGCGTGCAAAGCTAAACCCGAAAACCCAGCCACCCACCGGCACCACGTTGTCATCCCAGGTGCTCGCACGCTTAACCAAGCCGGTGTTATTAGAGCCGAACGTGGCGCCCCCGCCGCCGCCGCCGCTGCTTGCCCTTCCTAATGCTGCCTTAATGCCGGTATCTTTGCGGCTGGCGGGCGTAGTAGCAGCAGAGGCCGCCGCTCGCTTCAACGCAGCAGCAGCGGCGGCTTGTGCTGCGGACATGGGCGGTGTGTCCGTGCCTGTTGCTGCTGCCTGCTTGGCTGCCTTGGCCTTCCTGCCGGTGACTGGGGCCCCCGTGTCGTTGTCGCTGCCACAGGCGTCGTCGTCGTCACTGTCGCTGTTCGGGGCATCCTGCAGGAGAGCAAGAAGAGCTTATGAAACTCCCTTTGGTTGTGGTGTACGGTACGGCAGTTGGTTGTAAGGTGGGTTGGATCCAGCGTTGGTATGGTGTCTTGGTGCGCAAAAGCAACAGTGACCCAAATCACTATCGTATCAACAGTTGACCTGCTGCCACGTGCTTCGCGCACGGCTGGTCTGGGTCTGCTTGGGCGGGCGCGCAAAGGTGAGAGTCTAAGGCCCTCCTGGCCCTGCAAGACAAACCAGCCATGTCAGGACAGTAACCAACCTTTCTCCGCAGCCGCAACAGCTGTCCGTCCAGTAGCGCCACATCACGCAGGCTGCGCCCCATGTAACCCACGGCCTTGCCAGCTGCTGCTGCTGCTGCCTCGGAGCCTGCCGTGCCCGCCCCTGCCGCCAGCTTCGTTGCTGCCGCTGCTGGCGCAATGCCATCCACCTCCATCAGGCTGCTGCCGCCGCCGTTGCAGACACCATCCGGCACCGCAACTCCTGCACCTGCCGCGGACGACGACGGTCCTGGGGGTGGCTCAACCGCCATGGGTACATCAGAACCAGCAGCAGCAGCAGCAGCTGAGATGGAGTCAGGACCATCCGCCGCAGGCTCGCCTGCTTCCAAAGCCTTCGGACCCGCTGCCGTGCCTGCTGCTGTTCCTGTGGCGTTAGCCGCGGCGGTGCCTGCGCTCGAGGTGGCTCGAGGCTCGTCCTGCGCCTCCTCTCCGGGTTGTGCCGTCTCCAGCGATCGCACCGCAGCACCGCCGGAGTAGTCCCAGAGCACTACTTCCTCCTCCGGCACACCCAGGGCGGCGCAGGAGCGTGTCTTGAGCGCGGACAGACTGGCCTGCGCATAGGCGCGAGAGAGGAACCTGGGTGATTCGAGCTGAGTGGTCAAGGCAGAAGTGGCTGGTGGGGAGGTTTGCCTTTTCCACGAAATTACACGAATTACAGACGAATAGTGAAAGCGGCCACGGCAGGTGTTCGGAGGCTGAGGGCCGAGGACGTAACCCGTAACACGACACGTACAATACCCAGCTTACCTCCGGCTCAATAGCCACGACTGCCGTACGCTCCTGGGCGCCCTCCTTTGCTTCCTTGTACGACACCTCAAACCGCAGCGGGTACAATGCAACACGGGTCCAGCGTGCGACTCCGCTGCACCCTGAGGGCCCAGGAGCGGGATCAGCCACGACACGGCGCGCGATGACGGGCCCGCCCGAGTACCAGCTGTGTAAGCGCTGCCAGGAGGCTTCGGAGACGACTATGAAGTCCTGCTGTTCCACCAGGTCAGGTCGTAATGGGACATCCTCGGCACGAGGAGTTGCTTCCGAGCCTGGAAGGAGCGGCTTCTGGTCAACGGTGTGGCCAGGTGGCAGCAGGTCTGTGTTGGAGATGGGTCCTGGTCGAGGTGAGCCACCGCCTGATAGCTGCATCAGCGTCGATGCGGACTCGGCGCTGGGACCAGAGTAGCCGCTGTACTGTACCCATGCGTTCCACCACCTGCTTGGATGGGCGTAGTTTGTTGGGGTGCATTAGAGCGTTACGCTACGGTCTGGTGCGCTGCACGCTGAGCGGCCGAGCCAACCGAAGACCAAGCGCCGCAGCCCGCATGATTGACGAACACGCGTTCTATGTGCCCAGACTATGCTGCTATCAAGGAAGCAATCATCGCAGGTGGCTAAAGCATACGTGGGCAAACAAACGCCGATCAGGTGAGTGCATTCGTTTCACCTTCCCGCCAATCTACAGCCCCGCTAAATCTTTGGTCATATACTATACTCAGGTAAGATAAAACAAGCTTACGTGGTAGACACTAGATAGCCGACGGAGCCGCACGACCATGAGGCATTTCTCTCAAGTGCGGCGATCACCGCCGCCTCGCTTTGATCAGCTACTGTCATCCTTTATGCGTTCAAAGTGCGAGGTGTGGCGGTGATTACATAACTTTTCAAAGTAGCCTACTTAGCATACTTTATCTGGACACAACAGCTAATCCATATCTGTAGGAATGGCAGTAGTAGTCGCCAAGGATAGATACGAGGTAAAAAGCTCAACAGCGCTTGTCACCGGTCATTCTACCGCCTTCCTAAGAGTGATGCCGTACGCCTGCATCCTAATGCATGTCTTGGCAACCCAAAACGGAAGTACCCCTGAATAAAAACAGTACATTCCCCTTGATCGAGAACTGCGTAGGCTTGCCGACTGACACAGCGCGGAGAATGCATCGCGTAGGTAGGGGTGCTGAGGGATGTTGCAACCCAAGAGTGGGCGCAGCTGACCTCGACGATGCATGTACCACCGCCTTGTAAAAGCGTGCATTCCGCACGTCGTCTGCCGAACCGCTATGCTAACAAAGGTCACGCTGCGCAACCCATACCACAGTGTCGTACAGTGTTTCCAACAACACGGCGTTTGCACTTTCTGGGTGCAGCAACACGTCATTAACACAGTCCACCCCCAAGGCAAGCTGCTGGTCTGAAGGTCAGCATGCACGGCCGTGTGCAGTTCCCCATGTGCCCATGGCGCTATGGACCGGTTGAGCTGCCTTGAGGTCCCATAAGACCAACTACCCGATATATACAGTCGTCCGCTTTCCTTGCCTTCCGGTTTGGGTTTGTAACGGCCGTTTATTCGTGTACTGTGCTTACAGCTCTGGCTGCAAAGGCGCCATAGCATGGTGGAACACGTAGGGGTCTGTACGAATACGGCAACGCAATTCAGCGCGGCAACCCCAGGGGTACAGAGGCGGCTATTGCATTGCAACAGCTCCGCTCCGATGGCATCTCATTCGTAGATTCGTTACACTTTGGCAAAGAAACTAACTGAGCGCTGAAAGGCACATCACCTTTGAACACCTACTAACTGTGGCAGCCCCCCCCCCCCCCCGTTGTTTGCATTTCTTATATAATTTCCCCCCCCCCGCCAAGGTAACCCCGGCAGTGCTCAGCAGTAACTCCAGGCAGGCAGGCAGGTTCCCGGCGGCTATCAAATGTCGTACATTTCGGCGTCATTGGCGCGTACGACCGTCCTGCGGTGTCGTATAGTATTCCTAGCCCCCACACGTTCCATGCTCCCGCCTCAACTAGCTACCAGTACCCACTGTGGCTTACCCCTTAACCCTCCCCACCTCCTCCTGGGCTGGCTGGGCGGGTCGGGCTGGCTCACGTGTTGCAAACCATGATGACGCCTTATCACACGGTCAGTTGTTTCCTCTTTACCCCCTCTCCTCCTCAATCCCTGCCACCCCTCACCACCGCACCCGGCCCAGGTAAACGCTCGCAAAGGCAAACACGCAACCTGTCGCCACCCATCTCCCCACTAGCAATCCCAGTCGCCACCAGTCACACACCTAGATGCCCCATCACTGCCCCTAGACAACCCATCACTTCATAGCACCTCCCTCCCCCTTCATCACATCACAGGTACAGCGAGGCCGCGAAGATGATGTCCCTCTTGATGCGCTCCCGGGTCGCCTCGAACCGCTCCGCCAGCGCCTCCTCCCCGATGCCCCGCAGACCCTCGCCCAACTGCCGCAACAACTCCTCCAACCGCCGTACGGCACGAACCAACGAACCCTGCAACGAATTCAGCAGGAGTACCAGCGCGTTAGTGAGGGCAAGTGAGCTGCTGCAGGACGACGGCAGGAAGCTTGTCGCGGAAGCATGATGAGTTGGCAAAGTACCGCAAATAACCATTTCTTCACATCCCAACAACCCCCAATTCCAACCCAGTACCCACGCCCTATCCTCTGCCCCTCACCTCACTTCCCCCGCTCCCCCCAACAACACCTCCCCCCCTATGGTTCCTATGGCTTCGTAACGTCTAACGTTCTTCCCCCCCCGTACCTCGAACACGCTGGTCATCTTGGCTAGCTCCGAGAACTTGGCCCCCCGCACCCAGGCCGCCACGGGCTCCATCAGGTCGGGTCGGAACTTGGCCAGGTACTCCTCCACGTCGCTGGAGGGGGCGGCGCCGCCGTGGGGGCCGCTAGGGGGGGTGGGAGGAATATGGAAGGGGAGGGGAGAAGGGAAGGGAAGGGAGTTAGGGACATGATGGCGTGGCGGGTACATGTGTCCCAAGAGGGACAAGGCAGTCCGGACTGCGAGAGGCGTTGCTGCATAAAGACGTCTGCTGCTCCGTTTTACCCAGCCCCCCTCCCCCTTCTCCCCTCCCCCTCCAGCCCCCCTCCCCCCCTCCCCTCACCAGTCCAGAGCCATCTTGCACTCCAGCTCCACCTTGGCCACTCGCCGGGCCGCGTCCTTCAGCGCCGCCAGCGCACCCACCAACTCCTCACGAAGCTGGCGGGGAGGGAGGGAGGGAGGGAGGGGCAGGGGGGCGGGGAGGGGCCATGTTCATGCAAGGTTGTTCGTAACGGGCTGTGCTGTAGCCTGTAGGTTATGGACGCTTAGTACGGTACGGCATGCTTTAGTAAAGTGCACAATCGGGGAGCTGTGCAACCGCATGATGTGTGGTCTCGATCTGTTCCATAAGTGAACCTCCGGTCCGGAAAGACACGAGGGCGACACAGCGCCTGCACGCCTCCTCCTCCTCCCCCCCCCTCTATGGTTCGGTATGGTCTTCGACCCCCCTCCCCCTCCCCTCACCTTGGGACCTCCCCCTGGCCCCCCCTTCTCCTGGAACACGAAGCAGGAGCAGGTGGCCGCCAGCGCCTCCAGGCTCATGTCGTTGAACGCGCCCCCGAACACCAGCTCAGCCAGCACCAGCTCGTCACCGCAGCTTAGCGAGGCAGCCAGGCGGCCCTTCACGCTCACCACACCCCCCTCGTCCACGTAGGCCAGCCGCCGCAGCACCCGCTGACGAGCCTGGGGGGAAGAGGGGAGGGGGCAGGGGAGGGCAGGGGATTAGTAGGGATATGAATTCCGCGTTAGGCTGGATTACTACATGATTGCATACAGTCATACTTGTTAGGTTAGTAGCAGCAATCAAACTGTACAAACCGAGGGAAGGAGAGGGGAGGATGAGGACACATGGGTGGGTGGGGCGCATGGTGCGAAACGCAGGGATGAGGTGGGGCGGCTCACACCCCCATCCCCGTACAATTACCTCTCCCACGCCCTCCTCATGTGCCCTCAAGCCCTCATATCCCCTCATGTCCCCTCCCGCCCCCACCTTGAGTTCGTCTTTGAGGATGAGGCTGGTTGCTAGCTTTGCCTCCCTGCGTGCCGCCGCCACCGCCTCCTCCGCCTGCCCCCGCCGCTGCAGCGCCCCCAGCCGCGCCCGCAGCTCGACGGGGGTGCAGGCGGAGGCCAGGCGGTGGGCGCCCAGCAGCCCCTCCACACTCTCCAGCTTGGACTGCGTCTTGCGCACGGACTTGTCGCTCACCTGGGGGGGGGGGTACATGGTGGGAGCAGAGGTAAGAGGAAACAACTAAATGACCATGTGAAAAGGCGTCTTCAGGGGTGTCGGGAGGAGGCAAAGGCGTTGGAAGGGCAGCGTCTTGATGATACGGTACGCCAGGGCGGCTTGGAACTTCAAAACGGCCACTCGTACCTTCTGGTAACATGACGTGTGCTAGCAGCGCAACCCCCAGCAACCCACACTCCAGGACCCCAAAACGCCGCCGCCGCCTTCCATCCAGTTCGGTTCCCTATCCTCTCGCCCCTCCCCCGCCCCCTCCCCGTCCCCTCCACCTTCATGTCCTCCTCCGGGTCCAGCAGCGGCACGCGCCCCCCCCGTGCGCCCCCCGCCAGCCGCACCAGCGCCTCCGCCAGCGAGGAGCACCCCGCCCGGCGCGCATCCAGCGGGCGCAGGTCGCGCTGCAGGTAGATGCGCACGCTGCTGAGCCGGTCAACCTGGGGGGTGGGGGTAAATAGGGAAACGTATTCCGCATTAGGCTGGATCTTAGGTTGCGTATAAAGGGGGGGGGAAGGCGTCGCATGGGAGGCGTGTGGAGGAGGGAGGAGGAGGAGGAGGAGAGGATGGGGGGAGGGGGCAGAGGGAGAGGGGTGTCAGGAGGGGCGCATGCGTCATGAACCCGGTGTACCCGGCGCTGGGGCCGCCGCATGGGGCGAGCTGGGGGGCATACCGGTAGGATACCAGACACCGAATGGGCGGGGCCGGCCTGCCGGGGAAGATGAGGGGGTTGCACTGCAGGTTGCAGGCACAGGACCCCCCCACGCGTGCTTCCATCACAACGCATCCCAACCATCCCTGAGCCGCATGGGCTCGCTGCCTGAAGACTCCTCCCGCGCAGCCCCTCGCCGCCCCCCACCCCCAACACCTCACCTCTTACCGCCCCCCCCAGTCGGGATATGGGATTGGGATTCGTTGTTTCACTTATATAATTTCCCCCCCCCCCACCTGTGCTAGCGAGAAGGTCACCACCAGCGGCACCCCGCTCTTGTCCCCGGGGGGCAGCAGCCGCACAGGCGTGCCGCGCGGCAGGGTGGCTCCGCTGCCGACCGCACCCCCCGGCGGAGGGGCCGTGTTGACCAGCACGTCCACGATGAAGTGGGCGGCCGAGGAGGAGGAGGAGGAGCCCTTCTTCTTGCCCTTGCCTTTGCCGCCACCACCGCCACCGTCGTCGTCTGGAGACGCGAAAGGGGAGGACGAGCGAGAGGGCGTTACGTGGGCTGGGACGAAGCCATGGCACCTGAGTTACTCTGTGAGTAGTTGTTCCGCGTGTAAGTGTAGTGTAGTGTATATTTTATACGTGTATGTTATCGTTCGTTTGCGGTACCTTCGCCGTACGTACCTTCGCCGCCTTTTTTCCCGCCGACTCGTTCAAAGTTGACCACCGCGCCCCACACGCCGTGTGTCACCTCCGCCACCACCGCCTCGCCCCCGCCGCCTGCGCTGTCAGGAGCCGAGGTAGACGCCTGCGCACCACCCCCACCAGCACCAGCCCCAGCCCCGGCAGCAGCGGCAAAGCCCGCAGTGGGTGGCTCGCTGAAGTCCGGCAGCGGGCGCATGAGCTCCGGCGGCTCGGGCAGCAGCCGAACCAGCCGACCTGGGGCGAGGCGGACACATCACGCGGTGTGATGAAGTGAAACTGGTCGCGAGCAGGATGACGTGCGGTGATTAGTTTGTACATGGGGCGGTGTGGGTGTGGAAGCCTAGGCAGGGCCAAACGGGAGTAGCAGGGGTGCGCGCACAGCAACATGGGTTGGGTGAAAGCAACCCCCGACGGCAACCCAAATCCTATGCCCAGATCCCGGCTCTCCGGCAATGCCGGCGGACCCTCACACGCACCCCCAGCACCCCCACCCCCGTCCCCACCCCCAAGCAACCGGCAACCCGCACCCCAGTCACCCCCACCTGGCTGCAGGAAGGGCAGCGCCGCGGAGGGCACATTCAGCGCCGCCCGCAGCGCCGCCCGCTGCGCCACCAGCTGCTCCAGCAGGTTGTAGTACTGCCGTACATCCGCCTCCTCGGGTACGACAATGGCGTCGCGCTGGGCCTCCAGGGCCGCCACGCGGGCCTCCAGGGAGGGCAGCGCGCGCTCGGTCTGGAACTGCCTGTGGGTGCGGCGTTTGGCGACGGCAGCAGCAGGCGTAGGGTGTTACTACGAGTTTGTCTTCCATATTACTGCCTAAGGGCCTTCTCCACCCTCTCGTTCACCCTCCCCTTCCGCCCCTTTTCAAGCTTTCCTCCTCCTCACCCCCACCTTAAGTTGTCACAGGTTGACTTGTCTTGCCCCAACCTGTAAATTCCTATGGTTCGATACCTGGTCCTCCTCCCCCCCCACCTGAAGCTGGCCGCCATGAGCTGCTCCGGCTCCGCGCCCTCCACCCGCATCAGGCTGAGCAGCATGTTGTATCCCAGGTGGAAGGCGGAGTAGAGGGTGTCGGGGGCGCCCTTGATCATCTCCTTGGCTACAGGCGGCTCCAGCCGCTGGTCCAGCATCAGGATCACAACACCTGCAGGGGGGGGGGCAGGAAGGGGGGTCAAAGACCATACCGAACCATAGGAGGGAGGGGGGAGAGGGGGATAACAACAAGGAGCCTGACCAGGCAACTAACGAGCTGTGTGACATGTAGGCTTCACCAGCGGGGGACGGGACACGGGAAAAGGAGACGAGAGGAAGAGACGCAGGTAGCAGCATGCCCTCGCCCGCCCCACACGCCTCCTCCCTCCCGCTACCCCCGCCCCTCCTCACACACTCACGGCCAGCTTCCCCACCCCACCCACCTCTGTCATCCAGCCCGCGCCGCCCCGCCCTGCCGCTCATCTGGATGTACTCCCCACTGGTGATCCAGCGGAACGCACCCCCGTCGTACTTCTTGACGTTGGTGAACACCACCGTCTTGGCCGGCATGTTGAGGCCGGTGGAGAAGGTCTCCGTGGCGAACAGGCACTTAAGTAGGCCCTCCTGCAGGGCGGGCAGGGGAGCAGGGTGGAGCAGGGGTGGAGAAGGGTGAAGAAGGGGCTTACGGGGGAGCGCTGAACCTGTTAGCATCCTCTACAGCCCTTCTCCTCCCTCCCTGCCTGTCCCCCTCCTCTCCCTTTCCTCAGTCTGCCAACGCCTTGTCACTGCATGACTCTGGACGCGTGACTGCGCTCCACTCATTTCTCCCCCCCTCTCCCGCCCCGCCCCCCCACCTGGAACAGGATCTCCACCACCCCCCTCCTCCTCCCGCCCCCCCACCTGGAACAGGATCTCCACCACCCCCCTCCTCCTCCCGCCCCCCCACCTGGAACAGGATCTCCACCACCCCCCTCCTCCTTCCGCCCCCCCACCTGGAACAGGATCTCCACCACCCCCCTCCTCCTCCCGGCCCCCCACCTGGAACAGGATCTCCACCACCCCCCTCCTCCTTCCGCCCCCCCACCTGGAACAGGATCTCCACCACCCCCCTCCTCCTCCCGGCCCCCCACCTGGAACAGGATCTCCACCACCCCCCTCCTCCTCCCGGCCCCCCACCTGGAACAGGATCTCCACCACCCCCCTCCTCCTCCCGGCCCCCCACCTGGAACAGGATCTCCACCACCCCCCTCCTCCTCCCGGCCCCCCACCTGGAACAGGATCTCCACCACCCCCCTCCTCCTCCCGCCCCCCCACCTGGAACAGGATCTCCACCACCTCCTTCACGATGGGCAGCAACCCCGAGTGGTGCACCCCCACCCCGCGCTGCAGCATGGGCAGCATGGAGGTGATCTGGGGCAGCCGCTGGTCGTCCTGGGGGGGGGGGGGAGTGGGGGGAGGGGGGAGTGGAGGGTTGGAAGGGGGGGAGGGATTAGTTTGGTGTGTGTTTTCTGCGCAGGGAGAGGAGGCATGCATGCATGCATGGCGGGATACAGAACGCGGTGGCTGGTGAGGTCGGCGTGCTGAGGCGGAACCAGGGGGGACCCGGCGGAGGAGGCCCGAACCCTGCTCCCAGTGCCCGGTGTTCCTTTTTCTTTTCCGTCTGCAACCACCTCCTCCCCCTCCTTCCCCTCCGCTGCCTCCCCCCCACGTTTGTTTTGCTCCAACTTGTGGGTTCCCTTTGCTACGGTACCGGTATGGCCCTTGACACCCCCCACCTGCGACAAGCACTCCATGGCGCTCCAGTAGATGTTCGCCACCAGCGCCTTCTCCTCCTCGCCGTTCAGCTCCAGGGGGGCCATCTGGGCGGCGAGAGCCTCGCACTCGCGCTGAGGGAGGGGGTTGGGGGTGGGAGGGCAAGGGGTACAGGGTTGGGACGTGGGGGGCTGTACGTTCAAGGGATGGAAGTCTAGCCAAAAGCGCCTAGTACGCTCCCCCTGCCGTACCACCACGGCACCACCCCCTGCCGTACCACCACGGCACCTTTGAGAAGGAGAACACGATGACGGGGTCGTAGTTGCGTTCCATAATCATGCGGACCAGCTTGAAGATATCGGACTTTTGGGAGTCGGCGCCGCCCGCAGGGGCGACACCGCCGCCGCCGCCGCCACCGCCGCCTGCACCTCCGGCGCCACCCTTGCTGCCCTTGCCTTGAAGGATGGGAGAGGAAGGGTGGGGTGTTTGTGGTGAAGGCGAGAGGAGGATGCGGAAAGGTCAAAGGAGACAGAAGGAGGAGGAAGAGATTCGGTATGCCGTAGTTCTGGCAAGCATGGCGATATGACGTAGTAGTGATAAGCATGGTAACGGGGCGGCATGAGGTGGTGGTGACAGACTGCGGAAAAGCACCTTTTCACATACCCTATCCCCCCCTCGTTCCTTGCCATGCACTGGTTACCGGTGCCTCCCTTCACACGCATAGGTCGCATTAAGCTTACCTATACCGGTGCTCGTAACCCGGCAAGCACCACACCCGCACGACACAGCCCACCCGCCCTCCCACTCAGCCCAACCCGCCAGCCCCCCCCCACACCCACCCTTTGCGCCGATGTCCGTGTCGGTCAGTACGGCAACCGCCTTCTGGAAGTTGTCCTCCCGGAAGACCCCCCGCTCGTCAACCACCATGTACAGCCCGTCGCCGCCTGCAGCCGGGGGGGAGGGGGGGTTAGTATGCAGCCGGGAGGGAGGGGTCAGAGACATACCAAAACCGCAGGTTAGGGCAAAGCAATGGGGGGGGATAGCATGCAGCCGGGAGGGGGAGGTGATGGATGCGGCCTGGTGGTGGATGTGGTGCCGGCAGTGTGGAGAGGAGGTGGGGCATGGTGAGTGATGCCCTCAACCTGCGCCCTCCTCCCCGCTTTCCGCCCTCCCTGCCCTTTCACCGCCTACCAGCACGGCGGCCCCTCACTCCCCCCCTTATCTCACACTCCCTAAAGATATTCCATCCTCCCTACAACGCGTCAACCCCCCTCTCCCTTCCTCGCCCCCTTCCTCGCTCCCTTCCTCCCCCCCTCCCCCTCCCCACCGCCCGTATCATTATCACACCACACTTTGGAATTTCGTTTTCCCCACCGCCCCCCCCCTCACCCGCTGGGAACATGTAGTGCTGCAGCGGCGTGGGTCGGTAGTCGGTATATACCACGTGGCAGGGCGAGCGGTGCGTCTTGGACACCCACTCCGCGAATTCGCGCGCGTTGGGGATGGTGGCGGACAGGAACACGAAGCGGGCCTGCCTGCGGGGGCGGGCGCATGCACGCATGGTTGCATGGGGGCGGGGGGCGGAATGGATGGTGTGAAGGGGGTGTGGTGGGGGTGCAGATGAGGGCCGCAGTAGCAGCAGGCGGGCAGGGACCCAATGGAGTCCTTGGGTGGCAGCCTTCAACCAGAGGGTGGGGTGGCGTTAGGGGCTGTGGACGGCCGCGGGTGAGCACAATGTTACTGGTATAGGACGTGTTGGAGGCCATGCCGTAGGACGTGGTGGGATTCAGCGAGCCCCTTACCCAGCCCCGCCTTGTCATACACGGTTTGTTAGTTACGGTTTCTCACGGTTTCCTCCTCAGTTGGTTTACCCCACCTGGGCGCTAGGATGATGGACTCCTCCCACACCACCCCGCGCTCCTTGTCGCGCAGGTAGTGGATCTCGTCGTACACAATCAGCTGCACCTCACGTACAACCTCTGTACGGCAGAGGGGGCGGGGTGTACGGCAGGCGGGAGGGGGTTATTTGGGAGAGGCAGGTGGTTGGTACCGGTGTGGCGATGCGGTGAGAGGTCCTACCCCAACTCTTTACTCACTCCCTCAAATCCACCAAACAAGCAGCCCGTCCCCTCCAAAGTGTTCGATCCCCAACCCGCCGCCGCACCTGACCCCCGGTACAGCATGGATCGCAGAATCTCGGTGGTCATGACCAGGCAGGATGCGTTGGGGTTGATGGTGACGTCACCCGTCATCAGCCCCACGTCCACAAACTCCTCAGCCAGCTCGCGGTACTTTTGGTTGGACAGCGCCTTGAGCGGCGAGGTGTACACCACGCGGGTCTTGTCCCTGTGTGCGCGCGCGCAGAGCCGGGCAGCAGCACGTGTCAGGCAGCAGCACGTGTCAGGCAGCAAGGCGGGCATGCGGGTGAAGTACATGGAGGGACTGGAGGGGTGAAGTGCATGGCGGGACTGGGCTGGACTGGGCATGCCGCATGCGGGCGTGCCGGTGGCATCAGGCGGAGCTGGGAAGCGCGGCTGGTGCTTGCCAGGGGTCGGGCACAGAGAAAGGCAGCATGGGTTAGGCCCTTGGGACCTTCATTCACCGCCTGGTGAGGTCCGCATATGCGTAGCCCACCCCACGCATCCGCGCCAGTGCAGCCGCCCCTGCTCCTGCTCCCAACCTCGCCTGCTCTCCCTCTCTCACTCTCTCTCCCTGTCGCTCCTCACCTGAGCGCCATGGCAAACGCATACTCCGCCACCACTGTCTTGCCCGCCGAGGTGTGCGCTGCCACCATGACACTGTGACCTGGCGGTGGGAGCAGCAGGAGCAGGAGCAGGAGGTGTGGGAGGAGGGCAGCGATGTGGGGACAGCGAGGAGCAGCAGAAGAAGAGCCGTTAACAGCTCAGCTTGTCTGTCCACAGGACTGTAAGGTCGCCGCGGAGACACCATCATGCAGCCTTCCTGGGCAGTCTTACCGCGCGTGCACCAGTCCTACCCGCAACCCCCACCGACCCAGCAGCGGCAGCGCTGCTACGGCCTCATGGCCCACCACGCCCAGTTCCCCCAAAACACATTTCTTCAAGCGAGCCCGTCACGTGTTAGCCCCCCGGGTTTCCAGTGGCTCCATCTCATCCGACCCGATCCGACCCGCACCAGACCACGCTCTCTTAGCCCCAACGCCATGGAAACCCGCAGCACGAACGCATGTGCGTACCCGCTTCCAGGCAGTTGACAGCCACTTGCTGGAAGGGGTCGATCTTGAAGGGATACACGCGGGCTGGGGGCCCCTCCCGCGCCGGCGGCGGCAGCATGCTGCCTTGCTCGCCGGGTGGCCAGGCTACCTCATGTGTGCAGGACTTGCCGTCCACCTCCACCAGGTTGGCGCCAACTGGGAGCCGTGCGACGCGCTCGCCGTCATGTAGGCGGGGGGCCTTGGCTGGGGGCGGGGCGCCGGAGGCATCGCCGTCGGCATCGGCATGAGAGCCGTTAGCGGCGGCGCTGGCCGGACGTTTTCCGGCCGCTACGTCCGCCGACATCGCACTAGCTGCGACGGCGCTAACTGTGACGATTGCTGTGACGTCCTTAGCCCAATAGTTGCACGCGACGGCCGCAACGTTTGCGAGATTCGCAGCTCTTGCCGTGAGTACAGCGGCCAGAAATGACGGTTTGGTATTTTTGAACTATCCAACTAAGGAAATTGCAAACTACGTGACGTTGAGTGGCGAAACGCGCATAATGAAGAACCTGGTACTTCTACAGCAATGTAATGTTATAAACACCTACACAAGCAAGCAGAGTTTAACGTTACACGGAGGCATAGAGCCAAAGCCGTGCGCCGAATCATATTCCACAGGTTTGGTCGTACAATGGATACCCATCAACCCCCATAAGCAGCTTCGCTCCTTTAACTGGAATGGTTATATAGCATAAATGCAATTACCTTAGTAGCTTACATGCACGAAGAGGTTGGAATGTTTTTGCAAAAGCGGCACTGCAGTTGTCACTTTCAGCACTGCCTTAAGTCTAGTAGATAAAGATCAGCGCGGGCATACTGACTAGGCGTTCGAAGTTTTAGCTGCTTTCTTACTATTACTGGATTTTCCAGCACAAGACAAGACAAGACAATGACTCAGCCGAAGCATAAGCCGCTGGTCCCTATTACACGCGAGTACCTTCGCTTGTTCTATCAAAAGTACCCTCTGGAGCCAGTGCCCGCGGAGACCAGGGAGACCCACATGCGAAATGTAGAGCTGCTTGCTGGTGTCGTCACCAAGCCTGCGAGCTGCGTTCCAGAACAGTATGGTCTGGCAACCCCAACTCGGATTGATGACTGCTTTTGGCGAAACCGCATGATTTGCGAGGTAAGGGACTTACTGGAATGGGCCGTAGCACTTTAGCTGCCTGCATGAAGGAAGCGAAGAAACGCCTTATATACTACTAAGCTCCGGTTTTTGGCCAAACATACACGTTGCTGTAGGAAATTGCGCTGTCGCTGTCCAAGCTTACAGAGGCCTTCCCAGACACGCCAGACCTGGCTATTGTATGCGAGCGGTGCCGCGAACTGCTCGTCAAGTCCGAGAGGGCCGTCTTCGCTGTGCAGGAGAGCAACACAGCGAGCGTCAAGGCGCAGCTGCAGCAGTTCATTCCGCAGGACTTCCGAGGGGCGCTCCTGGAGAGCAAGCGGTGGGCCCAGGGTGCATGTGGCTTGGGGCCACTCGTCATTACTACGGCCCAAACAATCGATCACGATCCGCAATGCGTGGTGCGACTCTATCGCGTGCTTCGGCTGCCCTTTACACTCGCCCATGTCAGCAGCCCTCTCGGCCCAAGGAATGCGTGTTGGCTGCAGCACAATTCGCCATGGTGCCGCTTTTCCCTCCCTTGTTCAAAGCTGCCCACGCGGTCGCACCCCTCGCTCCTCAAAATTGACAGCTTCCAACCATCGCATGCACTCACAGGCTGAGCACCGAAGCCCGTTACAGGAGGCAAATCGAGGACCTGGTGAAGCGGGGCGGCAGCATCCGACAGAAGTTCGATACCTACCTGCAGCAGCAGTGGGAGCGGCGGCAGGCGCTGGTACAGCTGGGGGAGTGCTCGGGAATGTTCAAGATGGTTATCAAGTAAGCACGCATGATGTTTCCTTTAGCGAAACGCCAATTGTCAATCTGCCGTCGTATCCGTAAGCCCGCTGAGATCGGAGGTTGTAACCTATCATCATGTGATGCCGCTCTTGCTGCTTTGTAACGCCTGCATCAGTCCCTGCCCGTCTCCACCGCCCCTGCCTTTCGCTTCTTCTCATACCGCCCAAATACCAACTGCCAACTGTCAGATGGGTTGCGGGCATCCCTCAAGTCCTGCTGGACTTTGCCAAGGAGATCAACGCCAAGCTGGGCCCTATGGAGGAGCAGCGCATCAAGTACGGCCCAGATCTGTACGGCATCACGACCCTGGGCCTTCGGCTGGACGTCTGCCTAGCGGCCTGGGCGGAGAACGCGGAGGCGCCGGCAGCACGTAGCGCAGCCACCCAACTGGTTGAGGTCGTGGAGCCGGCCATTCAGTTTTACTGTGAGCACATGTTGCGCGTGATTCAGTTCATTGGTGACGTGTTCCAACACTCGCCTTTCTTCGTGAGCAAAGAGGACATCGAGGGACACGGCGCCGGCGACGGCGAGGGCGGCGATGAGGTCGTCTCTGTACGGGTATCATCCTCCACGGCGGAGGCTGTGGCGGCAGTAGCAGCAGCGGCAGCGGGAGCAGTGCCGGCTGAGAGTGGGGTAGCGGCGGCTAAAGGCGGTGGTAAGAAGGGCGGTGACTATGCCGCGCCGTCTCTGACGTTATCTGCATGCAGCTCGGACGTTGGTTCGATGGGTGCTGCCGGTGCCGGCGTGCATGCGGTGGCGTGTACGGTAACCGCCCCGGCGGCGTCAGCAGCTCCATCGCTGGCCCCAAAGCTGACGCCCTCGCCCGTCCCGGTGGCTCCAGTCACTGCAACAGCACCTGCTGCTGCTTCACCCTCAGCAGCTCCTGAGGCTGCTTCCTCACCTGCCGCCTCTGCCGCCCAAACCGACCACAACGCTGTCATGCCGGCTGCTGCCTCGTCTACACCTTCCACGTCGGTATCCCTGGCTCTCCCGCCTCGGCAGCCTTCCCTGGTCCATATGGACACACCGCCGCCTCACCTGCTCACCCTGGCTACGCTATCCGGCGGCCGTAGCCACAGTCACAGCAGCCAAGGGCACGGCCACGGGCATGTCCATGCGGGGCATGTGCACATGGCTACGGGCAGTGCCGTCGGCAGCAGCCGGGCGCACCGCGGCTCGCATGTCATCGGGAGGTCTTCCTGGACTGCGGACTCGATGGCGAGCTATGTGACTGCGGAGGAGGAGCAGCCCTGGTACTGCTGCTTGGAGGAGGGATTCGGCAGCGGTGGGTCGGAGGCGGGGATAGATGCCGAGCAGCAGCGCCAGCAGCAGCAGCCGCAAGTTGAACAAGCGGAGCAGCAGGCGCAGAAGGAACCTCAGCCGCAGCAGTTGCAACAGACGACGCAGCCCAAAGCTAGGCCGCAACAGACGCAGACGCAGCCCCTAGCCGAGCAGCAACAGCCCTTGTCCACATCCGTAACCCAGCAGCAGCAGCAGGAGGAAGCAAAGGGGCTCACCACGCCTGCAAGCAAGGGCCGGCACGATAGCAACGCTGGCGGCTGCTTTAGCTGCTTCTGGCGTGGCCGTCGTGCGCGTCCCCAGGACCATCCCGGCCAGCCTCAGCAGCAGGTAGGGGCCGCTTACATGGGTCCGCCCGCATCCCAGTCCCCTCCTGCGCCACCTTCGTCGCCATCTGCCGTACCGCACGCATCGAGCCCGGACGGCAACTCCGCGCCCTTGGGCCATCACGGGCCTCAATCTGGAGGTGATGGCGTGCCTTTGGAACACTTGAATCCAATCGCCGAGTAATAAAGTGTACAGGGAGTGGGTTTGTGGTTTCAGTCGCCAGTGCTTACATGTGACCAGTCGTGATTGAAGGACATGGCGTGATGATGCGTTGGTAGCGAATGGGAGGAGCGAGTCGAGGAGCGTGCGCGTGGGATATAGTGCGATGGAGCACGCCTTGGGTATGAATGGATGACCGGCCTGCTGTCTCTGCACCAAACGTACGTCTTGCTGCCCTGCCATACGGGTTATCTTCAGCAAATGTCAATTCTTTATATATAGCGTTTATCCTTATGATGTCTGTAGTGTCGGTTAGCTGCACCTGGAGACGCAAACCGGAACATGACACGGTTGAGTACGTGTATGAGGCTGTGGCTGCGTTTCATACTTAACGGGATGATTATGAATTTATGATACGCGTTGTGATCGGCTGAGCAATGGGACGCGGAGTATTATGGCATCTCGTATAGGCAGGTGCTTTAGATCGAAATTGGAATCGGAGGCGCATTCGGCATGATGCTTACGGGTACTCAACTGAAGAGGTCGTTGAACGGATGCCGGGCGTGCATGTTGAGGGAAGCACTCCGACCGCATGCGACGAACGAGGGTTGTTCGCGAGTTTTACTGGGGTTTGCGCTTCGTTCGTGGCACGGTGTGTGGAAGGAATGCCTGGAGTCCAGATGTCATCTGGTATCCTCCTTTAGCTCTGCGTGAGCGGTTGGTGGTTGTTGACCGTTGGGGTCTGGAGGCGCTCCGTGGTGCATGCGCTGGTGTTTGGAACGGCATGATACATCTCTCCCACCGCATTACGATAGACGTCCGTGACTCCCGCGCAAGAGCAGAGGTTAGGACGACGTGTCCCCGTCCACTCATGGTATTCCTTTCTTGTCGTGGTTGCCTTCCGAACCTTAGGGGCTTTTGGCTGGCCCGTGTCCAGTGTTTTGCCTTTCCCTGCGATTTTACTGCCGTGGTTGTGAATTTCACATGCTTGCCTAGTTAGGAAGCATACGGCCGGGAGCTTTTAAGAAAGCAGCAACTGATGTTGTGACCGTGCTTGCTGCCTCGCTGGACGCAGCAGGCAGCGCAAGCGGCGGACCCATGGGTAATTGACCATCGCGTGCGTTCATGCGGTGCCTGCATGCGCTAATGCTTGAGCCTAAGCGCCCACCATAAGAACGACACACGAACTGGTCTTCAAAGTACATTGGCTAATAAAAAAGCAAGCTATGTTCATAGCACGACAGTCCCTGAAGCTGTGGCCTAAGCAAGACATTATCTATCTATACATTTACGCATGGGCACTATGGACAAACGGGTTAACGGGCATGGGCCTAGCCAATGTTATGCTGTAATTTCGGCTAAGCGTTTCCTTGATTGGCTTGGCTGACTGTTGCAAAAGGTTGGTGACTTTTGGGTGTTGCAATGGGCAAAGGTTTCATCCTTCCTATCTAGATCGCCATCAATAGGTAATGCTGCATCTCCTCCACACCCTTCCGCGTTTGGTTTGCGTTACCGAAGGAGCTGTAAACCAAGTATTCCTGTTAACTAGTCAATCGCATCTTCACCATGCGCAGCAAACGATGCTTATGAAGCGTTGGCATGCGACAATGTGTCCGCATGCATGTGCATTCGAGTCGTTCGAGGGACGAATGCAAGTCGAATGCAGAAGCGCGGCCGAGCGCACCTTTCTTTCCAAGTTCATCCTATCAAATACCGCATTACCTTGTTAAAATTGGACACCATCTGCGTCGTTTTGCGATTTGCCGAGCGGTTCAGTTCAAACGTACGTACGGCGCCACCTAGTACTCATCAGCTCTAACGACTCCAGGGCCCTCGGACTGGTTCATTGCGGCTGCGAGGTGCTATAATAGGCCCCATGGATTTACCAGCAATCTTCAGCAGCGGCAGTTCTCCTGGGGTCGCTACCGCACTACTCTACCCGCACCCAATTCGCCAATCGCCTTCACACAGTAGAAGTATCCTGGTGCGTGACCGGCTCGATTGAGACTTTTGGCCATGGTTAGGGTGGTGTTGCGCCCTCTGGGGCTGCACCTGCTACCGGTGGCAGTGCTGCTGCTGGCGTCTACTGCCTTCGTGGCATCCTCCATTGCTGGTGCGTTCCCTCAAACTGCCGTACACATGCAATTTAAGCTTAAATAGCCCGCATGGCGCCCACATGGATGGTGTGACCCATGGGTCTGTGATCATATCGTACGTTTCGGACCTGCAACACGCTATGCGACGACAGGTGGTGCCTAGGTAGGGACATGCATGCAAGAGTATTAACACCCCGGACCCGGCCCTCGCTTCTGCAGGCGCTGCTTCGGGTGGTGGTCCGCTGCAGGATGCGGGCGCGGACAGGTGAGTGCATACACGCCTTCAGTTACGGTGAAGGGTAGCGGGCAACGCGGTATGCCTGCTGAATGACAGTAAGAAGGCGCTGAATGTCAGGATGCGTCGTCTGGGCCGTTTGCCCGGTGGTTTGTCGGGGTGCACTGCTAGCCGGGGCGACTGCGGCTCAGTCGGTTACATTGCTTGCAGCTTTCCCCACAACACCTGCTGACTTTAACGTGCCGCTACCTGCCCTTTGATGCAGGTTTACGGGTATTGCCGGGCGCCACCTTCTGAAAGATCCCGCAGTAAGTTTACTTGTCCTAGGTGTCAGTATTGGGATAGGTGGCGCTGCAGGGAATTTCATTTCGGGAACCTGCTTTGCGAGTAGTTTGTCCCTGGCTGATCGCTGTGCGCTTCTGGCACTTGCAGGCCGCTACAGGGCCCGTAGAGCTCGGCCTCGGTATTGCTGACGTCGCCACGGGGTGAGTCTGGGGGTTGGTAGGATGTTGGGGTGTGTGGCTAGCTCTGGGCCGCCCGTGTCCAGTGTCAGGCACCGGGTACAACAAGGAATGTTGGCCACCGGGCCATGGCATACTCATGATGCATGGGAATCCAAACTGATTGCCCGGGTCTCGGCATTGCAGCCGGTGGCTTCATTCTCCAACCGTGCGTCTTGGCTACGTGGGCCCTGCGTGCCACGCAGGGCTGCCCTCGGCGGCAAGGCCGGACGCCGGCTCCAGGAGGAGAGCCGCCCAGTTGCGGTAAGTAGCGCGGGGGCCACAGGCGGGCAGAGGCGTGGATAATAAGCGGTACTGAGCAGGGAGCATCTGGCAAGAGGAGCCGTAGTGCGGTCGCCCCTCCCTACATAGGTTGCCAGAGGTCATACCCCATGGCACCATTAATAACCTTTTACGCCATGCACAAACCCTTACGCCATGCACAAACCCTTCACAACCCGAATTGGCCACTTGCTCACGCAATGAGCGATTGACGACCCTGGTGGCGCATTGTCCCCTTCCGCAGCGCGCCCTCCTGCAGAAGCCGGCCGCCATGGGGTATGATGTGGCGTCAGGTTCCAAGTAAGCAACTGCTTGGCGACAGTGCAGGGGAAGGTTACCTAGGGCTGCAGCGGGCAGCTAGCTATAACCGTATCCGTACAGCGTCCTGAACTGCACTTAGTTGACGTTAGGTACTGAAGTCTTGTTCACGGCAGCTGCTTGCCCGGCCCGGGGGGGGGCGTTCTTGCATGACCATGCATGGTGACCTAGATACAAGCAGCTGTTGTCGGGTGCCTTCTCCCTTACCTTACGCTGAAAGCAGGTTTGCAGAGAGCGCTGTCAAGGCTGGCGACGACGTGTTCAAAGGCTTCCCGGCGTGAGTGCTAGCACACGCATGGCTAGGGCATGCAAGCCGCTGCTGCAAGGTCGTGCATGGCAGCCTTACTTATGGGTTTGTCAGAGTTGGTTAGGCATACGCTGCTAGCCGGGGCGACTGCGGTCCAGCCGGTTACATTGCTTGAAGCTTTCCCCACATACAACACCTGCTGACGGCAGCACACTTGCCCTTTGATGCAGGGTTACGGGTATTGCCGGACGACGCCACCTTCTGAAAGACCCCGCCGTAAGTCTACTTGTCCTAGGTGGATGTATGGGGATATAGGTGGCGCTGCAGGGAATTCCAGATTGGGAGCCTGCTTTCCGGGTAGTTGGTCCCCTGCTGATCGCTGTGCGCTTCTTGCGGTTGCAGGCCGCTACAGGGCCCGTCGAGCTCGGCCTCGGTATTGCTGACGTCGCCACGGGGTGAGTATGGGGGTTGGTAGGATGTTGGGGTGTGTGGCTAGCTCTGGGCCGCCCGTGTCCAGTGTCAGGCACCGGGTACAACAAGGAATGTTGGTCACCAGGCCATGGCATACTCATGATGCATGGGGATCCAAACTGATTGCCCGGGGTCCCGGCATTGCTGTCGGTGCCTTCATTCTCCAACCGTGCGTCTTGGCTACGTGGGCCCTGCGTGCCACGCAGGGCTGCCCTCGGCGGTAAGGCCGGACGCCGGCTCCAGGAGGAGAGCCGCCCCGTTGCGGTGAGTAGCGCGGGTGCCATAGGCGGGCAGAGGCGTGGATAATAAGCCCCTCCGTACGTCGCCAGAGGTCATGTCCGATGGACCACTAACCTCTTACGCCATGCACAAACCCTTCACAACCCGAATCGGCCACTTGCTCACGCAATGAGCGATTGACGACCCTGGTGGCGCATTGTCCCCTTCCGCAGCGCGCCCTCCTGCAGAAGCCCGATGCCATCGGATACGTCAACGACGGCCTTACGTCGGGTACAAAGTAAGGAACTGAGAGATAGAATGTGTATGGGCGGATCGTCGCAGCGGCGGTTGCAGTGGGTAGAGGCATCCACAAGGCGTCCTACCATGCAAGTGAAATGCAACCGTCTGCTGCTGTCACGGTGCATGATAGAGCCTTGTTGACCGGCGCTGCCGGCGGCGTTGACCGGCGCTTGCCATCCGGTGAAGTTGTCCTAGGCCCGACTGCTGCCGATTGACTCTCGCCTAAACCCCACTCCCACTTCGCCTTTGTTCCTTGCACGCAGGCTTGCCCAGGGCGTCGGCGAGGCCGAAACCGTGAAGTTCAAGGGCATTACGTAAGTGCAAGCACAAGCCCTGGGACTGCCGCCTCGGCGGCATTCAAGCTTGGGTGCTTCGTGGGTTCTTGCTAGCGCTATATAGATGACGTGAACTGCTACGGGCGGGCACGGCCCAAGGTCATGCGGGTCATGGGATGTTGTCCTTATCTGGTTCCACTTCCCTCGCCGCACATGCCCTCACATATAACACAGGGATGGCTTCGGTCGCCACCTCCTAAACGGCAACAAGGGCAGCGGTATTGCGGTAAGCAAGCAAGACGCTGTGTAGGTGCAATAATGCGGCAGAGTATGTATGTAGGCCTGTCGACGGGGAGCCGGTTATGTCGGTGGGTATGCCCCACACATGCTTCCAAGCCCCAACGTGCGCATGGCTGATGGTGCAATCGTGCAATGTGAAATGTCGCCACCACTGTCGCCTGTTTAATGATGACGTACATGCTTTTGCATGGTACGCCTGCAGGCTTGAAGCCTTGCTGGTCATCCGTCGGGCGACCCGTCCACGTACGGCAGAATGTGGCGTCCCTAATATCCCTAATTGGCTCATCGCCATCCGTCTCACCGGAATAATGCCAGTGACGATGCAGGCTAGCTAGGGAGTTTGTTTATTTTTACCGTGAGCAGGATGGTTCTTCATTCCGTACATCATTTTGTCTAACATCTCTCCATTACTTCTACTTCCTTCCCTCTAGGTGTCTAGCTTGTTGTTGAACAAACCCGTGTTAAATTAGTTAGGGTCGTTGAGGATATTATGTACACCTAATGTGTTCGGTATGTAGCTCTATGCCTACGTTCACATGACATGTAACAAGTATGACTACTTTCATGCATGGATCCCTGCTGAACAGAAACAGAACGCATTGAAAATCGGTAGAACAGCACAGCATGGAAATGGAAGCAAGTAAAGGGCAAAAGGGAAGATGCACACAAGTCATATAGTTGGCAAACACGAACATGTATCTTCTAACAAACTTACCAACCACAACATACACGCGCAATCGCAATCTGCCACCAACCTTATACCGATTGCTCCACACCTAAAGATATGACCCATGGGTCATCAAGTCATCACACAGCTGCATGCTGCGTGGCCGCCATCCAGCGGAACTAGGCCACATCCTGACATCCCGGCCCCATGCAGCTTGCTCCTAGACATACCGCTTTATTTTCCCAGTCATCGTACATGCGGTTTGGACCCAATGCAGCAGCAGTTCCATCCCCGTGCATGAAGGACGAACGAGCCCCGTGCGACTGTAACTCCTGTGCTGTTGATGGGAAGCCCGCGGGCCAACATGGAATGGGCAGCCAGGGCCGGGATTCACCAATGATGCCGTACGGTACCATGCGATGGGGATTATGACAGCTGATGATGAGGACCAGCAGTGGTCTAACCTGATGCAGCCGTGATGGGGTTAAGGATTCAGGTTGCATTGTGGCAGGGAGTATGCAACCTTCGGGGTCCAATACCGGTAATGCTTGCTGCGACAACGTAGGGCACGCACG